TAGTAGTATTGTTAGGGTCGATAAATATTTGTCATTTGTAGTAAATTTCGATTCCTATTATTAAATATTCTGCAAATACTACTTGTAACTTCTTTTTAATATAAGGGCATTATTTTGACCGGTAAGGGTTTTAAAAATAAATTACCGCCTCGTATATTAATATAAATTTAATATAACTATTATTAGTAATACTATGAATAGATTTTTCTAACTCTTTTAAAATATTTAACGTTAATAGAAATACTTCCTCATTTACCTCTATATCCACGGTAATACTAAGTAGGGTTTCCAGATAGCCTTCTTCGAAACGGACGGAATTAATAAGGTTACGGTTCTTAGCCCTTAAACAATAATCGTCTATATTTAGTAGGACGTCCTCTAGTTTCCTATTTAAAGCGTTAGGGTATAAATTCTTCGAACCGGGGGTATAGCGGAATAAAAAGTCGAAATAGGATAGGAATTATAATTATCGTATATAGTACGGGGTTAATTATTTATTCGTAGTAAAAATCTTTAAATTCTTATAGTCCGTCAAAATATTGAACGGTTACTATGCCCCTTCGAACTCTAACTTCTACTCCTTTAATATTTCAATAATAGTTAACAATTCCTTATTATAAATATTATAATTATATTCCTAAGCGGTATATTGTAATGAAAAGTAAGCTACCGGGTATAAAATTCTATTATTACCGTATTATAATAAGGTGCTACTAAAGGCCTAATTGGAAGCGTTAGTTTTAATAATTATTTTGTTTAATTAGTTATATATACATAAAGTAGGTCTACTATTAAAAATTAATTTTAAAATTTCGAAAGCGGTCTATTAAATTAGGGTCTAATCCTATTCTATATTCCTCTTTATAAGGTCGTAAAACGGTACTACTGTTAATAAAAATCCTTTAAGAAAACGACAATAGAAACTAGTAAAGCCTAAAAAGCTCTATAAAAACTTTTTAAAATAGGGAATTATTGATCCGTAATAATTTTAAATTTTTTTAACTCTATTTCAATACTTCCTAATATAATTAACTTAAAGTATTTAATTTTTTTAATATAAAATTCGTATTTATCGATATTTACCTAAAGGCTAGCTTTAACTAACTGTTCGAATATATTATTAATATATTTTTCGTATTCCACTTTATTATCAGAAAAGACTGAAATATTCTCTAAATATAGTATTATATATATATTGAAAACGTCGTATAGAATATTATTTATATAATTCTAGAAAGTACCGGGGGTACTTTAGAGCTTAGAAGGATATACTAAGGACTTAAATAATTTAAAATGCGTAATAAATACAATTAACTATTCCTACCCCTCTACAATACGGATATAGTTAAAAGTAATAATAATATCGAACTTAATAAAAATCTTTACTTTATAAATAGCGTCTAAAACTTCTTTAATAAGCGGAAGGGGGTATTTATTCTTGAAAGGTAATATTATTAATACCCTAATATCGACCTAAATATATTTCCTGTTTAATACCGGCGTATTAAATTACTTATTTAACGACGAAAAGTAATTCTTAATACTAATCCCCTTCGAAAAATTTATTGTATTTAACGTAGCGAATGGCGGCAAGGCCCAAGCAACCTATAGTAATTAAATTACTTTTAAAAATCCGTACCTAAGCGGTTAGGACGCAAATTTAATATTATATAACGTTATTTTAAGTAAGAATACCCCGCTAAATCTAGTCTCAGTTGGCCAAATAAAGAAAGTAAGTTTCGTTATCAACCGCAAAAATAACGAAATTTCGGTTAAACGCAATAACTAAACAATAATTCAATTCTATTAGGACTTAAATATTACCATACTGAATATTTAAATAATCTCCAAATTAAAAGAATTCTCCGTTTTTATCATTATTAAAATAATTATACTAGCTGCCCTTAATATAATTAATTACGCTATTATATATCGCCGCTTCATATACGTAAATATTTAAAGAATTCTTTTAATATACTAGAAAATAAGTATCCTTATTAATAAAAAGGAAGCAAAGATTTATCGTTATTACTTTTACGACCTTGGAAAATCTATTAAAATTATTTTATATAACCCCCTCCCTGTAACTTCATAAATACTAACTAAAATCTATATCAATTCAATCCCCTATAAGCTAGAGGGGTTAAATAGCTAGAACTACGCTATATATATTATAAATCGATATTCGAAATACTCATAGTACTTCACCCTAGGTAAGAAATTTAATAGTTTCCAATCCTTAACTAACTTTATTAAATACATCAAAAAATAAACTAGTATTCATATATAGGTAGTTTATATTAATAATGGAATGAAATATGCTATCGCTAAACTACGCGTCTAATATGAGAATAGAATTATAATATTAATTGTTATAATCCTAAACTACCTTGAATAAAACCCTATAACCGAAAGATATAGCCGTATAGTTATTAAAAGTAGCAAAATAATTAATTTAAAAATAAAGTTTCTAGAATTATATTCATTATTCGTAAAAGCAGTTGATATTTTTATTTTTAATTAACTCCCTTACCCCGCGCTAAATAACATCTCCCCGCTCGAAGTCTTTATAAAATTAATCGGATTCCTAGCCGAATAATATTAGCCTCACGTCTATTACTTTAGGGCATATAGCGCGACCGCTTACGTTATATTTATAATAAAAAAGAGAAGCTTAGGGGAAGAAAGATAGTAGCGAAGGTAATTATAGGCAAGCTTTATAGCTATAAGGGACTAATTAGAAAACGTTATTGTATTAAATTAAATAATAGTAATAAAGTAATTTATATTAAAGACGCTAAGTTTATTAAAAAATAATATCCCCTTAACACCGTTATTAACGAAACCCCGCTAATTTACGAGGCAATGTTTAATAATATATATTATAAAGATTCTATAATACTTACCTTCGAATACGAACCCCATTTTAATATAGGTAATACCTCCTTACTCTAACTTACTTCGATAACCCCGCCGGCTGCTAAGATAAATAATAAGAATAATACGACTATAATTACCTACTTAATACTAAGTAGTATATTAGACGGCCTACTCCGCCTACGTTAAAATATTTAATTATCCGAAGTTCCCGTCCTCCTACTAAGCAACGATAAGGATATAAATATATAAATTAATTTTGTAATTACTATCTTAAATATTTACCCAAATAAGGATAGCGAATTTACTATACCGAATACCTTATACCTACTTTAAAAAACGAAATTTAAAAGGAAAACTAATAGTCCCCTTATAAATGCCTTAATAAGGAACTTAAAACCTAAATAGAATATATAGAATAAATACAAATAATAAAATTAATATAATATTAAGGGCAACCTAATTACTAAAGGAAAGAGGGTATTTCAAGCGTACGTAACCATCGTTCTAATTACGGTCGAGAATATAGACCTAAAGCCTTCGCTAAAAATAAACTTCTACCTATTATTAGCGACTACCGGTTAAGTATTATATTTACTAAAATTATATAAAAAACCTATTAAGAGGAACGATTTTAAGGAATTCTTATACCCTACTATAAAGGAATAAATAAATAAATTAATTGAATTTAGTATATAGGATTTTATCGATTAAGTAAAAGGAGTTAAAATTATACCGGGCAAATAGATCCTTAATTAGAAGTTTAATACAGCTAATTTATAGATTTATAATAGAGCTCGCTAAGTAATATATAATAACTTTGAATATAGTTATTATATACTTTATAAAGTATATTTAACCGTTATTTACACCTCCAATATAAAAATCTTTATTATATTAGTAGTAACGATAGACTTAGAATATTACTAATTTAATATAGTAACCGCGTACTTAAACGCCCTGCAAGAGCACAGTATGGGAGGGTCGAAGGCCAAGCTAAGATTCCATCTATGACAGAAGATTTCAGATGGCGAGAAGAAAAGAAGAGAAGAACTAGATACAAGCGTGCAAACCCAAATAAATATCCTGGTCGCACAAGCGATAGCGGGACCCACATGTGGGTCGCTGACTGCCAGCACCGCCACACGCCCTAGTACTAAAGAAGGAGGTAATTTACGTTATATAGCCAATTGGTTTCGAGGATAGAATAAGTAGGGTATGTTATTTGAATAAAGCGCTCTATAACCTTTAAAAATTAGTAATTTAATAATGTAAAATAATAATACTAGAAATAAAAATAGTAAGTTTCGAACTATTTACAATAAATAGCTACGTATTTAAGAATAAGAAGATTAATATTATTATTCTACTTTACATCGACGACCTCTCAATTATTAAATTTACTTAAACCGATATAAATATAATAACTAGTACTCTTAATTCTATATTCAATATTAAAGATATTAGTAATACTTCTTCTTTTTTAAGATATTCGATCGTTAGAGATAGACCTAACTATTATATCTACCTATATTAAGAGGTATATTTAAAAAAAATTATAGAGCGTTTCAATAAGGAAAAGCTTAACGTAATATTTACGCTATAGCTACCTGGGCCCACTTCCCAACACCACCTTCCTTAACTAACTTTTCCCCGCGTTCGTTCGTAGCCTTGTCTTCCTTTTAAATACATCAACTTCTCTCTCGCCTTCTTTGTCCCTACTTCGTGACGGTCCAAGACATGTACACCTCCATCACTGCAGAACGTGCCAACCCAGTTTACCCTCGATCATCCTACTTGAGTAGATATGCGCTGTCTCTGCTTTCCTGGGTGCCCAGCTCCTGCATTGCGGCCCCCGTCTGCGCCTTCTGGATTTGTGCATCCTGCTTCGACTGGGACCCACCTGCATCCGCGCCATGCTGCGAGCACCTCCATCAAGTGTCACGACAGGATCGTTCCTGCTTCTAATACCAGCCACCGAAGGGTCGCTGCTTCCCCTCTTTCCTCCATTGCTGGGCGCCCTTGCCCTTTCATTCTCCTTAACACCTTCCACCCTTACTCCTCTAATCCTCTTCCTCTTCGCCCCCCGCCATTTCATCCTCCTCTGGAGGATTCGGGATACCATGCGCGTTGTTGAAGCAACGCTGGCAATGACGTCCCGTCGCCCTCTGAGGCCGGTACATGCAGTTAGAGCATGTCCGCAAGCCCATCAGGCGGTTCCTCTCTATCGCTGCTCGCTTTCGCGGGCCAGGGCCATTCTCAAGACATTCAATGCACAATCTGGCGCCAGTCTGCTAGATTGGACGCGATTGGCACCTGTCGCATGGTTTGGTCGGTCTTGGGAGTGCACCGGGGGGGTCGTTCGCAGGCCCGGCGTGAGGAGCTGCGATCACGGGTTGGGGAGGAGCGGCCAGGACTTGACCGATGAAGTTGTTTTGAGGGCTGTCCCCTGGAAGTTGGACAGATACCATGGGGTTGAGTTGGTTCTGGATGGGATAGCTCTGGTTGAGTTGGTTCTGGATGGGATAGCTCTGGTTGAGTTGGTTCTGGATGGGATAGCTCTGGTTGAGTTGGCTATGCATGGGATAGCTCTGGTTGAGTTGGTTCTGGTTGAATTGGTTCTGAATGGGATAGTTTTGGATGGGATGGTTGTGGTTCGGGGGGGTTTGGTTCTGGTACTGGGGTCCGGCGTTCGGCAAGCCAGAAAGAAGCCCTTCGTTCCAGGACGCAAGGGCTGCCTCGTAGGAGATAGGGTTCTTTGTTGCGGTCACGTTTCCGTGGAGATTCATGTTCCCAACAGTTTCTTTCGGGCCCATCGGAGCGCCAGAGTTGCCTGAAACCCCCGAGAAGCCAGCTTGCTGATGTGTCGGAAGAGCCAACTGTTCGTTCCCATACCACACGTCTTCAGGAGCATATAGGGAAATCCCACAACGTCCTCGAAAGGACGAGCCCATTGGTCGCAAACACGGCGCCAAGTCTCGTCATCGGCCTTGTCGACCAACTCAACAAACTCAAGCCTGAGTGCCTCAAGCTCCTCGACTGTGGAAGCAATTGTTGTCAGTATACGGTTTTCAAGGCGGGCCTCGTATTGATATTGGGTGAGTCTTACCCTGCTCTTTATTCAGCAAGGCAAAAGGATAGGTGGTCTTGAAATCTACGTCCATGCACAATTGCAGGAACCCTCCGCACTTTCTTCGGTCCATGATGGGAGAAAAGTCCAACGGGGGCTATATTGGTAAATGTCTTTTCCTGGGACCGTGATTGTTGTCAATAATTAGAAGAGTGTGTTGGGTAGGTAAGCTTAAACCCGCAGCGTTAATATTATTTGGTTGAAGGGTTACAGCAGATAGACCAGAGCGGAGAGCGCACTACAAGTACCTCCAAAGTTGCCCGGTCGCAATCCAAATCAGTGAGTGGGGACTACCTCTATAGTAACCTCGCAAATTGTAAGTCAGAACACTGCTAACACGTAACCGAGACTGTCATCCGATCTTGAATTGCCGATCTCGCCTGTCCAATCGTGTCTCTCGAAGACCGAACCTGGACAAAAACTGGTGAAGGAGGATGTTCTGCTGGACCCGAGGAGTTCAGACGGTTTCTAACTCTGATGGTCAGCCGAAATCTGCAATGTCAATTCACATGGTGAACCGTCCTCAATCCTTGACTAGAAGGTCTTCCTTGTCGTGTTGTCATGTCCTGTGTAGATTAGCGGGATGTTGAACAGCTTCGGTGCTGCGCTTCTTGGTTTGTCGAGAAGTCGGGGAGGTTATTGCGAAACGAGCACAAGTGATTGAAGTTTAAGCAACAGGTCAGAAGATCAAAATGAAGAGTTGGTTAACAGTGTTCATGTCCAGTAACGTGTCTTACATGTCTTGGATTACGGCCTACGGGTTCCGGCCCGGCAAGTGAGCTCAGTTCACTCCTCGTCTCCGCTAAAGCACTGGGTGCACAGCTTGCCCTGAGCACGCTGGGGGCGGCTCATACAATCTGTGCAAGTCAAATTCCCTGGCTCGCCCACTCCTCAATCCGAGCCCAGCCGGCCTTGCCGGGCTTGTTGAGAAGACACCTAGCGCACGTATAGGTGCCCGTCTGCTAGACGGCACGGACCTTGCACTTGTCTGAGGCATGACAGTGGTGGAGTGGTTGGGAAAAGTGAATAAGGGCTGAGCGCTGATCGGAGCGTCATTCAGGACAAGGACAAAACTGATGGGGGCCTTGGTGTTGCCTTGGGCAAGAATGGTCTCAACATTCGCGATGAGATGGCCACTGATCGTCGTCTTGTGATCAGCCTCCCAGTGGAGGAGAATGGGGTCGATGAGGTTGTCGGTGACAATGCGATAGTGACCGATTTCCTTCATGCTGAAGCCAGAATTGTGGGAGTCATGGACGACATTATTAGCGTCGCTGTCATTCTTGTCGTCGATCGTGTCGTCGCTAAGGTAGGAAAGATGTTGTCGTGGGGATTGCCGAGAGAGGAAAAATGGGTGGTGCCGATTTCGAGTAGCTCGAAGGGCGAGGATAACTAGATTATCTTACGGTTTTGATGTTTACGGGTTACGATATATAGGTATAGATACAGTTAGAATGGTATGAGTATGGATATTGGGATTGATGAAAGTACGGTTCACGACATGTAATGCCAGAAGTGTTGGTGAAATTCCTTCGACGTGGTATTGCTATATGTACCATGCTGCACTTTCCTACGTGTGCGCAGGAGGTTCTAGCTGCTCATCGTCCCTTCCTCCATCAGTCTCAACCCATTCCTTGGCACTCCACCAATGAACCCCACTACCGAACATCCGCCCCTCCTGGAAGTGATCGTCCCTTCCTCCTTCTTGGGTTACAAGTTCCGGTGCAGTGAATGTGCTCATGACCTCTAGCCCATCACTCCTCCTCTCTCTGGAAACACTCGTCGCACAGCTTACCAGCCGCGCGCTGTGGGCGCTTCATACAGTCGGTGCATGTGAGAATGCCCTGGGCGGCCCATTCGTAAATCTGGGCCCAGCCGGCCTTGCCTGGCTTGTTCTTGAGGCAGCTCTTGCATTTGTAAGCGCCCGCTTGCTAGACGGCGCGAACTTTGCACTCCCGGCATTTGGTGATGGTAGATTTCTTGACACCCGCTTTGGTGATGGAGCGATGGGCCGAGGCAACCTGTGGCTTGGGTGCAGTGACTTTGGCGACGTGATGGGTGTTGGTGGGTTGGATGGAGTTAGGGCGCGTCATGTTGGATGAGCCGGGAATAGGATTAACGAAGTTAGGGCTGGAGGTACCGGTGCTGTGATTTCCGGTCATGTGGTGGTTCGAGGCAAGGAACGTGTTTGCCGGGTTCGGGAAGTTGCATGTGGCCGGGGCATAAAAGCCAGTGATCGGAGCCCTTGCGGTGGCATTCAAGATGAAGTTGACAGAGGTCTTGAGGAGGATGTCGCTGTCCGAGTAGCTATCCGTGGAAGCACCCATGCGATGAGTAAAAAATGCGATCTTGTGATCCTCCTCCCAAGCAAGTAGGATCGGATCAATCAGGTCGTCCGTGATAACACGGTAACGTCCGCAGCCGTGTTCATTAGCACGCTGGCTGTCGTAATTGTTGCAATTGCGAACGGCGTTGTCGTCGACGATGAGATGAGTGGTATGGTTGTGATGACCCGAGTCGCTGGTTGAATCGCGGATGGGATGGGCCGCATCAGAGGCGGCATCCTCCAGGAGGGCAATGGGATAAGGCTCTTCAGAGCCGCCGAAGGTGGTCTTCAGGGCAATTGGGTCTAGAAAATGTGCATGTTTAGCCTTCTTGTCTTACATGTGAACGATGTACGTTATGCATCTGCACGTTGATTAGGACATTAGGTCGCATACCTGAAGCAGCATGATTTGCGTGGCCGTCAAAGGCCGGGGGATCTTTGACAACGGGCATATTGTCGCTGTCTCTGGCTTGTTTGCAGTCTCTTCGGTAGATGCTCTGCCGATACAATGTGTTGAGTTGCCTGTGCAGTTGAAAGGGAGTGCACGAGAAAACATGAAAGAAATCAAAGGGGCATTTAACTCAACCGACCCTTTCCACGGTCGCTTTCCGAATCAGCCAGAATGCCCGTTCAAGGGGACTGTTCACAAAACAGTCATTCCAGGGACAAATGAAGACTGCTGAGTGAATCCGTCCCAACCGCTCCATTTTTGGGCTTTCGTCTGATGTTGTGTATGGCAGGGCAAGGGACGAGTGTGGGAGTTCGGACGACCAAAAGCACAGGTTCTTGGCCGCCTGGAGGAGTCATCATTATATAGAGACAAAACCTGAAGACGCCCAGCCGAATTGCGCCAAATCCAAATTGAGGCCAATTCCAGAAAAAAAAACCGCCATTCGTGAGATGCAACTTTGTTGCGCAGCGCCAGCGACACATTGGATGACTGTCGTTGAGTTTAAGTTGTCGAGAGCCCCCATCGGTGCAGCCAATCAAGGTTCTCAGGAAAGTTCAATCGGGAAGGTGACGGGGGTACCAAGCTGCAAGTGCAGGGATACGAGATAAAACCAAGTGGAGCCCCAAGTTGCACAATAGGAACGACCGATGCTCAATAGGACGGCCCGTGCTTTGCACCTTCACGAAGAATGCCGAAATATATGATCAGCAAACAGCGAGGGAAGGAACTAACCCCTTATGGACGGGGACCTGTGACTGTTTGTTGATCTGCTCCTGCCCCTGGTGCTTTCATGGTCCTCCGAAAGACTCCTTCCCCGCCCATGCCCTCCTGCTTTGTTCTCTGCTGGTTCCATGATTCCCTCACTGTCATCAAAGAATGCCTTTGTGACATTGGACTTGCCCATTGAAACCCTTTGTTGATATCTGAACAATGTACTTCCATGTGGCCAATATCGTTCCCTGCTTGCTTGTTTACTTATGCCCGCTGTGCACAGCAGCCCATGCGCGAACCCATGCGCGAACCGCTGCGCGCGTCGAGGGAGCCACTGGGTCATCGGCGGACGCCCCCTCGTGACGCAAACGATGCGCGCCGGAGCGTTGGTGAAGCGGGAGGTTTTTGGAAGCGCACGGAAATGGCCAGCGACTGTTGGTTTGTTTGCCCCGACGGCACCGAGGTTTGGGATCCACCCGTCCATGGAGTTGTCCACTGATACAGGGCCATGGATTCCAAGTTCCAACATGCCTCGGCATTGTTGTGGTTACCCTTGTTTACCCGTGAGAGCGCGTCGGCCACCCATGCGCGTTCCCCTAGCAACACAGATTTTCTCCCCGCATGCACCACGCGTGGCAATCCCACCTCATCCATCCTCGACGCCAACCATCAGTTCCCCCTGTTCTCGGACACCCATCGCCAGCAACAGCTGAAGATATTATCAAGCGTACCGTGGTGGCGGCCAGGCAAGTGACGACCCTTTCCTTGTTGACGTGCCCTTTGCTGGCCCGAAGGCTAACAAGCATCTCGTGGCTAACTGAAGAGCCCGCGCCATCGCGCCAGCGTGTCCTCCACCGATCCCTGCTGAACATACCACGACCATAACAGTTTCAAGTGCCCGCGACCCGTACCGACCCACCGATCACCGCCGTTATCGCGGGCAATCTCGTGGCCAGCCCTGGCGTCCTCGACTATACCTCGACAAACAATGAAGCCTTCTCTCCGTAATCATTCGAGCCCATCGTTCGAGTCCCGCACTCCCGCTCCGCCCATCGCTCCATCCCGAGAAGACCGTATCCGAGACCGTATTGAAGAAGAGACCGCGACACCCACCGACCGATCACCCGCCGATATAGCGAGCAAATCCGTGGCCAACCGTGGCGTCCTCGACCATACCTCGACAAAGAATAAGAGAAAAGCTTCCTTCCCGTAAGCGTTCGAGCTGACCGTTTGAGTGCCACACCCTCACTTCGTTTATCGCTTCATTCTGAGGAACCGGGACCGAGACCATATTCGATGAAAAGACCGCGACACTCTCCGACCGCCCAGCACCTTGGGCGCAACCGATATCAATGCCAACCGATGCCCCCTCCATGACACCTCGACAGAGAGTTTTCGTTCCGAAGCCTTGAGCCCTCCCATCCTCCACAGTACTGCTCCGAAGCGGATGAAGCGAAAGATAGAAACAAATGTTGAGAACAACCCATCCACGGATAAGCTAAGAGGAGGAACATACACACGGGCGAATCGGGCTGGATAGATGCCAGGCAGGATCCAGGCGGGGATCTGCCAGAAAGAGGAGGAGACCAAGCACCCAGGCGAACGAAACTGGCGATATTGACGTTGCGAGAAACGCCGCCCGAGCGAGCGAGACGAGAGGACTGTCGATGATGGTAGAGGGAGAGCAGATATGGAGTGAGGGCTGACAAATACCAGACTGGACTCCGTGTCGCGATCCAGGCATGGACGACGCCCACCTCCCCAGTGGTGGTTCTTGCCTACGAATTACCCACAACCGAAGGAAACTGATGATATTGACGTTGCCAGCGGCACCGCCCAACCGGGCGCGAGGAGACGAGTCGATGCTGGTCGAGGAGGGGCGTATATGGAACGAGGGTAGACAAAGACCGGGGTGGTGTGAGTCTCGCAATCCAGCATGGAGTTTCGTCCCTCGCCTGGAAGGAGCCGCCCAGTGGTTGTTCTTGCCTACAAAGTACCTTCTGCGGGAGGGCTGTCCAGGCCGTGGCCTGGGCACCCTCCCGCGGTAACCTGCAAAGGAAACCCAGTCCCATGTCTTGGAGTGTTGCTATCGCGTGGTTCCCTACGGTCTGCCGGGGTGTCGACGTTAACATCACGAACCACCTCAGCCCCGTGCCAGCAAAGGCTCTTGCCTCTGCGGGTCGGCATCTGGGAAGATCCTGCAGGCGCTAGGGAGAACCCCATAAGCGCCGAGGGATGGTGGGATCAGTGGATGACGGGCCCATGGACGAAGCTCCTCGAGGAGCCGTCGGGGGCACCGGCCAGCTGGGGAAGCCTCCGGGCAGAGCCTTCTGTGTTAGGCTAAAAGAAGACGATGAAGATCTCTCGACAACCGATACCCGACGGATACCCGAACGATGCAAACAATACGCTCGATGCCGACCGACCGAGCGCAATTAGCAAAGACTACCAGGAAAGTTAGCGGAGGAGCGTGGATGGAGTGAGGGTAGACAAATACCAGACTGGGCTCAGTCTAGCGATCTGGGCATGGATCGCAGGAAAGAGGAGGATCACAATCTCGGCAATCGTTACCCGATTGATGCGACCGATGCAAGCCGATGCAAGCAATCCCAGCGATTCCAGCGATTCGGGCGATTTGAGCGATGTCAGAGACCCCAGCGATCCTAGCAATGCCAGCGGATGCGAATGACTCTGCCCGAGGCAAACGTCGCGACCTAGGCTCTAGCGGTGTTAGCTAGGACGACGACCGGGTCCCTTTCAAGACGAACGAGGAGAAAGAGTGGAGGAGATGCTTGAGTGAGGGTAGACATATACAAGACTGGGCTGAGTCTGGCATTCCAGGCATGGTCTGCATGCAAGAGGAGGTGATACATACCGAGCTGTCAACAATCGAGAGGTTAGACCGGGACGCACAATGCGAGCGAAAGAGCCAAGATTGATCGAAGCGAGCAAAAGGGAGGGGGCGGCGGCGGAGGGGGTGGTGCGAAAACGTGCGACAGCTGCCGCCGGCAACGATTGAAACGACTGTGACAAATAGTACATGTGGTCCACCTCTCAAAGTCCAGGCGGCTGCGTACGAAGCGACTGGAACGGATACCGTTCATTGATCAAGCAAAGAGCAGTATTAAAATGAGGAAAAAAAGGAGCTAGGTCTAATTTTGCACAGATGAATGGTTAATCGCAGGTTCAGCAGCAATTCGCTCGGTTATCCAAGGTCTTTTGAGGTTTTTAGCTGCATATCCAATGTCAGTCAGGTTAGGGGCTACTTGAAAGATCCTGAACGAGCACGGCGTCCCAGATGCGCATATCTAGTTATTGGAAGTCCCTACCACAGACAACGAAGAGGATCAAATCCACCCAGTGCGGTTTACGACAGATAAGATTAATATTTCAAGCGATAAGCAGCGGGGTGCTCGCAGGATGCCAACGATTCATTTGGGAATCTACAACGACCACCACGGATCGGCTATTGGTCCACAGCCGTCTAAGTGAGCGCAGACTTACACCGACCTTTACCACCCATCCGAACCATCACCACCACGTTCGTCTTCCAAGCAACCAGCCCTTCGCAGGGAGTTTCGACGGCGATAAAGAGGGTTAAACCTATGGCAAGGTGCTTATGGCAAGAACGGTGAACGGATGGGGAGAAACAGGGGCCTTGAGCAAGGACAAGGCTGACTCAAAGTACGGAGAGAAGGAGGTCCCGACTCGGCATCTCAGCCTTGAGCCTGGCCACCCAGGTACTTCAATCCATTACCTGACCTACACCCACGCCTCGTCCCACGGCGTGGTCGGGGCCTCCCAAAATGGTCTACCGTCCCGGCACTTCGCTACTACCGGTCGGCGCCTGGACTACCGTCGTTCCATTCCTCGACGCCCGGCCGTTCCTAGCTACAACCGGCGCCGCTGCTCGCTGCCAACCGCCGCAGGCTCTTGGCTTCGGATCCGCTGCCACTACTGCTCCACCCCTGAGCTGCGTCCTCTCCGACGCTCGACGACAGCCGTTCGGAGTCCAGGCACTACCCTTCCTCGGCTGCGGTAACAAATCAAGGACGGCGACGGTGTCCTTGAAGCCTAGGGACAGCGGGAGTCCTTTCCCGGTGAGACCGGAAGGCGTGCGTAGGGTAGCTCTGGATACCGGGCAGGAGAGGCTTCCTGTGCCGAGAGGCGGCTGAGCTTGGGCTTTTCGGCATTGAGACCCGCCCCACAGCTATCGTACGATATTCAGGGGGCTCGACGACAACTGGTCGCACTCCACGCACCACGCTTCCTTGGCTCCGGTGACAAACCAACGACGGCGACGGTGGCCTTCACGACTTGACACAACGGGAGACCTTCCCCGGTGAGACCGGAAGACGTGGGGGGAGGGGATCTGGATACCGGTGCAGCAGAGACGTCGCGTGCCAAGAGGTGGTTGAGCTTGGACTCCTGGGCATCGAGACCGGCCCCACAGCTATCGTACGATATTCAGGGGGATCAGCAGCCCCAGCTCGGTTGCTGCCGTGTGAACTCACGCTGAGAGTCTGTTCCGACTACACCTGACCGTTGGAAAACCAGTTGGAAAACCTGCATAGAGGCCCGATCAAGGCTGCCAGGTTCAGAGAGCCTTGCTTTGACGTCAAGAAGTGGTTATATCGACATGAAGCGGTGGTAATCTCAACGTAAAGCGGTAGTTGCGCTGAGACCAACTGGTGGCCATCCGATCCTGCGTCGAGCGAAGGAACCCCACGTTGGGCAGTGATACCCGCGTGTGGGTCAGTGACTACTGCAACGTCATGCGGTGGCTTATTCCAACGACGAGGAGTGAGTACCTCAACTGGTACGGCACAGCAGATTCCCACGCGGAAGCCAACCGCCAACCGCAAAGAGGAGAGCAGGAACTAGAACGGCCCCGGCGCTTGTTGATTCAGGGGGAAGCAGCCATCGGGCAAAAGCTGGAGATGTTGCCAGAAGCATGGAGGCCAGAGATACGGACGTCAAGTCTAAGAGCAAAAGTGTCAGAGATGGATAATGATTCAAGAGGAGAAAAGCCAATCTTTCAGGGGAACGTTGCGGAAGTTGCTTCTGGCGTGGCGAAACCAGCCGAGACAGGAGTGCAGCAGCCATGCAACAACGGAAGAAGAGAGCACACCACGTCAGTGCTGCTAGTGTTGACCCTCAGCGAGTTCATTGCTGTCATTCCGAGCGTCTTGCAGTCCTTGCAACCTCTTCATATGCGGAGGATATGAGTTCCATTTGGGTGACGCGGGCAAGGAAGGGCGGCGGAGGCTTTGACGGTGGTTTGAAGGTTTAAGGGGTTAATGAGGCCATTGGTCGTTTTTGGCGTCGAAAGTGGGTCATAAGGCAAATGTTTGGTCAGGGTACCTCTATGTACGATGCAATGATTCTGAGCGCAGTCATCGTGACTGGTCCGGGACTGTTTGCCTGGTAGGAGTGCTGATGATGACGCTTCCCGTATCGCTTCAGTTGGAACTTCTGTCCTCCCTTTGATTGCGTTCTCCGAGTCGATTTTGTTCTGGTTTCATGTCGCTGCGATGGCAATTACGCGCAACAGTCATCGATGACTGACACATGCGGCAGCGGCAGCAGAGCAGTCACGCCTGCCTGTGTGCTGTTCTTTCCTCATTCGAGACACATCCCACTGGAAAGCAAGCGGATCATCGTTCTTTCCATGTCTGCAAGTCGCTTTCCTCCCGCCAAGGTACTTGGCCAGGATCGGTCTTTCCTCTTTTCGCTGTCGACGATTTCCAACAAGGGCCGCCGACCCCCGTCGAGAAGTGACTCCTATCTTCCACAAACCAGCAAACAATCACTGAGCGAGTTTCCTTCGTACCGACGTAGCCTCATGGCTCATTCCGTCTTGCTGATCATCGTGTTCTCCAGGTAATCATGGCATCGGTCTAGAAGCTGACCGCCGATGACTGCTGTAGGTCTTGTTGGCATGACCTGGATTGATGACTCTCATGGTGCCGTCCATCAAGACCAATGCTTGGCGGCTATATCATAGCAGACAGACCTCCTCCCGCTCGCCGTCTCTCGGTCATCGATAGACTTCCTGAGTTTATGTCCACTACAGTTAATGACGCGATAGCTGTCTTGGGGTGTCGGACAGTTCTCCTCACGATTGTATATCGGAATTGCCCCGAGTCAACATCGCCCAACATCTGATTGCTCAAGTCTCCGACATAATACACGTTCCATTCCTCCGACTCCAACGCTTGTCAAATCCAGTAGTTCAACTGCTTCAACGCTCCATATCGTACATCTTGCGCTCCTTCTCTAGTCCTTGCCACCCCCCTTTGTCAATGCCCTCGATCCCCATTTAGGCGCCAACACCTCCCTTTTACTTCGTTGACTCTGCATCCCCACGCCGAGTATACTCGGACCAGCCATGGAGAGGGTTACAGTTTCCGAACCGGTTGTTAGCGGTCGGTATTCCTCTTCCTTCAAGATCCACAATCCATCCCTGCCATCCGTTGAGGCCACGGGGAGTAACTAGCAACAGCGTTGTAGACACGGTCTGATTTCGAAGATATAATAGCTGAGGAGCGTATTGGACTTCGGGTAGGCTCGCTCGGCGGTGCGGTAGGTTGCTACGGGTGGTAGAGGGAGAGGGGTAGAAGTAGGTAGGTCTTTTCCGGTCTTCGTTCCGCGTTCGAGGAGATTTTCTTCGTGGTTTGTCGTTGCTTGTCATAGGGAGAAGTAGTTAGCCATTGAAATGCAGAGAGAGATCAAGATGGTGCTGGTTCTTTCTTTCCACTTGTGGGATATACTGCGTTGTGCAAGACCATCAGGCCGTCAGCAAGGTTCATCCAACTCTACGACGACGGCAGGATATCCTTGTGATCTAATAGATATCACGAAAGTCATCGGCGAAGATACCAACATTGGCGTTGCCTTCTCACCAGTTTCGATATGAAAAGCGCTGTATATACCACCATGCTTTCTGCTCGACGCAACGGTGCAGACGGTGGCAGAAGAAAGCGACGGCGGGACACTCGGGTATCCCCAGTTGAAAAGCTGCCATATTTCTTCGATGATCAGCTTTTCACTGTTTGGACATGGAATGTTTCCCGGCAGCTTGGGTCCTGTAAGTCTTCAAACGGTTGCTGGACTTCTACGCGCTTGAATGCCACTGTCGTGCCCGTACGGCGCCGGCAACGCTTCGAACGGAAGCTGGGCCGCGTACAGGCTACGAAGGAGGGGGACAAAAGCGGTAGCGGATTCTGCCGGCTGTATTTCACTGAGGAGGTGCAGAAGGCCCGCTTCAGACCCCTGTAAGCGCGGTAAGTGCAGCGGTTGGCATTGGAAGGCGCGAGTGACGTAGGGAAGTTGGGATATCGGGGTTTTCTTACCCGAGTGTTCGGTGTTTCGGAGTTTTCCGAGCTTGGCGCTGCACGCTGAGTGGCAGTACGTCCCGTCCCTGCCTGCCCTTTTTACCCTGCACTTTGCTTCCCGCTCTGATCTCTTTGTTGATCCACCTCCCTCTGACCCTCTTTTCCTCCAGACCTCCTCACCATCTCTACTTCCGAACAAAGCACGCAGCGTCGACGAGCAGCGCTTCCAACATCTACCCACGTCAAGAGCTGTAGAAATCCATATTATCCCCTCGTACTGCGCAGCTGTTACCGTTGAGTTTGTCGTCCTACACGGCGCAGCTGCGCATCATAAGGACTCGCGCGCCTTGATCAAGCAGCCCCAGGACTCCCTTGAAGCGCCTTCTTCGCACGGATCGTTACCGCCTACCTACCGTGCCGCGGTGCCTCCCACGTACGCTGGGAAGCACGGAAGCCTCATCAAAGCCACATCCGCACCGTTCGCCTGCAAGATCAACGAACCTCGTCGGGGCCCAGGATCAACACTTGTACTAGCCCATCGCAAAAGACCACTCGATCGGCAAGCTCGCTACTGACAACGCCCCGTTTTCGCCTTGGTCAACATCCCATATCACGCCGCCATCGTAACCTTTGGAGCAAAAATACGCGACCAAAAGTCATCGACTGCCCCCTCGCTCCCTTATCCCGTCAACGGAGGAGAGTTATTGGATTGCTCGGCGTCCCTTAACCTCCAGGTATGACCCTCTCTTTGTTCGAAAGCTCAACGCTTACGCAACAGCTAACATAAAGTGACGACAGTGAACGCAAGGCAGAGCCATACCTGCTCTTCACAACAGCAACGGATCTTACTTGACCATGTCCTCCACCACCGACGAGCCGGCTGTTCAAGCCGCCGATCCTCATCCGACTCCGACCATCAATCAAGGTCTCGCCTAACATTCCGCGGCCACCGCCGATCAAGATTACAATTCCCGATATGCCATGTTGGCTGCTTTATTCAGTGCACCCATCAACCTAGGCGACTTCTATCCAGCTGATCAATAATCCAGCCAATCCACTGGCGATGGGCTCGAGTCAAACCCAGTCCATGGCGCGCTGGATGGTGTCCTTCCACACCGTGCTTTATCAACGCCTGTCTTTTCTTCCCACCCCGCACATTCCGTATCCAGCCTTCCTGCATCTAATATCCCCGAACCCTTCTCTCCCAAACGCGACCTCCCTGGACTTTCTCTTCCCAATCCCGTTCTCCCTAGACATCTCCTCCTCCACCCCCTCACTCTGGACCCACTCTATCCGGAACTCATTCCACGGGATCCCAGTTTCCAGGGTCCGGTTCGCCAGGATACCATTCCACAGGAGCACAATTCTCAAGAACCCCCTCTTTCTGAACTGTTTCCTGAGGAGGATGAACAGTTCGAGCTCCAAGAAGAAGTTCTTCCTGAACCTCATCCCAGTGAAGTCATTTCCTCTGAGCCTGCTCCTCATACGCAACCCACACCCATTCCCCATGAGACCGCTGCCGCCAATCCAGCTGCAGTCGAGCCTGCTCCAGTCAAGCCTGCTCCAGTCGAGCTTGCTCCAGTCAAGGCTATTAAGCCCGCCCAAGCCCTACCTGCTAAGGCCGCACCGGCTGTGCATTCGGCTCAAGTTAATCCAGCTCGTCCTCCCGTTATTATTACGGCTACTTGCAACTACTGCGGCGCTGTGGCTTAGGGGCCCACAGCCCACCTCTGTTGGGAACATTTGGAGGTCTCACCAAGTGCCGAGACTCGGAGCATGGTCGAGGAGCGTCATGCTCGTGGCTATTACACCTGCACTGGGTGTATCCAGACCGAGATGGACGTGAAGGGTAAGCGGTGTGAAGAAAAATGCAAACCCAAGGGAGACAACCAGCGCACGCGCCGGAAACAAGGCAAGCCGGCCACGCGTGCCGGTGGTGGAGGCTCAAAGAAGGGCGATGTGGGCGGCAGGAAGAAACGCGATGGAAACGGCAAGAGAGGAGGCCCTCCCGGTGCTGCCGGTGGTGTTCTGAGCGGCCGTGTTCAGAAGGCTGCTTGAACAGCTACGTGTTCGTCTACGCACAACGTCTCCTCAGCATCGGGCAGATACGCTCTTTCGGGGTCAAGTATTTCACATCAAAAGCGATGATGAATCAGGGATATCAAGATTTGGCAATCCTTTGAGCGGAGGAAGTTAGCTGGGAAACGGAAGGCAGCTGGGAAACGGAAGGCGTTGGCCGACCGGCCAAGGGCCTTGTCTTTACTACCGTGACGTTTTGCCGCTCCTCCATGAAGAGCCAGGGCGGTCATGGCAAGCTCTTTTCCCGTATAGACTAGTATCGTATGAAGTGGAATCACATTGCTTTTGAACATTTTCTTTTCGTATATTGTATATCGTCTTCTTGTGCCTTGAGATGTGATGGCAGATCACCAGCAACCGCCAGCGAACTCCATCCTGAATCCCCTACGTACGGCACCTCGTGATCACTGGACAACGGAAATTTTTCTTTTGACAGGACGGCTTCCTTCCTCGACGACCAAAAAACCGTCGTCTCGTTTTGACATCCTGTTACACATGATGAAGCACTCTCAAGCTCAGCCCGCTCCTGTTTGAGCGCGCTAGGGAACCCATCATCATCGAGGCCAAGTGTCGATTCGCAAGTTGCAAACCCAGTGTTTAGGCGCCCTCGACTATCCTCTGCTTCGACCACCTCGAGGTATCTCCAAGACCCGAAATTCAACAGATGGTAAGGGAATGCTACGCCCCTAACCCTCGATTGCCGTGGCAGGCGCGAGTGGCGCGGGGGGATGGGGGATATCGGAGTTCTCCGAGCTGCCGTTCCAGATGCTTGGCGCTTCGGACTGTGTGGAAAGTACGTCACTGCCGCCTGCCAGTCTCCCCTGCACCCATTCGTCCCTCAAATTGGTCTAATTCTCCTTGGTCCTCGTCAGCCTCGTCCTCTTCCCTTCCTGTCCATCCTGACAGCACGGGCGACAACCATCAACCCTTCGGTCAACCACCATCAATTAATCGAAAAACAACGCGCATTTTATCCTCGGCGCAAGGCATTTGTTACCGTCCGGTGGACTTGGGCTAATCTAGCAGCTGCGCCCGGTCAAACCGACTCGCGCATCTCTATCAATCGCTTCATATCAGGGCATTGACCATTCTTTCGCCGAAAATCATTTGATCAACTTGAAGCAGAGCCATCGCAGAGCGCTTCCTTCCAACCCACAAGCTATACTCGCGGCACCTTGCTCCCGCGCTCAACTGGTCAGTGCCCTCAAAGCAAGCCCCGCCTCGCAGCAACTCGCCTTGTAGGATCAACAATCTCGTCCTCGAGAACTAAGCACACCAGATCTGTCAAGTCCGCAACTCACAATTTTCTCGTCTAGATTTGGTCAACCTCTCTGCCGCCTCTCCCTTTTTTTCCCAAGGCCAAGCAAGGAAGCACCGCCGTATCCCAATCTTTCGCGCCGTGCCACTGGAAACGCGCATCATGGATGCGTTTAACAGCCGCCCGGCGGCCCCTAATCTTCAGGTACGATCGCCCTCGTACAGAAGCCCGGCACTGAAACACCAGCTGACATGAAAGCATGACAGGTCCCGCAGTTCGAGGGCACGCCTGCCCATCGCGACGCACGTTCCGATCACACCATGCCCAACAACATCAACGAGGGAGCTATCCAACTTGCAGATCGCGCACCAAACTCCGCATACGACACACCCTCAATCGGACATTCTAGGGGAAGAATCCCTTCCATCCATCGCACCCATTCACACTCAACTCTCGACGACCTCTCTTGTCCGAACAAGAACAGCACCGGTGGCAGTCCCACCCTTGACGAATGGGAACTGAATCTGTTCAACCGCTTGTCCCAAATTGTCCATGGACCTGGTGATCCCGGTCCCATCGGGCAACCCAGTGGTAGCCTTCCCGTTCTTGCTGAAGGAGGACAAGACGGCGAAGTCGCTCCCGTCGCCACTGAACCTGCTCTCCTCGAAGCAGTGGTTCTCCCCAAGACTAATTCCGCTCTTTCGCGCGGTGATCCCCAGCACCCGTCCCCGCAGCCTGTCGCCAGATGTAGTGAACCTCTTGAACTTGAAGTCCACTTGTCGATAAATACCTCACACTCATGCCCGCGGCCATGGGGATTCCCAAAGGTCGCCCGCGTAACACGGATGGTCCTTTTGGCCATGAACCCATCGCCATACGACCTCCCCAGAGTAACCCTCAAGAAGGCCAGCGGTCTCAAAGTGCTCAAAGTGGGTCGCAGGCAAGCCAGCCTCCCCAACACACGCGGGTCACCAGAGCCAACACACGTGCAGCCCAGTCTAGCTCACGCGCCAACCCCCCTGGGCCCCGGGGTAAGTCTACGAATACTACCCCTATTCTAGCATCTATACGTCGTCATTATTCCCAATGGGAGCTCGCTAGGCCCAGTCTCGAGGTCTTGGATACCGAGGATACTACTGCGAGTACTACTATAACACCCGCAAGTAAGAAGCGGCCGAGGCGGGAGGATAAGGAGGAGGATAGGGAGGAGGGGGTACCTATTAATAAAAACAATAATATACAGAGTATCATTTTCATCAGCACTAGCCAAACTCTATTGTGACGGCGCTGGCAGTCAGCGACCCACATGTGGGTCCCGCTATCGCTTGTGCGACCAGGATATTTATTTGGGTCTGCACGCTTGTATCTAGTTCTCTTCCTCTTTTCTCCTCCCCATCTGAAATCTTCTGTCATAGATGGAATCTTAGCTTTGCCTTCGACCCTCCCATACTATGCCCTTGCATCTATTTCCCTAGAGAGTTCTAATTCCCTAGAGCCCGCCCACTTTAGCCTAACTAAAGGAGGTATTTAAGTTGGAAGATTTAAATTTAGAGTTATCTAACCTACCCTCGTCCCCTATCCCTCCCTCTCCTTCCCCCTCCTCCTCCTCCTCCTAACTCTTTATTACCTAAACTATTAAACTAAAAGTATTAGTCCTTAATAATATATAGGGATTCTAGCAGGAGAACCTCCCTAGCGCCGTATTATACTATACGATAGACGACAAACTTAGCAATAATTTATTCCCTAATAATATAAAGAACCGGATAAATTACGTTAGGGAATTACTTATAAAAGAGGAGTAATTCGCCTAGCTACAATTAGAGGAAGAATTTAGTAAGCAGGCAGCCAAGTAGGTACAGAAAGAGGAGTATAACGTCTTTAACGATAAGCACCCCCTATATAACGTAAGCTTCGAAGAGGAGGGCTACTTTATTAAGTAGCGGCGTACCCGTTATAGTCCCCACAAATACCCTATCATTAAGAAAGAATTTAGCCTACCTTTCTTATACCTCTATTAAGGGAGGAAACTATACCTATAGCTAAGCAAGTCTACTTACGTCGCTAATACCAATATCGAGTAATTGAATAAATAGGAGAGACGTAAGAAGAAGAGGATAAGAGAGAGCTCGTAGGACGAGGATAGCTGCTTTAGGAGGGGATATGAAAACTACTAGAATAATAGGGACCTATAGATTGTATAGTAATATTTGCTAGGCAATAGAAAGAATCCTATTATATTAAGCGACTTAAAGTAAACATCACCAAATAAATAAAGAAAGAGACGGGGATTCTAAGCATTAAGACTGCAGATTCGTTGTGTATGTATGACTGCCATAACGGCGATATCGAATTTGAGGGGTTTATAATACTATAAAAAGGATTACGACTTTTACTCTGGCGGGAGCGATGTTTGGAGCATTTGAAGACCCCAATTTACCATACAAAACGACCGTATTTATATAACAGCTATCATATGGGTCTTAGAGTACGCGCAGGCTGGGCTTGGAGTGCGCTGAGGTTTTCTCTACCTTATCCCTCTTTGCAACCTCGTGATTGGGATGAGCGTGGCTATCCCATTCTTAACAACAAAGCTCCATCTCAACCTGGTCTTCGTCAGACTGGTCTTCCTCAGGCTGCTCTTCCTCAACCTGCCCTTCCTGAGCCTGGTTACTTTGAGGAAATCTTTGCTGAGCCGGACCATGCTGAGCCGGACCATGCTGAGCCGGACCATGCTCAGCCAACTCCTTCTGACAGCCCCCATCAAGAGCAGTCTCCGGCTGACCTTTTTGCTGACGAGGTTCTTCTAGAGCCTGGTCCGACATATTCTGAGATGTTTCCAGAGCCATCTCCTACTGAGCCCTCTCTTCCCATGGCCGCTCAAGTCGAGCCCTCACTTTCCATGTCCGCCCACCAAGAGCATGCAGCCACCGCTTCTCCTGAGTACGTCCCGGCTGAGGTCACTTCTTCTGAGCTCGCTTCTGCCGAGCCGGCTTCTGCTGAACCCTCTTCTAGCGAGCGCGTTCGCGAACCCATCATCATCAAGGCCAAGTGCCAATTTTCGGGATGCGATGCCAAGGCTTAGGCGCCCTCGGCCATCCTCTACTTCAAGCACCTCGAGGTGTCTCCTAGCGCGGAAATTGAACAGATGGTGATGGAGCGCTACGCGCGCGGATACTACACCTGTACAGGGTGTATTCGAACTGAAATGGCGGAACCTAGCAAGTATTGCAAGGTCAAATGTTTGGCCAAGAGCAGAGCGCAGAATAAGCGCAAGAAGGAGGGAAGACCGGCGAAGCGTGCCGGCGGAGGCGGCTCCAAAAAAGGGAGATGTCGGGTCGCGCAAGAAGCGCGACGGCAACGGAAAGGGTCCGGGATCTGGAGCCGCCGGAGCCGTTCTGAGCGGCAGGGTTCAGAAAGCGGCTTGAGACCTCCACATGCATCTCAAGCTTTGCTCCCCCATACGATCCGGCAGTACATAATCATCACCAAGTCTTTGTCTAGAAGGACCTGGCAGCCTTTGCCTTTCTTATTCGGAAGACGACTTACTTGAACGGGACATGCTGGCTTGGGCAATCGTGGCAGTGAACAAGACTGTGAGACGTCTTTGGGCTTTTCAGGCTTGTGGTGCTCGGAGCTGGTCCATCCTCCTCTCTCTTCACATCGAACAGCCTGCAATGAGATCAAACAATCATAGTGATAGCTTCGGCCTTGATAGCTATCGACAAAATTGATTCAATTCGAAATATATATCCATGTATCATGTCATCTTGCCTTCGTTACTTAGCCTTGAGTACAGGCCACAATCTCACGTCAACCAATTTCACTTACGCGCTGGGACTCGCCGTATGGTCCTCGAGCGTTACTCCCGAGGCTACTACACCTGCATAAGGTTTTTCCAGACCGAAATGGATGTAAAGAGCAAGAATTTTGAAGACAAGTACAAGCCCAAGGGAGTAACGCAGCGGACGCGGCGCAAGGAAGGGAATCCGGCGAAGCGTGCTGGAGGTGGAGTCACAAAGAAGGGTGATGTGGGTGACAGAAAAAGGAGAGACAGAGACGGTAAGGGAGGAGGCCATCATGGCGTGTTTTCCAGGATATCTCAACGTATAGTGTATGTGTTCTTGTCGTGACGGAAGCTAAGGTGGCAGTTGACAAGCAAACGCCAGCGAACTTCATCTTGCGAGCCACAAGGAGCCTCGGGATTACAGGACAAGGGAAGATTTTCTGTTGACAGGATGGGTTCCTTCGCTGACGGCGGTAAAATCGAAGTGTCGTGTTGACATCCCGTCAAGGACGATGATCACTGGTGTACCGCCTGTAGAAAGAAGGAGAGGGAGCCTGAGGAGGAATGTCCGGGGCGGTACGGAGCTTTGCCAGCAGTGTTCCAGGGGTTCGGAAGTCACGATCGGGCGGTCCATTAGCCAGGCTACAAAAGGAGTTGAGGAAGGAGCGAGTAACGATCCGTCTTAAGTTCTAGGTGCCGTTGACGATTCTTGGCGCTTGCCGGTTCGGTGGAGGGTCGTACCTTCCGTTTTCCTGTCTTTTTTTCACCGCATATTTTCCCCGCGGTCTTTGCCCGCCCGCGTTCCCTCTGTTTCACCCTCCTCTTTCCCTCCTCTCCATCCTGCCCATATTTCGCGTCCATATGTGCAGCACCCGAGGCGAACCCAATTTCTGCACAATACAACGGGGCGAATATTGAGGTCAAACGTTGGCGATTCTTCGTCTGCTGCTACGCCCTACGGTTGGAACCGCGTCCAGCTTGCGAAGTACAAGGAAGGACACTAAACCGCGATCTATCTTTTTCTCCCGCCTCGTCACTCTTTCTCCCTCACTACCCCTCAATTCTTGCCACTCCCGCACCTCTACCTGTCGTCCCTCCAGCGTCCCTCCCTCCTCCTTATATCGACGTCTTTACTTTCCTCCAGCATCTAGCGCTGTCTGTTGACTCTTCCGCAACTTTACTGCAGCACTTTGCGCTAGTGCCTCGCTTCGTCGCGCCTCCTGGCGCAACTTCCCCTGGCCTTCCTTGCTTCCCCCTCGTACCTGCGATTCTCCCATTACCGAGATCAACAGGCGCCTACGGCAACTGCGATCCGGCTTTCTACACACCTCATCAAATTGGCATAGGTGAGGGCAACCTCCTGCGATTTCGATCGCTTCGCCAGCAGCTAAAGTCAGTTCATGCTGTACCCTCCCAAGTGGAAGTCGTCGATCGCACCCAGGGAACTCGACTGATTCCGCTATGACCCTCTCTTAATCGACAAGATGGGAGATAACACTGAGCTTCCGATACCCCCTCTGCAGCAGGTAAGCGATTCCAGGTCTCCAAAGCCACCACATAACGTAGCGCCGGCTGACCTGAGGCAACGACAGATGGCTTCCGCAGCCGGACATGATAGTCCCATCGAGAATGTCGCCAAGACCGCTACGACTTCTCGGTTTTTTCGCCTCAACTTCTTCAACGACGGCAATGGATATATCCTTCTGAGCCAAACCGAGGGCGAGGGCTACATTACACCGAACACCACCGCGGGACCGCCACACATAGCCCAACCTTCTCATCAAAGCCCTGCCGTCTACAACGCCGCCGGGATCCGGGAGTATCACGCCTCCATGGTCAACCTGCAAGTCGTTGTCCAAGCCTACCATGGCCAGCACGGAGTGATCAGCTCATCCAACGAGAATGGACCTCCTCCTCGCTACGAGGTCGTGAGCAGCCCCTTTGACGCTGCCTTCGCCGCCGCCATTCCCTATCGGGCTCCGATCATCATCACCAATGTATGCAAGGACTGCCGTGCCGTGGCCTAGGGACCCACGTCACATTTGTGTTTCCAATGCATGGCGAACCCCCTTCCCGTGGCAAGGCAGGCAGTCATTAGGGACCGTCAGGAGCATGGCTTTTATACCTGCACCGGCTGCACGAACTCTTTGATGACACAGCACCGTAGACTCTGCCCGCGCTGCAGGAACTGAGACCAGCTTGTCCGCCGCGCTCAGGGGATGCCTGCGACTCTCAATGGTGGCGGTACCTCATAGGGGGGACATATTGGTGGCCGCAAGAAGAAGGAAAACCGCGGAGGGGACGGTCCCGGTGATGCCGGCGCTGCTGGCACCGCCCTGGGTGTCGATGCTGAGAAGAGGGCTTAGAGTGACGCCTTTGGCAAAGGTATATTTCAACTAATCGATACATATGATACAAGAAGGTCGGACATAGCATACCCGAGGTACGCTGTCGAAGCCTAAACAAGCTTCGTTGACATCGGCAGATTGGCTGGGTAACCCGGACACAGGTTTGTGCATATCGATAGTCAATAGTTCTGGTCAGATCACTAGAAATGGGTCATATCCTCAGGCCTCATGATTTGCGCAGATAGCTAGATGAGTTTCAACTTTTCCTTTTCACGAGCCCGCCGAGTGGCTTTCTTTCTTTGGTCTTTTTTTCATGGTATTTCGTCATTCTATCGTCTTGCCAACGCTTATGAACCGCAAACGCAACCAGTCTTAGTCTCGTACTATCAAAAGATGAAAGAAGATAAAATGACAGAAAAGCATAGTTCACGGACAAAGTGATTCAGGTGCTGGACGGGCGGTTACTTGTTTCTATGTTGGGGAATTGGAAGAACGTCTCGCTGCCCACGCTTATATAAAAAATACGGAAAAGCATTACGCCTCCGTGGTAAGTATTCTCTCTCCCTCCATCGGAAGCCGAGGGCCGACTACTGCAGCCAGCTGCTGACCCCTGTCCACCGGGAGCCTGGAAAGGCTCTGCTCCAGCCACATCTGGGGGTATGACGCGTGCTGGTAGGCCGGGCAACGCGGGTACGTACCAAGGTGGTCATGTGATCCAGGTTGATATTCTTCAGCGCCGATTAGAGCTTTCAGACATGCCGGTGGCTGGCTGCCTGAGGCTTGTATTCAGACCCCACCGTGTGCCAGTCGACGGGACTGGAGTGGGGAGTGATTTTATCCTGTCACCCTATAAACCCCCCGCTGCTCCATCTCCGCATTCCTTCCACCCTCGCTCACGAACCCCCATCCAGAGTGAAGAAAAGCAGCCACTTCTCATTCCATATTCATTGAAAAATATCATATTCACAAGCATCCAGCACGTCGATCAGCCCGGAGGTATCCTCTAGGTCGTCGACGGGCGTCGCGTCGAGTATCGATATCACCCACAAAGCAACCATCTGACAGTGACTACCGTCAACAAGACAACCTACAAACACACCATAAGGTACCTAAGTTATTGGCATCTTGTCGTCAATGTATGTCAAACGGCTAACTCACCCACCCAAAGGTCATCAATCTGCACAGCACCGCAGCAAGGATGGGTACTAGCAGAGTGTCTATGCCGACCCCTGGAGGTGGTTATGCCTCTACCCCTGAAGAGTCAGTCTATCCTGACATTTGGGGCGAGGACAACAATGTAAGTAACCCCGCATTTGTTCACTGAGCAGTACTTGTTCAAGCACAAGCTAATACGTTACGACTTACCATCAGCCCTCCAACGGCGACAATGCCGTTTTCTCAGATTGGTCAGGCGACGGCATTTATTCCTACGCAAACTCTTATTCCGGTCTCTATGGCTACACCGGTCATGCCCAGGGCCACCTGAGCATCTTCAACAATGGCAGCTCCATCGCCAGTGGCAGCTCCGTCGCCAAAGCCAGCTCCGTCGCCAAAGCAAGCCCCATCGCCAAAGGCAGCCCCAACCCCAAAGGCAGCCCCATCGCCAATTCTACTGCCAATCCCTTCGATCCTCCGGCCGGTAACGTTCCTGTCCCCGTTGATCAGGCTGGAGATGAAACCGACCATGCCAACCGCGCGGAGGTCGCCGGTCCGGCCCATAAGGGGCGCCCTCCCATCATCATCAAGTCGAAGTGCGAAGTTTGTAAGGCACCCGCCTAGGCACCGGGTGCCTCGAAGTGCTTTAAGGACTTGTCGAACCGACCCTCGAAGGCCCGCCAGGGGGAGATCAGGGTCACCTTTTCCAGGGGCTACTACGTTTGTAGCCGCTGTTACCGCGGAGAGTTAGAGTCCCAGAGGCTCTGCGATAAGTGCCGTGGTGTTGGCGAAGACACTAAGGAGAAGCGCAAGGCCGGAATCCCCCCCCCCCCCCCCCAGGGGGGCAAGTGGGCGAAGGGAAAGAAGCGAGCCAGGAAGGGTACTAAGTCGGCCAAGAAGACCAGCAAGAAGGTCAAAGGTGGCCGCGCTCAGAAGGGATCTAAGTAAGAGGCGGCAGGGAATCAGTAACTATTAAACACCAATTTGGCCGTTAGGGGTTGGGAAGGTCTTCAGCGCGCTGGGGTGGTGGTTTGATGGTTCGTGGTAGTCCACTTCCTCTTTTTTACTCTATTCTCTACTACAATACGGGGATTCTTTGATTCCCTTTTACCTCATCCTCCTCTAACATATTATATATCACTTTGTGAATCCGTCAATGAGACCAGCAATGCCAGAACTAAGCAGGCGGCGTTTGAGCACCAGGACACCGTTGCGGCGTTGCCGCCACAAACATCGTCGAGAACTCCCACGGTATTGTCCCCAACACCAATCAGGAGCAGCGAGCTCCCATTGTCACTAAGGAATAATGTTCTATCAAGCGTTGCAAGGCATCCGTCTAGGGTCCGGGCGCCGAATTTTGCTTCACGCACTTAAAGAACCATCCGTCTGCGGTCCGCCATGCCGCAGTATTTGACGGCCATAGCAGGGGTTATTACTCCTGCTCAAAATGCTTCATCCCTGGCTTGGAGACCGCGGGCCTTTGCCCTGATTGCATAGATCAGAACTTTGAACTTGATAATGGCTGAAGAGCCCTGGATCTTCGACGCGGCAATCGCAATGTTTGTGCCCATTCCCTCTCAACAGCAATCAGACTACCCTGATGGCCTGATATCTGGGACAAAGATGGCAACGTTGAAGTTTGGGAGCAAAATTACGACAAAGTCTGGCTTTCCAACGACACCGCAACCAATACCACCGGTAGCATGAGCCTCGAGGGTAATGACAACAACATCATCGCCTCCCACCAGGATGAAGCCACTCATACCCACCACAACGAAGCCATCGCTCCCCATCCGGACCAAAGCAACAACCCCATCCAGCGCGCGCCAATCATCATCACCAACAAGTGCCAAACATGTCCCGCACTCGCCTAGGCGTCGGGTGCCAGCTTCTGTTTCAATCACTTGGGCAACCGCCTGTCAAAGGCGCGTCAAGAGATTGTCCTCGAACGGTACGCTCGCGGCTATTCCATGCGGCAGCAAGTGCTTCAACGTCGAGATGGAAAAGCAAGAGCTTTGCCCAAAGTGCCGCCAGCCCGGCATTGACACCAAGGCTAACAAGGAGGCCGGCGTTCCGCCCAAGGGGGGCAAATGGGCCAAGGGTACGAAGCGCCCTAAGAAGGTCTAGACTCGCCGTGTCAAGAAGAGATCCATGTGAGAGAAGACAGGGAATCGGTAGCCTCGAGGTGCTGTTCAGCCGTTAGCGACTTAAAAGCACAACCGAAGATGGACCTACTGTCTCCAGCAATGTCAAGGGCAGAAGAACCATGAACAACAACGGCGGAAAGGTCAAGAATTGAAGACCATGATTGTGAACCCCCTGCCCCCGGCCAGAACGGCTATCACTCAGGCCGAGGGTAGAATTGGGTCGGAGGGATACGCTTCAGGGCGCGAGATGTGAGACCAAAGGCAGCTAGGGCCAAGATGTAAGGCGAGTGCAGCTTGACACAAGACGTGGGTGTGTTCATCACCCTCCATATCTGCACAGGACCAGTGCCTTTGTCCACACTGGGGAGGTAGTAGAAGCCATGGCGGTGGACACCCACTACGAAGCCCAGTCCCCATTGTATCTAGCGTACTCAGTAGTACCTAATCTCATCATTGTTCTGTCATTCTTTGTTTCGCTTTTGTTTCGGTTGTTCGTTGTCTTTCTCTTTGTCATCTTTGTTGTGGGTACATGGCAAATCGAACTCTCGTGGGCAGAACCCCTGTAGATCTCGTAATCTCAACACCATTCTGTATTGTCATTTGACCTCTTACTTTGATTGGCAGCAACTTTTGGCTCCGTCCTGAGTTTCAGTGTGTTTTTTGGGCGTGATGCTGAAGAAGACGCAGTGAGTATGGCGAAAAATGCCGAGCCCAACGGTGCCAATCCTGGTAGAGGCTGACAGCTCGTACAACGATCTTCTGTTAGGGCGGAGCTGCTGAACACGCCTATATAGCGGACTGCACTATCACTTACACAGATTCTCCACCCGGTGCACGGTCACAGCCTGGGCGGTTATCGGCAAGATGTATACTGCCTTATCGATAAGCGATAAGCACAAGCACCGGGTCTTATCGGTTTCTGTTTCTTGGTCGGGTCGGGGTATTATAATGGCCTCCACGCGTATAAAGGCTCGGCTCCGCATTCTAGAACCTGAACTGGTCTGTGGCCTGCCGGCGGCCCCCGGGGTGGGGTCTGTGCTTTTGCTTTTGCTCATCCCCGATTCCCCGCGGTGTTCTTCCAGTATCAACACTCCCACATCGTCGATGTCGAAGCATATCACACTGGGTTGGTAAAAACACAAGAACAAAGCCAGCACTGAACCATGTTTCGTAGCGATCACAAAGCATTGCCTCCGGGCTACCCGAGCCCCGATGTTCTCGATCCGCGGCTTTTTGGCCACGCTTCTGTCCAGGTAGGAATCGCACAGTTCGGTCATCAGCCATGCCCGGAGCAATTAAGCTGACTTGTCTTGAAGGAAATGAAGAATGGACGTGTGATGATGTCTCCTGGTGCCACGGGCAACTCCAAGCCCTCCAAGGATACTTCCGACGATCTTGGGGTTGGCAAGAGTTCAGTCCGCTTGCCCAGCTACGCGGCGTTGCCGCTCGCCGACGACCAGCATGGAGGCCAGGTTGAACAGAGCGAGAGCTCTGAGATAGGCTTGAAACACGTGATGGCTTCAATTGATTCGCCCTTTGAGGTCAACGGAGTATCCTCCCCCTGAGGCTACCAAGGCCCTCGCAACCTTTATCAGTCTTTTTCCTGCCTTAACGATACCACTGCTGAGGATGTGGTTGTAGACAGCCTCATTTCTGCTGTCGACAACTCGGACTATCCGCTCTGGCCGCTCACGGGAGAAAGACCCCCAAGCAGATGGTTGACTTTCATGGCCTCGGCCGACTCCAAAGATCCAGTCGCATGTTCCCAACTTTACGACATGATCAGCGATGAGCTGAAACGGGCTTGCTTCCAAGGCGAGAAGATGGTAGCCAGCTCCAACAGGTTGACCTCTCAACGCCGTGTGCCGAATACTCCTGGAAGACGCTCAGCCCTCCGAGGAAAGTCGGGCTTTGCCGGCGGAAACATGAAGCTCGCCAACGCTGTCTCGGATTCGAAGTGTCCTAAGGCTCTGGACGGCAACAACATCACCACCGACAACTCCAGTGTCCAGGAAGATCTTGTTACTGGTACCATCGACGTCAAGCCATTCGTCGAGTCCAGCAGCAAGCGCTTCGTCGACCTAATGTCTCTCAGCAAGAAACCCGGCATCGGCGCAAAGCGTGTCCTTCAAGGACTTTCCACCCTCAAGGCCTGCGCAGGTCACGATACCGACGAGGAGCGCAACACCCTCCCAGCCAGTCACGCCAATGTTGAGCTCAAGCGTCCTTCTCAGCCCGAGCCAATTGTCCCGCTCGCTTCAGACACCTGCAAAGGCTACAAGGACAAAAAGGGGGGAAAATTGATGCCTTGCAGCTTGAAGGCCACCGTCTAGCAACCGGGTGCCCGAAAGTGTATCGACCACTTGACCCCCCGCCCGAGCGGCACTTTGAGGCGTTTGATCGAGTGGCGCCACGCCAGAGGCATCTGGTGCTGCTCCGGATGTATCTGGCGCCGCGCCCCTAAGCGTAACACTCTGTGCGAGAGATGCGACGAGAAACGCAAGGCTCGTAAGGGCGACGGAGCCGGCGATGCCAAAACGGAGGTCGCCAGTGGATCCGCTGGAACTGGAGTTGACGAACCGTTGCCGTCGAAGGTATCAAAGACGTCAAAGAAAGGAGAGACAGCTGGGTCTGGAATTCTCGACGGCAGCCACAAGGTCGCCAAGGGAAGAGTGGGCAAGAAGAACCAAGCCAAGAAATAGGAGGTTGCAGTCTAAGAGCCAGCATCAATGGTTCAAGGCGGTTCGGATCCAAGCTAGTTGAACCAAAAAAAGGATCAACACCGAGGAAAGGCTTCTGCCCCTGATAGGGCTGAGAACATCCCGGAAAACCCAAGGAATCGAGGAGACAAAGCCGGAACCGAATAATGGTTTGCTTGTTTGGTGGGTCATTGATGTATCAAGAGTCCGAGGAACTTGATCGATGCTATTATCATTCATGGAAGTTATATTTATTCCCAATAGCATTGGCATACGGACCGAATGAGTCTGGGAATGATCGTATCGGAAATGACGGATTTACAGAGCAACGTTGGAGGGGATCGTTCAAGGGTTGTATTCTTCGGAATTACAAGGCTCGACGTAATGAGTCAAGTTATTAGAACAGATCCACATAGCTTCGGTACTAGTTCAAGAGAAGGATGAGCAACTCGTAGTACAGAGTGTGGAAAGAAGTACACGACAGTGACAATGTTCCTTTTTTGAAACCAACGGTGAAATGAGTGAGGAAACACGGGAGCCACCAAGAATGGGCCGGGCGTACACTACATTTACATAGACGTCAACACCTGTCACATGTTGATGGAAAGCAGGTTGTGAGGTCTGGTGCCAAGCATACGTGAGCACATTGCAGTTTCCTGGGACGGGTGCATGCAGCCATTCCTCCTTCCTGAATTGACCGAAGCCTTGACATGATCGACATCAGATTGAATGCAGTGCACATGCATAACTCAAGCAGGTGCGAACGGCGAGCGTCCCTTCTCTTCCAAAGGATCGGACGAATGCTAGGGCTAGGGTTCAATACCAGCCCACACATGATAGTTGATAGCCACACCCGATAATTCCAGCCAGGCGAGAAAGGAAACTCTTTCGTGCCTTCCTGTTACGCCCGTCTTCCGTTATATAAAAAATGAATAACCGGCCGTTCACATTTGAAACAGGCCATTAGGGTTCTCGTCCATGACACCCCTTGTGATTGGCGCAGGGGTCTCCGGGGTGGGTCTCCGAGGTGGGTCGGTATTCCGTCCGGACCCCGGACAGCCCCGGAAGACGGGACGGAGTCCCTAATCGGCTCTCAGTACCGGCGCCTGGTCAAATAATACTGTAGCGGCTGAACAAACGGAGGCAGAACTATTCACTGCCGGGGGGCAGCGGCCCGCGTCTTCGGCTGCCGTTTCCTCCATCATTTTCAGCTGCTCAAGGTTGCTTGGCTTTGGGATGGCGTTGGGAGGTGAGCTTGCATGTTATCGTAGGTATTGGACTGGCGTAAAGTGGAGCACTGTAGCTTACACATTTCGGCGGTAGGGATAGGGTTCCCTCGCCGGGATTTTGTCGGACGGTCACGAACTTGGCATTTCCATGCGAGACTGGTATGCAATCCAATGTTGGCAACTGCGAATGCACCAAGTTACCTCTTTCGGGTTAGACTTCGGCCGTGCACGCCTTTTTTCTTTTCTTTCCACCTCGCTCCGTCGCGCAAAACTTGCTGTTTTCAACAACCGCATCGTCTTCTGCTTTTTACCACATCGCGCTTTCAAGTAATCCTTTCAGAGCCTACGGAAAGTGCTTGAAGCAACCGCCAACATTCTTTGCTTCCTTCGCCGAAACGGCGGTGGATTCGGTCGCGCTAACAATTCCATCCCTCCCAGCGCCTTGTGCGCGGTCCCACTTTCAGTCCACTCCCGTCCTTGCTCACTCTTCTCTCTTTCCCACATACTGGAGAAACCGGCGAATTCTCACCAGTTGAAGAGTCGTACACGACTTCTCCTTGGGTAGCAGGTTCCCCAGTCGGGCTACGTCAGCGATGTGCCCTACCCAAATCCCTTGAGTAAGTTCAGTCCCCGCAAAGCAAGATGATCAGTATCACTAATCAGCGATAGAATTATCGGTCCTGTTACGGGTCACGTCTGAACACACCCAGGGAGAACACATCTTCTCCACTACCTAGTTTGAGCTTGGAAGTGCGGTTGTTTCCAGGTAAGAAGCTGCAGAGTCTGCAGCAAATCGACTCAAAAAGCATGCGAACGCAAGCTGACATGCAGGCGACAGCAATCTGCACGAGGCGAGTAACCGAGGTTTTTCAGCGTCCGTCAGCCTGCGGACCACAAAGATGAGCTTCTTCGAGGAGGGATTCTCTGCCGACTCGGCTGCCCATCCAGAGCCTCCCACTTCATTCGACTCTGGTAACGGCTCTGACTTCTCCTGGGAAGATTGGTTTGACTGGGATGCTTATGATGCCGACAATGGCGCCGCCCTGGAAGCAAGCCAGCTTACCCAAGGAGACACCTCTACCGATAATAACCATTTCGACGACAAGAATGGTCTCGGAAAAGATGATGTCGCCTCTTTCGACGACGATATCGTTATGAGCCTGGACAATGGCACTTTCCCTGGTCTTCAACCCATGGACGTCGACGATTCTGTCGATGTGGGTGCTTCGAAAAATGGTCTGCACAACTCATGCCTCGCCAGACCTATAGAGAAGGCTAGCACTCTTGACAACTCCAACAGCCATGAGAAGACCGGCACGAATCATGACCCTAAGGACTACGACGTCAACCTCGATAAGCCCAATGAGAGCTTTGGCAGTAACTTCCCTCTTGACCAAGGCCTTCAGGATGGTAGTTCCCATCAATGGAAGAGTACCCTGCAGATGCCCTCCTTCCCTCATGTCCAGAAGAGCGTCAACTCCAGCGCTGGCAACTTTGGCACCAAGGGGAGCAATGGTGACTTGAATCATCTGGCTGAATTTCAGAAATGGGTCTTAGGTTTGGACGCTACCACAATGCTGCTACGCACCGCGCAAGAGGCAATTGGCAAGTCTTCCAACGCCTCTTCGGGCGATAGCAACGCAGCTCGTTTTACTGCCCCTTATTCGAACATCTCCCAAAACAAGCACTACTCTGTCAGTAGCGGTTGCAATGGCAACCCAACGCCAATCTCCCCTATCCCCCGCGCCTCCAACGGCGTCAACATCCCTAGCTACACCGGCAGCTTTTCTCCAGAGTTTCCTGCGAAGGTCGCCTTTCCCACCGTTCCCGTCGAACGTCCCGTCGAACGTCCCGGCCTTCGTGCCGCCATTGTCTCCAAGAAGGAATGCGACCACAAGAGCACCAACAAACATGGCAATGTAGTCAAATGCAAGAGTCTGGTCCAGCAGCCCGGAACTCGCAAATGTTTTGTCCATCTGGGAAACAAGGTCGGACGCGACCGTCGCGCCCTCATCGAGTGGCGCCACGCCCGTGGAATCTACACCTGCACCAGCTGTTGCAATTCTGCCGTCTTCATCAAGAGGACTCTTTGCAAGCATTGTCGGGACCAGGACGAGGACGGCAAGAAGAGGCGTGCCGCTGCCGCGAAGCAAAAGGCGGAGGAGGAGAAAGCCGCCGAGCAGGGAGAGGCAGCTGATACGCTGGCGACCTTGGCTGATGTTGCGAGTGGTGGACTCGGTAACACAAGCTCTGGCACAAAGCCTTTCGAAGGAGCAGTCGCACTTGGGAAGAATCACGAAGAATACCGCCAAGTCGAAGAAGAAATGAGGGCCGGGATGGCGAGAGAAAGTCCTTGAAGCGATGGACTTTAGGTAGAGGGCTAGCATAGCCACCGCTCTACTACAGGGGCTTTCATGGCAGTGGCAGATAGGAGTTGCGGGCCACAGGATATTGGACTGTTGCTCGCCGTATAGATGGGGAGGAATCTTGAACGGCGCCGGTTGATTGACCCGAGGCAGGTTAGTCGGACATCTGGGAGCCTCGATGTTATGATGGTTCCCGCCCATTTCTAGTCCAGAACGTGAGAGATCCTAAGAGATCCTCCTATAGATAGAAATTCCCCTATTGAGACATGTGAGTCAGTGTCGACACCAAGCAAGCACTCAGAACATCGTGGCCGCGATCGTCACAGAAAGCGACACGGTAAACATCTCATTTGTCATTTCCGTCATTCTGATCGCCTAGACAAGATGTCTGGAAGCCAGATTCCCAGCGAGGATGAAGTCGACCTCGCCACAGTCTTTCCTTCATTGCTCAATGGCTTCAACGCCTTCCAGGCAGTCTGCGGCAATGATCCCAGTTCAGGCCTTGTGGTCTCACCCAACTTTGCGGTGCAGGCGCGCAGTCACGAGGAGGTTATGAAGCTGCTTCATTACTTCAACAAGAAAGTCAACGACCTCGACACAGCTGTCACGGCCGAACAGAACAGGGCGCTGCCGTGAGTTTACTTCCCAAGCGAAACACCTGCGGTTTCTTGTTGATGGTCTGTTTCTAACATCAGACGCAATCCGGGTTTTTAGCGAGGCTGGTATTGGTTCCGATGTCATCAACTGCGAACGGAAAAAGAGTCGCGCTGCGTTTGCCTCACGCCAGAGTGCGATGTCGTCTCTTCTCGCCAGTCAGATCTCGGCCGGCCCCATTCCTTCCTTTTTTTCCACCCCGCTCCCCTCACGTACAAAATCTGCTCTTTTCAACAACTGCACCGTCTTCTTTTCTTTTGGCGGCACCGCAACTTCCAACCCTCTCAAAAGTCTCTCGCTACTATCGATTCAAACGTGGAGAACAGAAGAAGACGGTGAGGAACTGGAGGTCTCTTCAGGCCGCACAGAGTAAAGTACGTCCACTTTACACCCTCTATTGGCCGACGCCCAGAACCGGAGCTCAGTTCGTAAGCGCATCCGCTACCACGATTGTAGCACACAGCAGAGCCGCGCTTCATTCTGGCTTGCCTGCAAGCCCTTTTCGCCATCTTCCTTTCGCAAGCTCTAATTAGCACAGCCAGTTATTAGCAGGTGAGGAACCCGCTTTTTGCCCAGGATACCTGCGATCGCCAACTGACATGAGGGTGATAGCACGCCGAGATCTGATACAGTTTCAGAGGGATCATTGAGGTGTACGACGGGGCATCCTCCAACTTGCAGCAGGCAAGAAGCCACCAACATGGAGGCCTTTTCCGAAGATTGGGCCGACTTCACCGCTGTTGAAGCCATCACCAGTTCTTGGCATTCTTGGCACAAGTGGATACGATCCACACATGCTTACCCTATATATAAGTCGGACTCTGTCCTCCTCTTCCCTTTACTCTTTTCTCTCTCTTCAATTAATCAAGACATTCACTACCACATTCGTCGTCTCACGTAATCACCTCCTCTGTATAATTCAATAGGTTATAAGCCTGGACACGCTATACGTTCCGTAAATAATAATTAAATTTATAATCCTTACCTACCCCCCCTTCCTTACCTTTTTGCCCCCTTATTACTTTTTTTCTCTTTAAAAAAAAACATTATTCGTATTCTAAAAGAATTATGCTTCTTACTAAGCGTAAATACTGCTATTAACTATAACTATTATATATATAGTTTATACTCGCACAGACTATACTTACGGACTACTGTATATACTATATATATAAAAAAAACCTTAGCACTTTAAAACGCGGGGATATTTTACTACATTACAAATATATTAGATTTTTCCTAATATTTTATTATTATAAAATTTATTATATTTTACGAAAATCTGTTATCTTTAACAAAATCGTTCAATTTTTAACGTATTATAAAATTTTATTTACCCTCGTATTAATAAAAGCGCGATTTACCGAATAAAAACCGCTCTCGCCCGTTTTTGCTACCTAATTAATACTTTATATACTCCGCTATTATTATTACTTCGCCAGCTATAGTATCTATTATTTCGCTACTACTTTATGTTGTAATAATTTATAAATCCCTTAATAAGTTGGATATCTATATCTATATCTATAACTTAATATAATTACCCTATATAATATCTTTAATAGAATTATAAAATATATCAATATTACCTTTGGCCGCGCCCTATAAAACTATTGTTTACCTGCCGCTATTTTAATTACTGCGATTTCACCTATCTTTCAAAAAATATTTCTACCGTACCTTAAATTTTCTACGAATCCTTCCAAAATTCAACTTTTACTGTACTTTTATTATAATCTTTTATTATTATTCTTTTGGGCCTTGCTTAAAATCTAATACTACTTTCACCCTCCAATTCTATAGATTTTTAAAACTTTACTACTATAATTCCTCTTCTAATTCCCATTCCCTTACTACCGCGTTTTAATATCCGGCCCCGCTGAATATCCAAATCGTAACTATACGTAATAAAAACGTTAATAAAATAATCGCCCTCCTAATTTTTATTAATGGAAATGATAATTATACTGCTTAATATTACGCCCTTACTACTTATATTTTAATGCATTCTAAATATAACGTTATTAATAATCCTAACCCCTCCGTTCATCGCTCTAATATCCCCAAATAAAAATACTGAAAGAAAATCGACGATTAAAAAACTAAATAATACTAATAATTTAATTTCTTTATTAATAAAATCGCTACTACGACTTATAACGAATTTAAAAATTACAATACGACAACAATCGTAGAAACTTTCTAATAGGCCTTTAATAACTGTCGCCCTAAAGATTCTAAAAATTTACTAATACTTTAATTCGGTTTTACGTTATTACCCTCGTTACCTATAATAATATTACCGATTATATTAACTAGTTATACATTATTTAATATAAATTTATTAAAATGAATTTTATTTATTACCTTTTACCTATTACGGGTCTACTAGGTATATATAGTAATAGGGGTAGAATAGAGCTTGAAATTATTAATAAAGGGGAAAAAGAGGTCCTACAAGCCCGGCTAGGCTGGAAGGACACCTATATACTAGAAGCCTAGCTAATTAGGGAGCAGGTAAATAAGCGGGTCTACAAACCCTATTAAAAGTCTATAATTCTAATTTATAGCCAAACTCGACCTCTAAGCGCCAGCCCCTTATATTACCCCCTAATTCCCCCTCCCGTACAAAAAGAATAATAAAAATTATTATATATAAAGAAATATCCCTAAAATCCAATAAACAGCCTCTCATCTATACCGTAGAATTTCTATTAAACACTCCTAAACTAAATACCCTAAACAATTAAAATATAGTAATAAAATAACGTAAATAACCAAACCTCTATATCCATCGTAGAATTTATATACATATTACATACCTACTATAAAAACTAAACCCCTAAGAATTATTAACTTTACTACCTATATTATACATATATCTAGCTAAACCACTATATATAACCTAGTCCTATCTATCTATATAAACCTTCGTTCCATCTATCCTACTTAGTGTATTATTAGCAACTATATTATTCGGTTAATAATCTATAACTTCTTTAAGTAAATAATAAAGCCTTAATAGAATAACTTAATATAACTTCTACTATTTATACTTATAGAGTAATAATTAAACGACTTCTCCTTATAGTAATTATAATTATATATTATAATCTATTATAACCTTATATTAATTATTATAAAAGTTATTAATTAAATGTAAAGAACCCGCTGACCTCTCTTCTTCGTATATAAAATATAGTCGGGTAATATAAAAATTAAATGTAGAGGGGGTTCCGTCCTATTTCGGCTAACGGATATTTTTACGCTTAAAATTGTAGTAAAGAGCGGCTTCTTATATAGTACCAACTATAGCGTTCGGAGTAATAATAATTATCGTAATACTTATATTAATATTAAAGGGGTTCTATTAATTTTAAAAAGTAAGCTATATATTAAGTATTATTCTTATTACTTAGGCGATCATATTATTAGTAAATAACGTCCTAACGAAATTTTCCTTCTCTTGTACGAAGCGTATAGCTTTTTTCTTTATAATTTCTTTTTATTCTACAGTTGTAGCAGCTATAGCGGCGGAAAACTCTACAGGAATTCTAATTACGGCCATTTAGGTAGGTAGGCCCTACTATTACTATTATAACAGCTACTTATCCTATTCTATTAAATCTATTATAATAGAACATAATATAATAGGAATAATATAATTAATATAAATACTAGTCGTATAATTTAATTAAGGTTCTATAAAGAAGGAAAGTTCTATCTAAGAGGCGGCTCCACCGGAGATGCGAAGTTTTGATGGGGGCTGCACAAACATAGCTACGGCGCCTCATAACAGCTCTGGTCGATGACCAAAGCGCCACAGCCCGGGCCTTAGCCCTATAACATATAAGAAATTTTAAAAATCGACTTATAGCTATTTCAATACCATCTAACCCTCGTATAATTTTATAAATATATTTACTTTAACCGTTATATTAAAACGAGTCGATTAATATCGCTTATATAGTTTTACGACCTCTATATAAAAAATCCTTATTTTTTTTTTCTTTTACTTACTTTTTTATTTTCTTTTTTAAAAATTTATTATATTTAATATTACATTACCGTTCTTATATTAACCTTTATCGCGGTAATCCTTTTTTCTATTCAATTTTACTAATACTAATCGTATTAGGCGAAAGAAAAATACTTATAAATAACTTTACTTTCGCCGTTTTTGGCGTTTTTCCACCTATTTTCTCGTCACAAAGCAATCTATATTTAAATCGAGAGGGAATATTAAAACCATTACTAATTCTTAGCATTCTTAGTACAAATAGATACGATCTATATATACTTACCCTATATATAAGTCGGACTCTATCCTCCTCTTCCCTTTACTCTTTTCTCTCTCTTCAATCAATCAAGACATTCACCACCACATTCGTCGTCTTACGTAATCACCTCCTCCGTATGGTTCAACAACCGCCAATGATGAGCGCTTGTCACCCGTCAGAATTGCGTGGTCTGCTTCGCCCAACGACGCCGGAAGCTCCGAAAGGGAAAGTTACGAAGGTTTGGGATACGACGAAGGCAATGATCTCCTCTTCGAGCCCAATGATGTCGGTCGTGATACGGGCAACGACTTTCTCGGCGGGGGCTTCAGCGACCAAACCACCCACGCGTCTTCCTTCAGTTCGGCAAATCTATCCCTGAATGAGCAAGGAGGCAACCTTCATATCCCGCCGGAGGTTGTACCTGGCGACGACAGCCGTTCTGGTCAGGACGAGGTCGCTTCTCCGAATGACGATGCTAATGCGGGCCTGGACGACGGTGATCTAGTCCAGTATCTGAGTGAGGGAGCTGAATACTATGAGTTTGCCGCTACAGGCACCCCAGTGGGCAGCAGTCAGAAGAACGGCCCCAACGCATCTCTCGAGGGAGCATCTTTTGTCGATGACTTGGGTTTCATTTTCGGTGGTTACGCTTCCCCGAGTCACAACACCGACAGAGCTCTCAGCACCGGCAGAACTTTCAGCACCGATAGAGCTCTCAACACCAACAACCATATCAGCACCAACAACTCTATCAGCACCAACCAGAGCTCTATCAGCACCAACAGCTATATCAGCACCAACAGCTATATCAGCACCAACTAGAACTCTATCAGCGCCAACCAGAACTCTATCAGCATCAACAACTCTATCAGCAGCGACAACACTGTCAGCAGCGATGATACTGTCAACAACGACAGAGCCAACTTTGGTGTCGATCACAGCGAGTTGTCCATCTGCCATGAGGAAGTCAGCCAAATCCCTGATTCAGGCAATCCCGTTAGAGATACCTCTGTTGAATCCGATCCTTTCGCCGACGAACAAGGCTTTGATATGCCCTTTGCCTCCCAGCTTCCTTCCAACGGCGTGGAAGTGGGTTCTAGCCCAGAACAGTTGGGCACCAACACCCAGAACCCACTTGAGATCTCTGACAACGACGTTGAGGATGGCTTCAATGACCCGCACATGCCCGGTTCACCTGCAGACAAAAACTATCCATCAACCACAGCCACAAGGCCCACATCCCGGACTTTCGACTTCCATAACACCGAGGCACCAGTCTACGTCTCTCATGTCGAAGTCGAGCTTGTCGTCCCTGCTCCCCGCAAGGCCATTATCCCTGTGGTGGCCTTGTGTAAAGAGATTAAAATAGTCGAGCTGGATGGCACCGAGGAGGACTGCCCAAATCCCGTCTAGCAGCCGGGAGCGAGCAAGTGCCTTAAGTGCTTAAACAACAAGACGAGCAAAAGGATAAGGGAAGTTATTTCCTGGCGCCTGCAGCGGGGCCTCTACTCCTGCACAGGCTGCTACATTGGTGGCGGGCCGACTCCCAACGTCCTTGACGAGAAGTGCGTCGAGAAAGGCAGAGTCCAGAGGGCTAGACGTGCGGCGGCGGCGGCCGCCGAGGCAAACGGAGGACAATCCGACGCCCAGCAGGACGATATGACCAATGGAGAGGCCAGTTTGGCAGATGAAGGTCATCGCGAGGCTCAAGTTGGGGCCGCCGGTTTGGATGCTCCGTCTACCGTCTCCCAAAACAAGAGAGGCGCTTCGACTATGGCGGGCAACGAAGATGTTGGTAGTAGAGCTACGAAGAAACCTCGCGTGACCAAAAAGCGCGGAAACAGCACTTCGGAGCCGATCAAAAGGCTTGAAAGTCCTAAGCGGAGGATGAAAGGATTGGGGCAGCCTCCGGCTATGCCTTGAATGTTGGGACATTAGAATAGAGGCCCTCGGAGGATTTGGTAGGCGACTGGAGGCCACAAGCACGCTGGCATACCTGCTCGGGGATAATTTCATGTCTTTGGAGCAGAAGAGACGTCATCGGTGTCTCCTGTGAGATCGATGATCCCACCGAGGTCGAGGATGATGAGGACTTCTGGTGAGGCTTCGGGGGATGCCTGTGCAGACTGCGCGGGACGCTGACCCAAAAGCAGGGGAGAAGCTTGTCCTGCCACTGCAACGGGAACTGGCGTGGCTGGCTGGGCCAAGCAAGAGGGGCAAGAAGCGTTTATCTGCTTATGAGCTGACTCGAGGGAGGAATTATTAAGACTTTGCAAGGCAAACCCACAAGTTCGACGTGCTCAAGAATCACTGAATATTCTTTGAGCAGAACACAACTCGGCGTACGGTACGTAGCCTCAAGGTTCATAGAAGCAGCCCGGGGTTAACACGGAATGGTCGGTTTGTGCCTTGTGGTATATGGCATGACATAGCATTCATACCTACCCATTAACCTCATATAGGGATTAACTACAACGCTTTTCCATACAAGGGTTGCACTAGATACAGTTATAGAGACAAAAGATAACTTACTTAGAAATTGGCATGTTCACGAGTGTGACGCACAGAAGTGAGTTTGGGCTACATGATTTTAGCTCTATCAGTGCGGGCAACAGAAGTCCCGGTGCCTGTTCTCACTTCAACCCTGTGATCAACTTCACGCTTCAGCGAGATGGCGAGAAAGCTTGAGAAACTTTATTATATATACCTTGAAAACTAAGTTTGCCTGCAGTCTTCCTCCAACAATCCTAGCAGGGCCGGTTCATCGGCAAACATGGAACTGTCAACCACCACAGCCACGTCAAAGTCTGCCGAGTCCATGGCATCGAGACCCCTACATGTAGGTGAGCTCAATACTCCCAGCAGGCTGGTCAAGCCAACTTCAACCCTCAACACCCCAAGCAGGCTGCACGTGGTCATCGTCTTTGTCTCCCAAGCCGGTGCCGACAACTGCTCCTCCTCCTCAGCCGACGCCTGTGCCGAGTGCGTGCCGTGAGCGTGTGCTGAAGAAGCTGTCCAAGCCTCGCCGCTACGTCCTGCCGCGTTCGTATGATCTCTTTCATTCGGACTCCGTTTTTGAGCAGATGGTTCCTGAAGCTCTCTTTGCGGCGGCAGTGCCGAAGCCAGCTGTGGCAGAAACACCCATTTCTAAACCGGTTGTACAACGGTACGATGATGGTCGATACCACCCAGGTCGATTGCCCGAATCCCGTCTAACAGCCGGGAGGAGCAAGTGGCACTCACAGCAAGGATACGACCTTTGAAGTCCATGGCTCTGCTTCCGCGTACCAGGAGGGATCTGAAGACGAGGAAGCTGAAGACGAGGAAGCTGAAGACCAGGCAGCTGCGCCCGGCCCTCGTGAGCCCATTGTGTCCACAGAGCAATGCGATGAAACCAGCACCAGCAACGGAGTCCAAGTACGCTGCCCGTTCCTTGTCTAGCAGCCAGGGACGACCAAGTGCTTGGGCTGCTTGCACAACAAAGTCAGCCAGAGGCTGATCCACCTCATCAGGTGGCGCCATGAGCGCGGCATCTGGTGCTGCACTGGCTGCTATTGGAATTAGAGCGCGAGGCAGAGCACACTCTGCAAGAAGTGCTGCGACAAAGGCAAAGTCCAGAGGGCTAGGCACAAGCCCACCCAACTTCGACAGCTCAACCAAACCGTGGTTTATACAAGCGTAGCCTAGACGCTAGCATTACGGGGACCAACATTGACCTAACATTGAGAGAGGAAACTAGACCAACTCGTCCCATAAAGAGAGGCGCTCCGTGGGGTAACCGTTACTCAGCTTCCTGAGACTTCGGCAATGACTCCCGAGCGGGTGAGGAATCCCGACATGAAACGGGTTCAGCCGACTATGGCTGGCGAGGAAGATATTGCTGGTGGAGCTACGAAGAAAGCCCGCCTAGGTAGCCAAGAAACAGAGCAACGGAACTCTGGATGTTGACGAAGTCGAGTCAGCTGATGGTGTCTACCCCAAGCGTTTTGGATGAGAAATACCGGGCGAAGGGCGTTTGCAACGAGACTGGCATTCTCCCGTTTGGTGCGGGTTCGTCCCATCTCGTCCCTTCAAGCCCTTCAGAAAACGCCTGCCCCACTTCTGCCTCCTTTGTTCTTTCCACCTCGCTCACCTCGCGCACAAAATTCGAGCATTTTCCCAGCTGCAATTCCTTCCACTTCTCACCCTATTGCGCCTTATAGCTCAAAGGCCTACCTTCTGCCACACATTTTGCGCAAATCGAGGGGTAAAAAAAGCGCCGAGTACTTTAGCATTTCGAGGAATCCCAACGGTAGCTCAGCTGTAAGTCAGATTCCTCAAGAAGAAGCGGGCGAAGCGTCGCTCATCAGCCCGCAGAATTCTCGTATCACATCGAGGCGCGTTGCCGATTGCGCGCAAGGCAAATTTGCCCCCTCCTGTGCTTCCCACGGCCTACTCAAGTCAGTCAAGTAGAGGTATGAAGACTTCAGCATGCTACATGCCGCCCAAAGTTTGAGCGCGAGCTGACGTGCAAGTGACAGGAATTTGAGAGCGGCAAGGAAGTTTCGTGGGCTCATCAGGACGACCAAACAAACCCAACAAAATGGCCGACGAGGGTCATTACAGCTTCTTTGAGGAGGCTTTTTTTAACCGCCACGAACCTTACGAACTTCTTTATGGCGACAACGACAACGATGCCGACTTCGCAGACCGTTTTGGTTATGAGGGCGAGTGGGGCATGGATGAGAACGACTTCGCCTCCATTCAGCGCAACTCAAGTTTGGAACCCATTGACGAGCCCTTCCTTCTTCAAGAAGGAGGCCTAGGCGCTGCAGAAAAGTCCTCTGTTTCACCCCTGAAGAACTTCAGTAGTACTTTCCACAACGCCCTCACTCCTAACTTGGAGGATGCGGCAATCATTCTCAATTCCCCCAACGCCGCTCCCGAACCCGTTGCTTTTTCCAAGGACAAGAACCTTATCACCAAGGACGATGCCGTTTCCTTCGGAGACGACTCTAGCATAGAGTTGGACAATCTCCAACATGTCCAGTTCTCAAACGTCGACAACCAGTATAGAGTAGACACTACTGCCCACACGTCGGAAAGCGTCTTGGACAACTCTATCACCAGTAACAGCCACACCACTCCTGGCCTTGATCACGAAATTAAACGCAGTGAAACCGCTCATGCCTCATTCGATCCTCGCGGGGCCGTGAACTCTCAGTGGTCACGCGAGGAGATTTCTCTGGACGACGAGATCGAAGACTTGAGGAAGAAGTTCATTCGGCCTTCTCAATCCGAGGCCGCCTCGCCCATCCTGTTGGTTAAGAAGCCGGGTGGCGGAGTCCGTATCTGCGTGGACTACCGGGGAATCAACAACGTCACGATGAAGACACGGTACCCGTTGCCGCTTATCAAGGAGACACTCGATGCCATTTGCAAGGCAAAGATCTTTACCAAGCTGGACGTCATTGCGGCGTTCAATAGGATTCGTGTGAAGGAGGGCCATGAATGGCTCACCGCATTCATCACGCGTTTTGGTCTCTTCGAGTCCTTGGTATGTCCCTTTGGTTTACAGGGCGCGCCGGGGACCTTCCAGAACTACATCAAGAGCGGACGGCTTTGCCCATCAACTTGACGGTGGTCCCGGTGACGGCGGTCCGGGTGACCAGACTATGGCGGACAACGACAGCACCATGTCGGATCCTGAGCATGACAGCTTGATGGTTGAACAGAACGACCACAGCATCAATGTGGATGATCACAATGCCTCTTCTCTGGAAGGCGCCACGTGCAACAAACATAACATCGCAAATGCCTACATCGATCAATCAACCAAGACAAACACCGACACTCACACCAAGGCTGTGAGCTCTGGCGTCCATAACGCTGTTCGGAGAAATCAGCATCAACCGCAGGGGGAGACTGTTACACCTTCCTACGTTGAAGCGGTGTGCCACAAGTTTGCTGCACTTGACGTGAAGGACGGCTTGGACAGGCCCGTTGTTAACGCTAGCAATGCAACACCTGTCCCTGCCTGCTTTCTGGTGCCCATTGTGTCGTCAGACCAATGCGGCGTGACTACTACCACCGATGGCGTCCAGGTACGATGCCCGTGTCTTGTCTAGCAGCCAGGCACGAGCAAGTGCTTCGGGCACTTGGAAAACAAGGTTAGCCAGAGGCTCATCGAGCTCATCCGGTCGCGACACAGGCGTGGCATCTGGTCTTGTACCGGTTGCTACTGGAACGAGATCCCAAAGAACACACTTTGCCAAAAGTGTGCCGATAAGGGCAGGGCGCAGAGGGAAAGACGTGCTCGGCTAGCCGCCGAGGCGGAGGCGGCGAGGGCCTTGGAGGAGTCGCAAGCTCAGGATGGTATTGAACAGACCCAGCCGGGTGTTGGACAGGCTCAACAGGGTCATTATCAAGCTCAGCAAGCTGGCAATCATACCTCACCCCAGCAGGACAATCTTCCAGCCCAGCAGGATGTTCCTCAGGATCAGCAGGCTAATCCCCAATCTCAACTGGGTACCTCTAATGGGCAGGCCGGAGTCGAACCAGTCCACTCCATGCCATCATCCTCCAGAAGCGCTAGGGGATCCTCCATTTTGACCGGCAAAGGTGTTACTTCGGGAAGGGTCCAAAAGGCCCACCGCAAGGGAAAGAAGTAGGCTGGTCGTATTCAAAAGATTGTTGCAAGCGTCTTGGGTAACGACATCTTTGTGGACATAGTGAAGTCCGCAAGGAAGATAGCGAGCAGTTGAAGGCGATTCAAGGTGCCGGCATGGACTTAGTTCTAGGGGACGGATCAATGCTTGAGGCAACGAAGGAGGGGGGAGGGCTATGAGTGACGAAGCTGAGGATGTCCGACAGAAGCACTCTCAAGTACAACACCTTCTACCTACCTCTATGGAAGAGTGTCGGACGGGGCCGCACTAAACGGGGTAACGGCCTGAGACCCGAAAGAAGGAAAGAAGCGCCAAGCATCATTCTACCTGCCCGACCTCAACAATCAATGGCAGGATAGATACCACAGAAGAAGCAAGGGTTGAACCGGAGGGAAAGGAGGAACAGGTTATTTCACGGAAAGGCTGATACCTTGGCTGATCAGGAAGGAAAATCAGATACGGGGCGGGGCCTCTCGGACGTGTTCCAACAAGGAATGGATTGCACTTAATGAGTCGACATAGTGATCCATCTCAGATAGACGGAGCGTAGAGGTATCCGTCATAGACAGAGAATAGGGTACGCGCATTAACAGGATCAGTGAGTTCCATGACGAAGTGATGTTCCTTGTTTCAGTGACTCAAGGCGTGACCAGACGCCAAGTTGGGGTTCTCAAGTGTTCTCCCTGGTATCGCATTGCCAGCACTGTGAGTTACGTTGAACCTCAAACAAAAGCATCACTTTGGCTTTGTTTACTGGAACTACTCGAGGTTGTCACTACAGTGGAGTCAGAGAACAGTCATGAAAAGACGGGAGTCATTCGCTTTGTTTGCCAACCTATCTGGCATGACTGGAGACAAAGCCCCTTCGCCTCCACCCCCAAAACCCCCATCAAGAAACAATCCCCTTGTCTACACCAACAAGTCCCCCAAACCCTCCATCCACGTCTTCTTCTCCGCCACCGTCATAGTCGAATCATCCTCCTCATGCTTCTCCAACCCCTCCTCCGTGCCCTCATCCCACGCATTCTCCCAAACCTCTATCCTCCTCGGCGGCCCAGCAGCTTCCGGGTTTTCAGAGTGAAACTCAACAAGCAAGTGAGGACACCGCTTGAGGTCGCTGGCGGGATACCAGTACTCATCCTTGCTCCACCCCTTCCACGATACTTGGTAGTAGAGCTTTCCGTACATGAGTCTGGAAGCAACGACTTCGTTGAGCTCCCAGAGTTCTTCGCCGTCTTCGGTGGTCCGGACGGGCGCCTGGTTGGGTCTGAAGGGCTTTGGTGGGAGCGGAGGGGGAGGGGGTGGTGTTTTTTTGGCTTTACCGCCTTTTTTCTGTGATATACAATCTGTTAGATTCTGCTTACGGGTTTTGATGGGTGATTGTTCGGTTCTTACCTTGTATCCCCATTTCGTGGTGCGCGTGGGCATTGTGGTTAAACCAGAGCTGGTCGTTTTTAGTAGAGGTAGCCTTCCGGAGACTACAGTCAGAGGACGCTCAAGAATTGCTTGTGCTTCCGTTGAGCAGAGGCTGGAAGCTTCGTCTTGACTTCCTCGCTATGAGTAGGTGATTTGCCTGCGAGTTTGACGGGTGCTGGGTTTGAGGGAAGAGGAGAGGAAATTGGTGAGTATAAATACTCGCGGGAGAAACAAACCAGGTGACGGATTACTCACCGATCTCGCTGTTTGAGTTTGATTCACCGGGAGTTTGGGTGAGCAGCGTTGTGTGGCAGTCTTCAATCTCTGAACATCGACTCCGTGAATAGAACGGCTTGCCGTTGTCATCAGATTTCGAAGGTTTTCTCGTTTTGTCCTTGCCCTCGAACCTCATATTACTCATTCACAAGACACCTGCAAGAAGGTCAAAAGTGCCTCCAACATCACGATTCAAATTCCTTTTGTGTCAGGTATTTCCTAACTATCGGCTATTTGGCGAAAACCCTCCAGATCCATGTTCTGAGCCTATCGAGCTGTGCCTATGAGCTGTGAATCTTCACATCGCAATCCTCCCTTCTCTCTCCCCATTCTGTCAAACCTGGACCTCCAGAATTTCCTTCCAGCTACCAACATGAGCAATATCCTTTCCTTCTGTCATTTCCTTGCAACGGCTTTACCCTTCCCTCGTAATCTCTCCTTGATTCCCTTCTCCTTCTGTGCGGGAAGATCATCATCGTCGTGCTTCTCTAGTTCCTCGCCATTATCGAAAGCTTCCTTCTAGATATCCAGTCGCATTGGGGGTCCTGGCTGCTTTGGATACCTGCGGTGGAAGGATAACAGACGATCCGGCGAGTCTCTGAAGTTGTGCGCCGGGTACATGCCATAGTCGGGTTGACCCCAGCCCTTCCAGGACGCCCGGTAGTACAGTAGGCCATCCGACAGAATGGCAGAAGCCAGGATTCTGTGGACCTCCCACTTAGGTTCCTTCGCCTCCTTGCTGAACTCCTCCGCCTGTTTGCTGGACTCCTCCGCCATGGCTTCTTCCTCCAGCTCTTTTGCTTCCTGAGGACTAGAGGTAGGTTCGGAGGAACCGGAAACAGCATCTGAACTGTGTTCACTTTGCTGTGTACCCTTGGCGCGACCGGGAACCTCTGCAATGGATGGCTCATCGTCGTTTCCGCTTTGGACATCCTCGCAGCCATGACCGCCTTGTTCGCTAATGGGACTCGATGTTGGAACTTTTCGAGGTGAACGAACAAGGGTTGACTCGGAAGGGCTGAGTGTGTCTGTCCTTGGGACAGCTGCCGAAAGCACGTCTGCGATGCCAACATCTTCCATCTCTGTATCTTCAGGGGCACTCATCTCTTCGTCCTCGCTCATCTCTGCATCCTCGCTCATCTCTACGTCCTCGCTCATCTCTGCGTCTTCACCAATCTCGTCGTCTTTTGTCCCTTCCCTGGCAACACAGCTAACTTCGAGATTGACATCTTCATCCCAGGATGAATGCTGCTCTTGTTCAAACGCCGCATGGCCAGTGAACTGATGCAATACATTGGTCATTCCTGGGGAACTGGAGGCAGAGACTGCCAAAGCCGCGCTGTTTGCCTCACATTGAGACACTGATTCGGATCGCACGGAGAAGGTGAAGGGAAAACTGGGCGATATTGGCACGCTGTGAGTGGGAGTGGCTGGTTGATGTTGGGGCTCGAGAACGACAGGTGAGCTGAGTGAGGAGCTGGTTCCCCCGTTCAAGCCATCATCGGCGGGCGCCTGAAGGAGGGACTGGACCTAACGATTGTCAGTTTCTTGTCCCTCAAGTAAATGGCTCGTAGACTGGTTTCAGGCCTTCTAGTTAGAGGCGTTAGGCCATTGATGTCACGCTCGTAAGCATCAAAGTCGAAAAAATCCATGAAGTCCTCCACTTCAACGGAACTATCAATTGGGGCCCCTCCCTGAACGGGGGTTGCCATCGGGTTGTTTGAGTTCATACTCGGCCGGCCAGTCTAGGTGCGTACGCACGATCTATGGATTATCAACTGCTGTTTCTTGCACGCTGGGTTTGGAGAACGTGGGGAAACAACACTTACCAGGTAGGTATCCGGAAGGTTTGATCGGCATTGCGCTGGAAGGACGAGGAATTTTGAGGGTTTAAATGGATCTCAAGAACCAAATTGCTCCCAAGTTTTTGGGATTCCATTAACACTTCACTCTTCCCAGGATGACAAGCCGTGAGTATGCCAAATATCATGGCCACTCATGATGTTGAGCCTCACAGCCTCACAGCCTCACGTGTTGAGCCTCATCGTGAGTACCAGTACATGGGTAGACAAGGGTGTCACAAGGGTAGACAAGGCAAGCGGGCATAAAAGGAAGCGAAGGTTACATCCATTCTAGCTTACTCTCATTGAATAATATGGCTTTTCTCCCACTCTCTTGCATACATTTTGACAGAGTATAGCTAGGTTAAGTGAGTGTCTGAATGGGACGGCCCCGGAGCTCCAGGTGAATGAAAGCACAAACGGAGATCCATCTCAACGCTGTGCCGCGAGATGCTCAAGGTTTCCTACCATTTGAAAATTCTATCTAATGTTCCGGGTGTCCAACGCTGGGGTTGTGTTTGTTGCCGCTCTATTCTTTTCGTCTTTATATTCAGTATGACCCCAGGAAGTCAAGACCGCTTGGAAGCGCTCCTTTGGCCGTCAACTCTCTCCGTATTACTTGTGAGGGAAGGAGCAAAAGCTTGTCGGCTTCGTTCTCGTAATTTTGCTTTCCAAAGTCTAGAGACCCTTTAAGTTCCAAGCCCGGTAAGAGCTGTATTGGGTGCTTCTTAACCGTTTCAGGATCACGAAGTTCCGGCTTCTTTCATGTCCGTTAGAGGTGTTTTCCGAGCACCTGGCTAGAACACCACTTGAGACAGAGTCTCTGGGGCTCCGAAACCGCCCGCACCGCCATCACCATCATGATCCAAATTTCTGTCGAAAGGGAGGTCGAACATGGGCTCATCGACCAACCAATCTCCGTCATCGGCATCGCCTTCTTCAGACTCATCAGCGTCCTGGACACTTTGGGCTGTCTGGGAAAAAGTTTTCTTTTGGATCCGGCCGTTCAGGACTCCCTTGGCTGCCAGCTTGGCACTGGAGGCAGCCACGGTGCCCGTTCCAGAACCACTAGACTTGGTGCTGCTGCCCTTGTTTGGATTGGCAGACTTTCTGGTCGAACTAGTGGCCTTCTGACGTTTGCCTCTGTCTAGGCGCTTTTTGCCAATGCAATGAGTACAGAGCGAGTTGGGCACGTTGTTCGCCGCAACGCGCTTGAAGCAATTGGAGCAGGACCAAATGCCCTGTCGGAGCCGTGTTCTGATCAACTCGATTGTGGCTCTGCTAGGCCTGTTTCGAAGGTGATCAAAGCACCTGCTGGCTCCCGCTTGGTAGACGAGAGCCGAGCAGCCACCATTGCCGCGGTAGCCCTCACAGATGGCAGTTGGAACGATGGGCTGAAGTTGTCCAGCGGGTTTGGCTGAGGTTGGGTGTACGTGCTGAGGACAATGCGTATAAAGAGACGCAACAGTGACTTAACCTGGAGCATGCCTGGAGGTATGGTGTAATGGTAAGTATGTCAGCACGAGGAGGAGGAAGTTCCGCCGTAGAGGTTCATGGCGTGATGTGTGGACGTTGGATGTATGCGGCGTGAGGACTCATCAAATCTGGTATATAGAGAGGTGCCTCATGCGTCTCTATACAGAACGATAAGGTGATTCAAGAACCGAGATTGCTTTTAGCATTGTGTTCTGTAGTGGTGCCTTTCGATATTGTAGTACATGATCTCCAAAGCCTGCTATTTTAGTTCAGGCCCTGAAAGCGTCGGGTGCGGATTGCCGAAGAGGTCCAGATCTAAGGTACATTTGATGCAGAGTAGCGAGGATTTATGGATAGTCGCTATCCGTTATCGGCTTGTTCGATCACTGCGAGGTCAAACAGTTGTTGTTTGGGTGAGGGAAGCATTGGGGAAACAGTGTGACACAATGAGAATGAGCTTGTCACCATAACTCGTTTCTCTTCCATACCTACCTGAGCTAGGGTATATCGGCAAGAATGCACTGCGAGCTCGAACACTCAAAAACAATCCACTTGTCCTTTGTTTCCTCGCGGTACGCATGATGTATCAGAAATTGAGCCATGAGTGACGAAACGTTCGCCAGACTGCCAGAGGTAGGTAATTTTAGTCAGAGGTGCATTACCATGTCCGCCAGATATTAAAGGCCAGGCTGATTCGTAGAGCTCAAAAGAGTGATGATCCCTGATACACAAGGTGATGCAGCATAAAGCTAAGACCGGATGCCCGCGTCCATAAGACAGGGTGGAGGTCAAGTTATCGGTCTTGCAGTCATGGAATAACACTCATAAATGGAGAGCAATTAGTTCGGAAACCGAAGAAGGCAAGCTTCGTTGAGCTATGGACCAAAGAGTAAAGAACTATATCTGGATGCTACGGGTATCACCGCTCTTGACCAACCCCTTCTCACGCCAAAATAGCAGGACATGTTTCCCGTCTACAGACTCAAACCAGATCCTAGAAATTTTTCCTTTGCCCTCCAAAGCTGCTACGATCCGTCTCCTTTTTCGTTTAAAAACTTGAGTTTTGTGCTGCTAACCACACTCCACCATCGCCATCATATAACCAATTCAGGAGAGCAGGCAAGATGAGAACGTGGAGTGTCCTTGGACCTGAGAACCAGTCGACTCTGTTAAGCGCTTGTCCGTTTTTGGCATTGCTTCAACGGTTGAATGTTCTCTTCGTCTAGGTTTCCCAGTTGTCCGTCGTCCGTGGTCATTCGTCAGCAGATGGGCGCCGGGGGTGGACCAGGAGGACCCTTATCGTCGAACTTCCGACCCATCCAGCCTGCACCAAACTCTCCCACCCAGTCATAGACAAGGCCATCGAGATCCTCCAATAAGTCTTCGAAATTGAAATCCGAATCGTTGCCGGGGTGGAAAAATCTTTGAACGGCTCGGATGGATAGAGGTGCTCGGGCTCATCCCAAGCCACAAACCCGTTTGCACTATCTCCCGGCGACACATGGCCCTGTTGGATGGTGCTCTGATGGGTGAAGCTCCGGGAGGCGAAGTTGTGTTGCAACAAATCCTGGGACATGAAACTCTGCGTGATGGAGCTCTGCGAGATGAAGCTCTGAGAGCTGGAGGTCTGCGAGGTGGAGGTCTGCGAGATGAACCTCTGCGCAATATCCCGAGGCGGGAGGCCCGGCGGCATCGTACCACTAGAGGCACTTTCGCCTTTCTTGATCCGGCCATGGAGGACACCTGCGCCCATCTTTGGTCCATCGGCCATGGCGCTGGCCCCTTTGACCTTCGACGTTTACCTTGTTGAAGAACTATTGCCCTTCGTCTTTCTGCCGACCCCGTTACCGGCGCGTCGGAGCTTCCTGTTGCGCTCTCCTTTGGCGCGGCAGCCATTACAAAGGGCCCGCCCATTCTTCTCACTCACAGTAGCCTGGTTCTTGAAGCAATCGGTGCAGGAATAAATTCCCTGCGCGTGGCGAGCTCGGTTGATAGCAATCATCGCTCTGCTCGGCTTATTTTTCAGATGCTCAAAGCACTTCTGTGCTCCCGGTTGCTAAACGAGAGAGGCACAGCCGCCTTGATTGTTCTCGCCCGCGCAGATGGTCGTTGAGACAATTGGCTGAGGGGTTCCATTTTGGGCGCTTGGGTTAGAGCCGTTGCCTTCAATTCCAACCGGTGAGACTGCCTTCTGGTGGTTACAAGCACCGTCGCTGGCATGAGCATGGCTGGCATGAGCATGACGATTCTGACCGTGGTTCGAGAGGGCGAAACCCTGGTTACTATAGCCATGGCCGTGAGGACCATTATCTGTCGGACTGAAGCCATGGTGTTGGCGTGTTGCATGGGATTGTCGCCGAAAATGGGATTGGCTCCAAGGTTGTTCAAGGAAATGCCAGAGTTATCCCTGTTGTCGCTGAACTTGCCACCTTGCGAGCCAATGTGCATTGGACCAGTGGCCAAGATACCAGGAGTGAGGTTGAAAGGGGAAGGAGCCATCTCGCTGCTGCGGGGGTCAATTCCACGAGGCGAAGGAGTGACTGAAGAAGTCGCAGTGACTCTTCCCCGCAGAACAGGGCGAACAGAAGGAGTTGTATTTGCGCGCATAGGAAGAGATGGCATCCGGGCATACTCTCCCGACGCATGAGATAGAGCAGAGTTTGTGGCCCGGGAAGCAAGCGAAGCCATGGCACTGCCCATAGGAGGGCGTCTGGCAGTGGGCTCTTCAATTGGGGACACAAGGTCACCATTGACTGTGTCCCTCAATGCTTCAGAAAGCTCTTTCTGAGAAAAGCCTTTCAGTTCATGTTCATCGGGTAGAGGTATGTGGGATGGTTGCGTCTTACCTGGTTGAGACCCAAAGGGTCCTCGTCCAAAATACCGGCGAGTCGATGCTCGGTCGGCTTGTTTGACGCCATAGTGTGATTGAATACCTAGAGATAGTCAAGGTATTTTGCGGTTGTCTGCGAGACCTAGTTTCCAGGCACTTGTGCTTGTGAGAAGTGGTGGTGTCTGAGGTGCGGGTGATGTACGGTGAGGAAGGACTCATGAAATCGCCGCAGTGTCGAAGAACAAGGAAGTTTAAATCAGTGGAGGTCTGCGACCGTGGAAATTGGTTCGCACAGCCACTAGACTTGTGTGCAAGTCCAAGGGACACATATAATAGACCCTCCATAGCCAATAGCACCATACTACCTGTACCTATCGCCCTCCAGCCACTCATGGGCCCACGGGGAAGGGGCCACTCCTGGGTACTTGGAAGGTACCTACTTTCCATCTGGTCTTTCCCTCCCGAAACGACGAATGGAAGATACCTTAGGTTGACAGTGAAGGGAATCCAGACAGCCGGAATAGCCTCATAGTACCTACCGTATCGTCAATACAACAATATAATAACAGTCACCCAAGAAGGCAACTTCACTCATCTTGATCCGATTCTAGAGGTATATATAGAGCTCCCTTGAGGTTGTTTCTCGATCCCTCCCTTGCCAACATCGATCTCTCGTGGTCACTGCATGGTCTCGGTCCAGGTTGTTTCCCATCCGTCCATATATCAACAAAATTTTTATCTCGAGCCCTGGTGTTTGCCATCCAGTATTCTCTTCTCGCCAATGTCCGGTTACTCGACCATAGAATGGACATTGTGCTTTCCCTCATAGACTCAAAGCTTGATCGGCTGGACATCTCATATTTTGCCGCCACTCATTCCAAGATCACTTTATTGACATGTCTCGTGACTGGAAAAGCTACCTCTACCTATGACAACTACCCAAAAAAGTTCTCGTGAACAGCTTTGTGGCTTTCCGCCTCGCAATTAACTGCACTGGTGAAGGTGAATTCCTAACTCCAGGAGCCAGTTGATGGTTGAGTCAGGCAGTCCAAGCTTCGAAACCTGAGATCGATGGGATGAAAGTAGGGGCAATAAACAAAAGGTACCTCTAGGTTGTCTATTCGGAGCTATTGTCAAGATCGACCGGACAACCTGTGGAGTGAAGGGGTCAACGGCATTATGCAGTATGTTACGGCCACTCTCCTCAAGCCGTAATATCCTATCAATGCACCCTATAATTGCGCCTCTCCTGTACTGACCCCGATGCGCTGAACCTTTTTCCAACTCATCCTCGTCGCATCCGCATCTCGAGATTCTTGAAGCACCGCCCTTCGCAATCCTCACGAACGATCTGGTAACAACGTTTTCATCCCTCAATCGGCATTTCCGGCGCCATGGAACCATACCAGATTGCTGCCGGCACTCGCCCCGAGCCCCCTGATCACAGCAATCTCCCCTCTCCGCCCAATCAAGGGGTCGAGCACCAAGATCTCCTTATGGCCGTTCTCAGGGCCATCGCCCTCAGACGACATCTTCCTTTGGCCCAGTCAATGCTAGAAATTCCTCAGGGCCTTTCTCAGCAGGACACTATCCGCCACCTCCAGGCAGTCTTCACTCCTCAGGCTATGGCCGCTCTGAGCATGGACTTGCAAGCCAAGAAGTTGAGAGTGACAAAGTACCAGTCAGCTGTCGGATTCTTGATGTACTTCGGGCTTGGTCCCAGACCGGACATTGCATACGCCGTCTCCGTACTTGGCCGGAATGCTAGCAATCCCACTAGGGCCACTTTTCCTCGTCATCTTCGAGCCCTCAAAAGTACTTTCAACCATATCAAGGGCAGCGGCGGTACTCACACGGAGGCCTTTTCTTCCCACCAGCAATCCGGCGGCAACGGCGGAGAGGGAACGCTTTAAAGGCCAAAGACAACCCCTTCCAAGACCGAAGACTCCCGTCTCTTCCCTCCATCTACATTGTAGTACGAGAAGCATCATCCTTCCTGGAACGAGCTTGCAGTTCACGTCCTCGAACATCGAGTCACTCCAGGCGGCGAAAAATCGTCGACAACTGTCAAGATTTATTGTGCGAAGGAGGATGATATCAAGGGGGCCTGCTCATTTGAAGTTGTTGGCAGGATGGAAGAAGTTAATCAGGGGTGGGAAGTCCAGGACGGTTCAGGGATTGAAAGAGGATGGAGTTATAGATTCATCGAATGGTCCTATATCCAGGCTACTAGCGTAGCTGCTTGTTCGTAGCTTCCTCCTTCACGATACCATTTTGGACTTTTTTTTGATGAAACCTGTCCGCACTGCAAGTCAAACCTGAACCTGTCGAGTGAATGGGTCAAGGTTATAGTACCCCCATGCAGCATGTTCCGGACACTCTCCTGAAGTCGCAATTTCCTGTCAATGCACCGTATAAAAACCTCTCCTGTACCCAGCTCGAACCACTCAACTCTTTTTCCGCTCATGCTAGCCGCAATTGCATCTGTGGATTCTTGAGACGACACCACAATCATTCTCGCGCAAGAGCAATTGGAGCGAATTTTATTCCAACTCCAATCAACATCGTAACCATGGCACCGCGCCAGATGTCCGCCGGCGCTCGCCCGCATTCCCCGGCTCCCGTCATTCGTCCCCGCCCGTGCCATCACCGGATCGAGCGCCCACATGCACCTTCAGCCGTCGCCAGAGCCATCGCTGCCAGGCGACAAGCCATTCTCTACCATCAGCTTCCAAACGAGTTGCTGGCTTCAAGAGTCCAGGAGGACAGCAACATGAACTGTCTGATGATTCTCCGCGGCCTTCCTTTGGACATCCATTCCGATCAGCCCCCTCTCCCCACCACCTGCGATGAGGAGATGGATTGGTACTTCAACTCTGGAGCCTACAGGCGCGACCAAACCCTGGCCATGCACGATGGACGCCATGTTGTCCGTTCAGCTTCTTATTTGGTCGAACCCATGCCGGCCGCTCATCGGGTCCTTCAACCGCCCCCTGCTATCAACCACCAACAGGCGGCTTCCATTTCTTCCTTTCCGTCAGTCCATCAGGTTCCAACCCAGTCAACGATTCCTGTGGGCGCTCAATTCTCTCCGCCTCATCCGTCCCTCTCTCCGTCGGCGGCTCCGGCACTTTGTCGACCGGATATTGCAGTCCCAGCTCCCATCCCTGAGCCGGCTAGGCCAGTCAACCATCAGGCAGTGGGGCCGAACTATTCCCAGGCCACTGCACCAGCCAATCCTCTGCCAAGGCTGACCGCTCATGCCCTGGGCATGCTGGAACCGGCATATTCCCCGACTCTTCTGTCATGGTCTGAGGAATCCTCTCTCGATTCTTCGGAGTCCTCTCTTGTCGATTCTGCGGAGTCCTCTGACAATTCCGCGGATTCTGCTCTCGTTCCCGAGGTCGACAACCCTAATCCGGCGCGGATCGTGCCTGGACTACGTCTCGTTTGGGCCCGTACGGATATTTGTGAACGCGAAGACTGCGGAGCCCTGGTCTAGCAGCCCAAGGCCCGTAAGTGCTTCGAGCATTTGCACAAGAAGTTCAGTAGAGCGAAGCGGGAGTGGATTGGATCCCTCCACGTCCAAGGATTCTACCTCTGTACAAGCCGCTACGACGCGCCGGTTGGCACCGCCAACACCCCTTGCGCCGCTTGTGTCAAGCGTGGAAAGGATTTGGTGAAGGCCTGGAACAACAGATTCGCGTCCGTTCTAACTTGGATCGAAAGCACCACGAGCGAGAAGCAGGAGGCTCACCCTCAGTGGGAAGGCACCTTGGGCGCGATTGGACACCAGATGGATGTCGATCTGGAAAGTGCAGGGGAGGATTAAGCTACCGGGCAAGTCAACGGCGGCGATCAGGAGGATAACCACGGTCATGATAACGGCGGCGGTCACACACACTTCAACCGTCTCAACCAGCAGACCGGTAACAATGCCGGACAGGGCACCCAAGGCAGCGAGATAACCCCTTCTGAGCCCGGACGTCTCCGTTCCGCCTTCATCACGGCATAGGAGAAGGATCAAGCTCGCTGGAGTCAGCCTTGTGTTAAAGACCTCAACCACTGAATCGATCTGTCTTGTGATGAATTGTCAGCTAGGACCACGAGTTTTGACGAGGGGGGGGATGGGATATTGAGGGTCTGCTTGTTCGCAATGGCCGAGGCGGAATCATCTTACGGGCGGATATGAAGGGTTGTCAAGGGGGAGGAGGACGGAGGCATGGGCTTGTAGGAGGGTCTCACCTGTACGCTAGCAGTGATCCGATTAGCGGTTACACAACGTGGTGGATGGACGACAGATATCGCAGAACAATCTAACGATGGTCGTCCCCTAGCAGCTCACTGGTGTAGTAGCCGGGCACTTATTCGTAGATTCCTCCATTGATTGCAACTCCCTTCGTTCAATAGTCCTTGTTCTCGAGTGTTGTTTCATTGACAGTGACATGCCACCACCGAGCTAAGGAGGTTCATTTGCTTTGGGCTCCGTGTGGACTCTCTGGGTCTTCTTTCAACTCCGAACGGGTGATCCCAACGGCTTGGGTGCAATGTCTAGGTCGTACCTAATGGCCATGGAGTTTCCAGCGATTGCCGGTTGGTTGGCGGAGATCAAGAGTCGCGAGGAAGAGACCTCCCCTTAATGGGAGGAAGATATCGACCTGTCTGATGGAGAGCTAGGGGAGTATGGGTAGGGTCCGTGGGATGTCCGAGTGCTCAAGGCCAAGTTTCTCATGGTTCGATTGAACATGGTGAACATGTGGCGGTTGGCTTTCATGGAACAAGCCAACGTGTCCCGGTATCGACTGTTTCCGGTGCCGGACCCATCGGTGGTAACATCAAGCCGGCTCCTGGTCCCAGGAGAACCATTGGTGATGGCGGGAACTTGAATGGAAGGGTTGAAAAGAAGGCGATGGGTCGGAAAGAGCAGCTTAACCCGTGGGCGACGTCGCAAGTTCATAGAGGTATCCAGGCACGAGTGGTCCGAGATGCACGGCACCGCCAACATGTTCTGCCTGCAAGACCCGCTGCTGCAGAACATGCAGGACATGCAGTCTTTCCCTGTCCGAAACTCGCATGTGCGGTACATGCCAGGCCAGCATTTGCTTCACAAAGAGCAGTCTCTTCAGAACAACAACGTTCAGAAAACTTCAGTCCGGGACAGCTCCTTCGGCTAGTCCCTCAACGGCGCCGGACACAAAGAACATTTAGCCAAACCGACAAGCCTTCGAAACCTAGAAGCTCTTCTCTTTTCATCAACTCCATCGGCACAGTGCAAGAGAGACAGGGCATGGACCTAACTGATATCGCCCGGAGGTCGTACCGAGGAGACCGATCAGACCGCGACTTCAACGAAACAAAGAGAGTTCTTTGAGGTTGAGATCTGTTCCCAGTTAGCTGTCAAACAAAGGGCGCAGATGACTTAGTTAATGAGTCTGTCAAGATGGATTGCGAAGGAGAACTTGTGATGGGTGGGCTGGGATCGACAGATTCGAATTGGTTGAAACATCCCCTCCTGTTAGATGTGACGGTACAGAATTAATTGATTGAAGAGTATGTGACTGACTCGCCCAGAAGGTATAGGGGGTGCTGGGGTAACCTAGATATACCTAGAAATCAAGCAATATTAAGTAGCTAGAGCGCTAACCTCTATATGGTATGGCTAAAACCACCCTTGAATCTAATATACCCCCTCACTTGTAGACCTTCTAAATAGGGTAAAAGTAAAACTATTTATAGAATCTCTCTTCTAGTACGTTAATTTCTTTAGCCAAACTATGAATATCCTCCAAAATATTACCCGGAATCTCCTTATCTATCCTTATCTCTTTACGAATTGGTATATTTATTATTCCTATTAATTCCCGGAATTTCTCGTAATCTAGTTGTCCTAGAACCTTCATCAATCTATTAGTTAGTATCTTCTTCGTTTTTAAATATTCAATTTTAATCTTTCCTTCTATAATTTCTTACTTTAATTAGTAATAATAGATATCGACGTACTTTAATTCAGTCATTAATTTCGTTACTTCAATAATTAATATACGGATTGTTTATATATTATTATAACCGACTATAGATTTATTTTTATTGAAGGGAATATTAATCTCCTTATGTAAATGTATAATAGCGATAGCCTCCTTAGTAGCGTTTAAAATTAATAATAATTTTATTTCTATTGTTAAAGTAGATATTATGTTTTGTTTAGCTGTACCCTAATGAACTAGATCATTAAAAAGTTTAGTTATAAATTTATACGAGCTCTTTTAATTTAGAGAGTTATTAGCGTACAGTATATTTAAAGTAATTTCGAATTTCGTTAATCTATTATAACAGAGGGAGAGATTAAGGTAATATTAAAGGTAGTATAAAATTTTATTAATAGTTTTACGATATTAAGGATTGGGATTGTAATTGTAGCGAATTAATTAGCTAGCGGCGAAGGTAATATTAGGCTGGGTAATTATAACGGCGTATATTATAGAATTGATAACGACCTAGTATTTTTAGATTTTATTAAAAGAGGTTACGCTATTATAAAGTATAAATTCTTCGTTATTTATTAGGATAAAGGTAAAAGTATAGGGATTTTTAATTAATTTAGTAATTCTATAAATATATTCCCGTTAGGATAATTAAATATAGCCTACCTCTTAATCTCGAATAATATCGATATTTAAAAATTATTGAAAGTTATTATTATTAGTAAGTTTATATTTTTCCTCCAATTTCTTTATAACCCGGGTAATTTTATTATACTATGATTTATCGAAGGCGAAAATAATATTGTTAATATAATAGAAAATTAGGATTCTATTATATTTAAGAATATACGGGTCTTCGGATAACGGTCTGAATCCTAAGCTTTCGAAAATTCTATTGAATTCTCGTTACTATAGTAAGGGAGTTCGTCGGAAATTGTAAAAGGCCTTGAAGATTTCAAAGATAATACTATACTTTTAATAATTAGGAAGTATGCGTATATAGATCTCCTTATTAAAGTAGGCGTTAACGAAGGTATTTACTATATTATATTAAATAAATTTAAGATTAAATTTAGTAATATAGGCGATAATTAACCGAAATAAACGATTAGTTAATATAGAGGTATATATTTTCTTGCTATAATTATATTACTAGTCTCCTTTCATTACGAGGCGAGTTTTTACTTTTAATAACCGACTATACTTATTGAATTTATATACGTATATTTAAATATAATCGAAGATTTGAAAACTTTTAGTATAGAGAACGTCTTCGTTAATTTTAAGCTATAACCTTATTTCTTTATAGCTATCGAAATATACTTCCTCTATTTATTTAAAAAGATTATTTAAATTATAATATTCGAAATTATGATAATTCTTTAGGATTAGAAGGAAGTTTTAACGTTTAATAGGATTTAATCTACTACCTTTGGAAATTAAGCGGTTAATTTTTACCTTTATAATCATCTTGCCTTACCGCTATTTAATTAATTAAATAAGTCTCCTAACATTAAATACAGCTTTTTATAGTTCGAAAGTTGAGAAGGAGATAGGTTTTAGTAAATCTATTATAAGGCCGGTAGTAAGAGTAGCTAGTAGTATATTTAGCGGGGTAGAGTAACGAAGTATAAAATTAATAGATATTTTATTTTAAATAATAAGTTTTATTAATTTTAAAATAATATTATTATTATCTTTTTAAAGTTTATTATTACAGAGTAACGGTAGGAGAGGGGTAAGACCGTTATTTTCTATATTTTAAATTGCATTAAAAGGTTCGAAATGTTATATAGATAATTAAGGAGGTTAATTAATTCGGTTAAATAAATCGGCAATCTCGTTATTAATTAGCCTTAATCCTTCTTTAAAATGATTAAAGTTCTTTAAATAAATTAAATTTTTATTAAATAGTATGTTATAGGTATAAATAATTTAATTAATTTATAAGTTTTAAATTTAGTAGATAGAAGAAGTAGTATAGCTAATAAGGAATCCGATTTAGGCCTTTAATTAAAGCCTTTTATACCGTTGCTCTTTCTTCTATATAATATCCGTTATCGCGTATACTTTATAATTGTAAATACGTAAATAATTGAAGTTAGGCTTACGGGGCTCGGTTTATACTTCTTTATAGTAAGCTACGAAAATATAAAACTATTCGTATAATAACTTTTGATTATAAAAATACTTAAGTAATCGGTTAATAAAATAGATTGAGGTTAAAACGATTTAAAGCTAGAGGTTATAAGGGAATTTAGCGCTATTTATTATTATATGCGCCTTTTCTTTAATTATACTCCTTAAGCATTTAATATTACCGTTTTAAACTTAAATATTAACTATTAAGGGTTCGAGAATAATAAAGCGTATAATTTATTTATTTTTAATATATTAATCATTGAATTCATTATTATATTCGATGTATTTGACTTTAATATTATATTAATAATTAATTATATTAATAACCAAAAGGAGTCTTTTAGTAGTAGCTTTAATTATTCGATTCGCTATATAAATATCCTAAACGAATTTAATCTATTAATAAGTAATAATTATAATATATTTAAAATTACCTCTCCTTACTTTATATTCGAGGAAGTCGATAGCGAAATGCTCTTCCGGACTAAGTTCCTTATTTTATAATTTTTATTTAATTTATTATTTAATTTTTAAATATTATATACGTTATATTAATAAGTAGCGGGCCCTTTAAATCTAGTGCCTTCAACGTTATAAAAGTATTCGAAGATTTAAGGACCATAATAATTGAATCGCTTATATTAGAATTTAGCGGGTATTTTATATACGCGACGGCCAATAAAGGAATTAAAGCGAATTTGACAAATAAAAAAGGCGGCGTAATTAAAAGAAAAGGGTAAATATTCGAAGACCGTTTAATAATAAATTTCCTAAAAGAAAAAAAAAGGTAAGCCATTTAGCTGATAGAAGCAATTATTAGGGGGTTTATAATCCTAGTAAAAACTTTACTTTCGAAATAAATATAATAATATAAATTAGTAGTGAAATTAAAGTAAAAAGTTACTTCTTTTAATTATAACTTTAAAATTCCTTTCTTTTCCTATTTTTCTATATTAATAGTCCTAAGACCCTTAATAGGTATTTAAGATTTATTAACCTAAATACAATCCTTTAGGGACGTTGTTCGAAACGAAGAAAAACGATTAATTTCGTTAAAAATATAAATGGAAACCCTAAAATCGAAGATTATAAAGTTTTTAAATAAATAAATATTACCCTTACTATTATTCGCGTTAAAAGTACTTTATTTAATAAGAGATGTTGAATTATAAGTACCGATTTCTCATTTCCTTTAATTTTTCGAAGTAGTAATTTGCATAGAAGTAATAAAGTACTCCCGTATTTAATTCCTAGCCTTCTTAACCTTTTTACTAATTTTGGGATACTTTTTAAAACTTTTATTAATAAACTTCTAAATAGAGCCGCTTAATTTCTATTTAGGATTATCTTTAATTTTAAATATTAAATATTAATAGCGTATTATTAAGTAAAGGCCTTATTTGTAGATTTTATAAAGTAGCGTAACGCCTCCTCTTTTTTTTAATTATAAAGAATTATTTATATTTTTATCCGCGGTACGTTTCTTCCTTACGTTTACCTTCCGTTTCTTTTTATAATTAGAATTAGGAGCATCCTCTTTATTAAACGCGAACTCTTACGAACTACAGTGGCTAATACCCTAGGCGCTACGAACTATAACTTTCTTAAAATTAATTAATAATATAGTACGTTCTAGTATATTAACCCTTTTAAAATTAGTAGATATGTCCTTATATTTTAAAACCATTTCTTCGAATTCGTTATCGAATTTCTAGGAGTTATTAATTTAGATGGGTTTATATTTACGGACTATATTAATAAAATTACTAAATTCTAAAGTAGAGGAAGTTATTTTATTAATTTTAAATTTCTTTCTATTTATAATAAGGATTTTTTGATTAAATAATTACTTTTCGAAGTTTTTAGGTTATTTCTTTATAGTTTAATAAAAATTTAATAATTTTACCGAATTTTAGCAATTTAATCGATAGGTTAATAGTTAATTTAATTCTCAATCTTTCTAAACTAATCGCGGGTAGATTTATCTTATTTAAATAAAGTATTAGTATAGTAGGCGGTAATATAGGTATTTATTTAATTACAAATTTGGGTATTAGCGTTGTCGAAGTCTTTTTAGTATTTATTGTAAACGTTATATATATTATTAGTTTAATTGTACGCTATTTTTCTAGTAACTATTAAATCGGTAAAGGGGTTAATAATTATATCCTCCCTAATATCCTATTTAATATAATATTTATTATCCTCCTCTTCTTTTTTTTTATTTTCTTCTTTTAAATTTCCTTCTTTATTATTTTCATTAACGCTGGTGGCGGTTTTTTTTAGAGTTGGGTAATAGTAGTAATTTTAGTAATAGTACCATTCGTATTAGTAGTTATAGTAGTTATTATAATTATAATTACGGCCTTCTTAACCCGGATTCCTCTATTAAATTTAACGAACTCCTTCTTTACCGCTAAAAGGCGGTCCTTTACTTATTTAGTAAAGAAGAAATCTTCCGGCTTCAGGGGTAAAACCCTTTAAATTATAAGTCCTCTCTTAAGTAATTAGTTACTAAAGTTTTGGTTGTTACTAACGAATCTCTTATGAGTTTTATACTAGCTGGGCTAATCGGTAGGGGTATTGAAGATAATTATAATAACCTTATTAATAAATTCCTTTAATAAGGATATAGTTAACGTTGTTGGTTTTGTAGGGATATTGCTTGTAATCGATATTCGTAGCGTTAAACGTAAATATATAAATTAGACTATTAATTGTTAAATGTAATGGTGTAGAATTGATTAATTGAAGAGTGTGTAATTGACTCGCCTAGAAGGTATAAGGGGTGCTGGGGTAACCCAAATATGCCCAGAAATCAGGCAATATCAGGTGGCTAGAGCGCTAACCTCCATATGGTATGGCTAAAACCACCCTTGAATCTGACACCTCCCGATTGTTCCTACAGGTTGATATCGAGGATGGGATTTTGTATGGGGTTTGGCAGTTTTGAGTTTTTGAAATGGCCCGATATAGCAGCCACATAACGGTCCTCCCTTCCGGTGACTTCCTTGCATACCTCTAGGATTCCTTCCAGATTTTGGGTTTGTCAGTCATTCCCCCTCCTGTCTGCCTACTCGCCTTCCTTCAGGCTCAGCCGCTCAGCTTACCTCTACTTCCTTTATTTCGATATCGTATCTCCTGAAAGCTGTACCACTTGTTCCCGCCGTGGTGAAATCCACCAGAGGTGGCCGCGAAACACCACCACATGGCCTCAAATGAATTGTGGACTTTTCCTTTCTCGGTCCTAGCATCTCGACCAGAAAAGACCAAAAAATGAGATGAAAAAGCAGCGAGTCACCGATACGCCGAGCAACACCCCGGCCACAACACCCAGGAGACCTGTGATATCTTTGGGATTCAAACAGAGCTCCCAACCTGTTGCCATGTGATCTCAAGGATTTGCGAAGCGTTCATGTGTACAACTGTAAAGAGAGGATATTTCTTGTGTTATCTGGGGCAAAAGGCCGATGTCTATCTACTTGGAGTGGGATACTTCTACCGTCAATACTGACGAAGGTTTATGTCTATCTGTCGGTTTTCAACGCTACCTATGGTGCACTTCGCTGGTTCCTTGGATCTCTGCTTCATCCACACGTACCTCTTGATCTTACTGTCCTTCGCTCCTTGCAACGTCTTTTGCGTTGGTTCTATATCCCCCGTTGAAAATATCTCTGTTCCGATTCCCAGCGGACTTGAGTCTCGTGTCACTCTACTGTGAACCATATCGATGGTGGCTGTTGTTCTCTTGATCTTGCTCCTGGCTTCGTTCTGCTAAACTGGATGAATGCCCCTGAGCAGGAAGGCCGGCACTCGAGGATGCATTGTCAGAAAGACCTTGGGCCAAATTGGGGGCGGATATCTGGCCGAACGATTGCAATAAGCCGTAGAAATTATTCTGAAGATTGGAGGGCACACCATTAATCCCTGGTCCAAGGGAGGAGCCATTCATTGAGTCTCCAGCCGTATGAGAGGGTTGAAAAGCATAAGGGCTGTAGCGGAGGTTGCTCGCGAGTTGGACCTCCGGAATCCCTGGCATTGTGATCGGAGTATTTGAACTGCCGATACCCAAAGGATTGTGATTGCCGGGGCCGTATGGATACATCATTGCTCCTCCATTGTTGACAGAGTTAGAGTTTGAAGCCCCCTCAACTGGGTACTCTGCATCGTTTTCTCCATTTTCCTGGTTCTGGGTACCATCACCACTATCATTGCTAGCGGCGGCCTTTTTGCGCTTCTTCCACTCAAGCATGTACGAACGGCAATTTAGACAACGCGTTTTCTTGTGTTCGACCTCCTCCTTGAGACACCCGGTGCAGCACCAGATTCCCAACGCGTGGCGAGCCTTGATGTCCCTGATGCAGTCCTTCCCTGCAATACGGCCATAATTATGATCCAGACAGCGGTGCGCGCCCGGTTGCCAGACGAGGGAGTTGCAGCGGCCAGCCAATGCATCACATTTTTCCTGAGAAACGATAGGCGGACCTACTGGTACGCCGAGGGCGAGTCGAGAGGGACGGGGAGTAGAGTTGGGATTACCGATGTTGCTTCCTGCGAGTTGGTGACCAACAGGAGAGGCAACTGGATGGTAAAGTTGAAAAGGTGTAGCCGGACCGAGGGCATCAGGTGCATAGTCAAGCGGGCGGGAATCAGAGGCAGTTGATGGAACATTGATGTTGCTATTGAGTTTAGCAGATTCGCAAGATTGGAAGCGAATCTTATGATATATGGCCATTTGGGTAATAATCTGACGAATACTCGGTTCGGGGTTGAAAGACGAGGGAAGGACGCAGTTTTGTGCTACTAGCAACTCCTCAGGTGTGAAAGGTTCCTGAAACACTCTTGCTTCCATTTCTTCGTATTCTTGGCTGGTGATAATGGGATCAGACGGTCCAGGATCAGTATTGTCCGACGTGTTCATAGTCAGGCCGTTATCAACATCGTGGCTATGGGTTGCAGGTCGCCCCGGAGTTGTGTGCTGCTTGAAAGAAGATATATATTAGACTGCGTTCATGACAACTTCTCTGAACCCGACGTAGGACCCGCTTACCTCGTGAACTCCTGAAGGATCCTCGTCCACATTGTCAGCAGGTTGCTGACTACCTGATGCCCTGTTTGTTTCCATGACGATGTGGTTTCCGATAGGCTGCTGGTACTGTAGCGTAGTTCGTGATGAGAAAAGTGATACTTCTGTCAAAAAGCGAAGAACAAGAATTGATTCGGTTATTGGTGACAACAATGAGCAGTGGAACAGGAAGCAAAAGATTCCAGGTTGGGTTGGTTGGCTTTGTTTTGTTTGGTCTCAGAATGGGTGATTCTTGCCTTTACTAGAGGCACCCGACTGCTACATCTAGAGGTACCTTCCCACCGGTATGTACTCTACACTTCTGAGTGCTCTTTCTCAACAAAAGCCAGTCCCCGACCTAGTCCTTCTCGCCTACCCACATATGCTCCCATCCTTATGGTAAGATCACTTTTCTCGTTCTCGTTGTTCTTGCGTCCGGATTAGACTGGGAAGGGAGAATAGTGAAAGAGAGACGCAGTGCAACCTGAGTTGAAGGCTGCTGGTGTAAAGAAGGAGAGCCATGTGCAAGCATCATACTCTTCACTGTCTTGCTGAAATACCGGCCCAGAAAGGGCTTCGAGGGCACCCTTAGTTTTCCAATTTAACCCAACCATGAGTTAATCCTGAAGATCCCGGATGTACAAAATAGAAGCTTTGGTTACATTGGGATATCATTTATATACCAAGAACTTCTTGTAAGATGTTCAAGGTCGCCCTCCCGTCGTCCGATCTTCTGACAGTCAGGTTGACCAGACCATTCACCTCGCGTCTCTTGCGTAACGATGCTTACCAGTAAAAGAAGACGGTTTATTAGGACGCTTCAGCTTTCTCCGTGGCCCTTTCTGTTCCGCACCCAACACAACAAAGTGCCAGCATTCTTCAGGACATTGTTACGGCCTTGCGTTAAGGAGAACGTCGACAACCACGGCCCTCAAGAAAACGGGAAAAATCATCAGCATGTCATCTTCCGCCACCAACATCCGCAGCTCATGGTCGGACCCGTTCCACCGCTCCCTTTGTTTGAGGCGCAAGCTGGAGTCGAGGTACAACGAGCAGCTATGCCTTCCTCAACTTCAGCGCAGTCGTGATCGTCTGATGGCGATCCACATCAACTATAGCAAGGAGAGTGTAATCGACGCCGCGACCCGCCTCTTCAACGATACCAAGGCACCTCCAAGCTCCATGACTGACGAGAGTCTCTTAACTTCTGTCCACGACAACATCTATGCGGACGACTTCGGCCTTGACGTCGGCATTGCTACCTCTATGGAGGAGTGCGGCATCACCGAAGGCTTAAGCGACCACCCAGGCCACTATTCTCCAGCCTTATCTCCTTCCGAAGCCTTGACCCTTCTTGACTCCCTCGTTGTAGGCTCTTCTGCTCTCGAGTCGAGTCAGGCTTTGGGTCAAGCTCTCTCTGTCGGTAACGCTCAGCCGATGGCTTCAGTGGCTTCAGCAGGCGGCCCGCTCGCTGCCCCGATTGTCGTTCACGATGCCGCTCACATCTCAGCCCAGCATCTTCCCACCAATGCAGCCATCTTGACTCCGGCCTCCACTCCTGGCTCGGCGGACAGCCCTAGTGCTGGTTCGACTCTCCCCGCAGCGTCCAAAGTCGTCATCGATGTTGCTCCGGAGGCTGCTACCAATGCCACTGCTGTCTCTTGCAAGTTGTTGAGGGGCTGAATTTTGCGACAACGTTCGCGGAGAGAAATAACAGGCTCTCGGAGGGGGTACACGGCACCGATTCGGGGCATGGGCTGCATTGTGCGCAACGGAAGGGCAGAACAGGATCGGCGCTTCGTGGGCATATTTGAACAGAGCATATTGCTCTCAGCTCTCAGCAAGGAAAAGCGATCTGGAATCGGATTCTTCATCAAGGATTCAACCTCGTTTCTGGATGGATGGGTAGTGCCATGTTCTCGTCGTCTCGGAGGAGTGGGAAAGCCAGTGTAAATAGCGCCAAGTCTAGCAGTTGGCGAACAAATCAAGTCCCCCATTCCCCATAGATTACTCCCTTTGTGCCTCCCAAAGCGTGACGTTTGTGAAAGAATCATTTTTCTGATGCCTTCTATTGCCGGCGGGGCAATCGCTGGATGCAACATGAAAGGTGCGATTGTGAGCAACATGTCTGATGCCTGGCACAGGAGCAAGTTGCAGCAGCTGTAGTTGGCCCCCTTCAGGGAGGGCAAGCTGAGATGCGGGCAAGCCATAATGGGCTGCTGTTACTGAACTATCGTGATCGGCATCTTTTTTGCTGTCCCAGAGATAGTGCACCATCTAAGCCGTGCGTCTACAGCCGACCCCACCATACCCACTTTCCTGATTCGTCTCCACGATGTCAACAAAGGAAAGCGACAACAACAGGGATTTCTTTGTCAACCATTGTTTCTATCACCCAAAAGCACCTGCCTTCTGTGTTGCTCATGCTTGCCTAAACCACTGCAATGTTCATCTCGAATTCAAGTGCCATGGCTTGATGCAATCTCGCAGCAGCCGCGATGCCTTGCGTGCTGTGTGCGTACCTCCCCATGTTCAAGCAAGTGTCAAGACGGATTGCTGCTGCCCAATGTACCTACCTGTCTCCATGACTGAATCCCATCTCGCGCAGGCAACCCATCTTCGTGCAGTTTGCTCGGCCACGCAAAGGAGTCCAGCGACTCCCCTTGTTTGTCGCTGTCCCCCAAAGCTGTCTGGCGCAGCTCCTATAAGACGGACAGGACACTCCGATTTCCGGACAGCTTTTTCTCAATATCACCTTCCAACAGCGAACTCCTTGGCTTGACGGGTGATCTTACTTTGCAGAGTTATCCTTCGTTGAGGACATACGGCTACCGTCAAGATCCGACTCAGGGCGGCAGGGCGCTCCTCTGCGGTGGCCTCAAGCTTCTTGTTCCAAGCTCCCCTCTTGTCACTCAAGTGATTCAACTACGACCAGAGCCTCTGGAACCCAACTTGTTGCTTCCGGAGCTGTTCATGGGTTAAAGATCCACACAATTTCTCTCAACAAGCTCCTCTTTTCGTGCTGCTACCCTGTCCCTCCTCAAGTCTCGGTGAATCCGGCCATGACGAACCGCGGCAGCTACTACAATGTTGTTTCCGTTGCTAATCTCCTATCGTCGGTCAAACGCTTAGGAACTCGTCACCTTGATCCGTACTCGCTGTGATCGCAAAGCTGGAGCCAGAATACGGACTGCTCCTTGGCCCTCGAAACGTTCTCCGTATGGTCCTTCGTTACTCTATTGCTGAGAACGTACCACGCTTCGTTGACGGCCGACGGCACTCCCCGATGGACTAGCATTACCTCGAAGTAGCAATAACCGACAGATTCCGGAGATCTTGCTCTGCTTCCATGGTGGTCGGGGGCAGAGAAGTTGGCTGAAAGGTTTCATTCCCAGTCGCCGTTGAAAGCTCGGTACCAGAGCTGATGAACAGTTGCTACGCACTTCCCAAGATAACATCCCCAGAACTCGGCGCCTCCGCCGACTATTACAAGGATGAGCCACATACGAACTACAATGGATTGTCGTCACAATACCTCTATCGCCAGATGCCGCCCCCTACAATGGAAGTTGTCAAGGACAAAGGGAGCTTGGCGTCCAGAGGCCCCCAGGTAACCGAGAGGCTCGAAGTGAGGAGTAGCACTAGATCTATCGAAGCAATGGTCGTGGTGGAACCAATGGTCAAAGACCACCTCCATGTGAAGATTGTATATACGAAGATATCTGGTCTTGTTTCGCCGTAATCTGGTGAGCGAGACCGCGAGCGATCCTGACCTAGATTACCTCGTCGCATGGAACTCCTTCCAAATTGTCTAAGGTACATCCGCAACACGTACAAGCCACTCGCAAACTGAAACTGCCCGTGCGCTCCCCATGGCACTTGACAACCACACATTTCACGTCGCCTAAGCTCAAGATAGGTATGTAGTTCCATGAGAGCAAAATCTTACTACTGTTGTCATCAAATGGCCACATTCGATGAAAATGGTCCGTGCTTGAGTTGCGGAACCGGATCAACTAGAGGTACTCGATAGCTTCAAGCGAAACCAACTCACCCAAATGGGATCCTTGGCGAAGTAGGAAGCTTCCACACTGGCAGGCAAGATACCGGTCAGCAGAGGAGGAGTGAAGGTTAGAAATCTTTGCCCGATAAGCTATCGGGGTTCCCGTCAACCAACAAGATCACGAGTTGTCCGGGCAGAAGTGGGTTTTGAGCTTCCGTCTCATCACAGTCAAGGAGGCCAACGACCACACAATAGGAACAACAGGAGCTGAATAGCGGGATAATAAGAACTCAAGAGTCCCAGTTGCAATTCACTGTCCCTGAGCCTGTTAATCAAGGACGCACGGAACACCCATAAATTGGACGTTCCGGAGGTCACTTTGACTTTTCCTCCGTCACGCTCGAGTCCACACATCTTCGCGGCCACCCACCCACCCATCTAGAGCGACTCAACTCCCCAAACTCCCATCAACTGTGTCAACTGCGATCATCTCTATAGCAGTTAACACGCCGAAACAACCATGGCTCCTTACCAGTCAACCCTGCGCGGCGCTGGTGCTGGCGGCGAGGGCGTCAACAATCGCGGTCAGATGGATCCTTCCAACTACCATGATGCCATCCAGAACACTATTGTTCGCATCATGGAGGATATCCAAGTTGCTCCCAACAGCGAGGTTACTCAAGCTGCCTCAGCCGGTCCTGGCACCGTTGAAGAGGCCAACATGGCCATTCCTCCCTCCGAAGATTACTTCAACGTCAATCCCAACACCGACTTTCACGGCGGCTTGGAGCCCGGTAACAATCCTATCAACGACTTTCACGCCGACATAGAGCCCGGCAACAACTTCCATTCTGCCGGTCACGCCAACTTGGAGCCCGGCAACAGTCCTATCAACGACTTTCACGCCGACTTAGAGCCTGGCAACCACCTCCATTCCGCCGGCCCGCTCCTTGTGCCCACCATGCAGCCTCTCGCTGCCATCTCAACTTGCAACAAAGTCCTACGCAACGGTATCATCTGTGGTCAGCCGGCCTAGCAGCCCGGCGCACACCGTTGCTTTAACCATCTCGCTTGTTATATGAGTATGGCGAAGCGCGCTTTGGTCACGGAACGCCTCATGAGAGGCGAATGGACCTGCTCAGGCAGGTACTGCGGGGTTGTCGAGCAACCCAACACAGTCTGCGCTGCGTGCAGGCAGCGCAGCAGGGACTACCGCCAGTCCCTGACGGAGGCGAAGAACTAGGGACCTTCGGAGACAAGATGCCGGAGTTGGGAATACCGGTAGGGGGAAAGACGGCAGGATATCACGACTGGAAGACGGATTGAAGTTCACCTCGACATCTTTCATGGTTCTGTTCAGTCATCACAGATAGATGTACTTCGGTTGACCTACTCGCATCGTCGAATCCTACCTTCCATATTCTTCTTTTTACGTATTCTTTCATTCTTTCCCTTTTCCGTGACTATTGGGAATTATAGATAATTGTGATAAGATCATGCATATCGACTGTGATATATACGATAAAACATCACGAACTTCTTCCATCGGCATACCTCGTCCGAACTACAGGACTATCACTATCACCTAAGGAATAAGCCACCCTCCATTACTTCCCACAGAGTCCCATAGAAATACTACCCTGAATACTTTCGAGCGGGCTTTCTCTCTCACTGCCATGCCCATCCCGGTCCCCGGTCCGGTGGCGGCTCCCATCGCAGCCCCGGCTGCCAGAGCACCTCTTGTAATTACTTCCACTTGCGACAAGGATCTCGGCTGCAGGATGGATCGAAGTTACGGATCATCACCTAGTACTAGACGTCTAGTTGACCTTTGAACTCCCGCTGTAGGCTAGCCTCGAATCCCAGATACGTTCCTTTTGTCTCCAAACTATAACAGGTTTCTAAATCATCGTGACATTTCCAAGTATGTCGACTGTGATATATACAAGTCATACATCCAGCATTCTGGCCAGTTGTTCTGGCTGACCACCTCCTTCAATTTACTACCACTTCATTCGTCAATCTCGCCGTCACGGCTTCAACAGGTCTCCAAAAGCGAGACGAAGTAGATTTGATCAACACCGAGATCAATCTTTCTCCCTTCAGGGAGGGAAACCTGAATATGGACTTCTACATGAGTAAAGCAGCCCGCGCCTTGGTGAACGAGCGCCTGATGAGAGGCGAGTGGACGTCCTCGGGCAGATACTGCCGGGTAGTTGACCAACCCAACACTGTCTGTGCTGCGTGCAAGCAGCGGTCTGCCGATTACCGGCAGTCGAAGAAGGGCGGAGATTCTAGCAACACCAAGGCTTGCAGCAGCAAGGCCACCTCTGCCAAAGCCAAAGGCACCGCCGCCACTGGCGGTGTGTTGGCAGGCAGGGTCGAGAAGAACTCGAAGAAGAAGAAGAATTACGAACCTCCAGTACTAGGATTCTACAGATGAAGATACAAGTAATGGTACTGGAAGATACACTTGTATGCTAGCATCAAATCTCACAAACCTCTTTAACTACCTACCTAGGTACTCGCTCTATTCGCTCTCTCGGTTCGGTTCCTGACAGTGATTCCAGATGATCATGATAAGGCCTTGTGTGGGCCGTGATATGAATAATAGAGATATCCAGCTACGATGCCTGTCAGAATTGACTGACAGATATACTCAGGAAACAGTCCACGGCTTTTCCGCCACAGACGACATGTCCTTGTACTTCAACACCATGTGCGGCGTCGCCGACAGCACTACTACCCACAACGACTCGGGGCAGCTGCACGCCAACATTATAGGTTTTAGCGTACTCATCCCGTGAAACCTGAGTTATGCGATTTCGTCCGATATTTGAGATATTTCGTCCGATGTTTCTGAGGCAGGCGGGCAACAACACAATAGGATCTCCATAGGAGGATAATAGGAGCTCAGGAAGGCCGGGTAATTCACTTCCTCTGGATTCTCCAAAGGGCATAAACGACCCGGAATATCGTCCAAACCATCGGAAAGTACCTCTAAGTGGAATTCCGTACTGGGAATATGCACCCCATGACATCGGATGTTTAGTCCAGGAATCAATGTAAACAAAACATTAGATCAGACTAAAACCTCCAATGTTGGTTTAACATCCAATGTTGAACTCCCTATAAGCAAAAGGATAGAGAGCTTACTTCTAGGTACTTTACTTTCTAATTTCCAGAAGGCCAAAGTCTTCTAGAAGTAGTTCTATTAATATCTTTCTATGCACCGGTCGGGTGGCCGGGGACGAGTTCAAAAAGTTGGTCACGAACAGGAATCGAACATGGGTCACGAATGCGAATGAAAATGAAGAACTACTTCATTAACCACTTGGCCACTGAGCCAAATGGTTGTTTCTGACCTTGAGGTTGGTTCTTTCTGGTTATAAAGGGGAAGTGCGATATTTGGGGCGGAAGGTGGGAAGGAAGGACTTTGAGACTTTGAGACTTTGAGAAATTCTAAGTTTCCGACCCGACCCAAGTCCAGGGGCCGACCCAAGTGCAATGCCCTATATTATAGCGCCTTCAACTTTGGAAGTTTTTTCAACATTAGAAGTCATGGAGGTACAACCTGGACTTCCAATATCACAGATTGGATTTTCCCGCTATGGTTACTAAGGGAGTATTTCTCCCAAAGATTCCTCCCACACAACATCCTGACCTGCCACTTGAATCTCACCTCCGTAGCCTCGAGTCACATTTCTTGACCAACCCTCAAGGAGTACATCTACGTATGTTCATTGGCAACTGCATACGAGGATCCGCGCTAACATCAGGAAGCACTCAACGGCTTTGCGAATACGGACAGTATGTCGCATTACTTCAGCACCATGCGCGGTGTCGCGGACAGCGACGATCACCACATGTCTAAGGAAGACATGAGCGCGTTCTTCAACTTCGAGCGATACGAGCAGGATCGTGTTGCCGAAATGGCCAACGCGATGCCGAGCACACCTGTCACCGAGCCTGCGATCGGCATTGATGCCTACGCACCTACTCCGGCTCCCGGCCCTACCCCCGGGAATGCCACGGTTCCTGGTCCCGCACCGGCCGCCGGTGCGCCCATCATTGTCACCGACACCTGCGACTTTAAGACCAACAACATGGCGATCGCATGTGGCGCCCTGGCTTAGCAACCCGGTGCCCATCTTTGCGTGAAGCACTTGAAGTTTCACAGGTCGAGGGCAACCGAGCGCTTGGTGGCTCAACGTCTCAGGAATGGCCAGTACACGTGCTCAGGAAAGTACTGCGGCCCTGTGGCTACCCCCAACACCAGCTGCGACGCTTGCAGGCAGCGCCTCAGGGCTCGCCGTCTGCGCAAGAAGCTGGCCCTCGCTGGAAATGGCGACCCGCCTACCGGCGGCGGTGCTGCTTCCTCGGCTTGAGGGAACTGGAACCGCGACCATGTCCTGTGATGACGAGATGGTCTGGGGGATCGAAAGGAAGTAGATGCAATTAGCACCAAGTCACATCGCTTCTCTTTGACAGGGGTGGAAATTGGGGTCCTGGTGGTGGACTGCCGGAAGGAAAGACAGATGAAGATGATCGGAGGAACTGGCTTAGGCACATAGATTGCAGTCGGCGACGAGATTTTCGATGATGTAGACTTTCCGACTTTATCCTCAATGATACCCCAGTAGCCTTTCATGAATGCAACGTTATATACCTCTACCTTGCTGGTGACTTCTTCATTTCTTCCTAACGTAACAGCTACTCGCCGACGACAGCTCCATATGTCCGAATACCGTCGGCGGTCCTATCATCGTCACGGGCACTTGCCTCCAGCACCTCAGCCATTGCTCCGGTCGAGGCTGTCATTTTAGCCTTCATTGGCCCGGCTATGTCGCGTCAATGCGTCTTGGCTTCTGTTGGTATTCCTGCTATTACTTCGGCAACACCGAGATTGATGTCGCTCCTTTGACGAGGAAACCTGAAGATGAAGATGCGGCTGGTGGACTAGGGAAAGCAGATGGAAAGCGTCAGAGGAACTGGCTTAAGCACATAGATTGCAGTCAGGGACGACATTCCCAAAGATGATAGACTTCCACGCTCCGACTCCAACATAAATAGTACTTTACTAGCTGCCCCTAATCATAGACTCCCACTTAGTATACTTGTTTCTAGTGACTCCTTGGTTCTTTCCCTAGCCGTGAGTCCATCGACGGTCTTCACGCCGGTCCGGAGCCCATCAGCATGGCTCACCCAAATGCGATCCTCGCCGCCACAAAAAGCCTCCAACTTGCAGGCAAAACAACGGCTGACAAAAGGAACAGTGATGGCTAGAATCTTGCGCCCAAGTTAAGGTTTTGGAGACCAGACTACAGACCCACTGTTCCAGTATCCCGGGAAACCTGAGTTCTTCATCTCATCTTTCGCGGGAAGGCGTGCAACTACACAATAGGATTTGAATAGCAAAATAATAGGAGCCAGGGATGCCGGGGAGAACTTCATCTGAGTTCACCAAGAGCGTAAACGGCGCCCAAAATACCTTGCCATTCACTCATCTGTGATCCCATACCATAGGCCGAGCCATGGGAAAATTGTGACATCCTGTAGAAGTAGGTATTTAGCCTGCCACGCAACTCCTGACCTGCCACTTGACTCGTCCTTTCACACACTAAAGTCACCCTCTTCGTTGACCTTTGCTCTCCTCAGGGGACGTGAAAGTCAAGGATCTCGATCAATACCGTCCATTGCTACCATCTCCTTAGCAAAGGAACTCGCATCTCAACGATACGGCAACATGGCGCCGTATTTATCCACCATGCGCGGCGCCGGTGGCCAGCGCCCCAATGCGTCCGGTCTGACCTTCATTGCTGACTACAATGAGGCGTTCATCAAGATGATGGAGGAAGCTTACCGCATCGTCGACCAGATGGACCCGATGGGCGCTCTTGTTGGGGACCTCAAGATGCCCATGGAGGATATGCAGCACTTCTTCAACTTTGCCCAGTACGAGGAAGATCGCGTTGCAAACGAGTCAACCAAAGCCACTGCTTCTGCTGCGACTACTCCCATGGGATTAGGACTCGGCACTAACGCCTCTGGCAAAGCATCCCCAATCGCTGCGGTAATTCCTGTAGTCAATGACTGCACCGACTCGGGCATGTCTCCCACTGGGGCTACCACCAATCACATCATTTCTCCTACCAGTACTCCGGTCGGGCCTGCGACCAACGCCTCCGGCACCTCAGCCATTGCTCCCGTTGAGGGCCCTATTATCATCACGCAGACTTGCGACCATCACGACGAGAAGAAGGAGGGCGTCTGTGGTGCCCTGGTCTAGCAGACCGGGGCCACCAAGCGCGCGCGCCATCTCAAGTTCTACATGAGCCGAGCCAAGGAGAGATTGGTCAAGGAACGGCACGCCCGTGGGGAGTATACATGTAGCTGTAAATACTGCTGTGTCGTTCCGACTCCCCAGACTTCATGCGCCGGCTGCAGGCAGCGCCTAAGAGACCGCCGCCAGCACCAGAAGGAGCTTGCCGACAATGGCGCTACTCCTTAAGCTTAAGGGCACCGCTGTCACCGCTGGCCCGTTGGCGGGCAGGTTTTTTTTCGAAACGACCAGAGTCACAAAGCAAGGAAATTCTAGCAAGCATCGGGCTCTGTAGTTTATGACGGGAAGAGAACACGGGTGCTTCATTTGAAGCGGATTTGGAGTGCCACTGATGGTCGGCCAACGGCAGGACAGACATAACCATTGAAGCCGGATATGAAGCTCGAGGAGGAAGTCTTCCAGAATGGAGGGCTCACAGAACAGAGGTGATGAAGACCCTAGTAGTATAGCCTCCAATTCAGTTCCTAGTAGTGATTCCCTTGTCCTCTTTTGTTTGACTGTGAAGGTGTGCCAAGAAATGTAGTGGTGACACTCGGCTGCCACTCGAAGATTTGCACTGGTATCGTCCACCTTAAATCTTCCATCGTCGACGAAGAATCACTCTGCGTCCCTCTAATATGATTGGATGGAGACTCCAATTTGCCTCACATAGAGAAGAAATTCAAGACGATAAGACGAAACCGGACTAACTTTGCCCGTGAAACGACATCATGAGAGCAAGCTGAATAAAAGAGATACAAGATGATGGACTGACATCACTTGACTAGCCAGCGTTGCTGTAACATGGACAAGAGGGCTAGTGCTGGATAATCTCGTGTGCGTCTGAAACAGGTAGCAGTATTGCTCTTTGCAGCGTGGGCGAGCGTCCCCGGGCCGGAAAATTGAAACACTTGCTCGTGTTTGTGGGCCAGCCCATGATCTTTACCATCAATATGGCGATGAACCTTGTATATTGAACGAGGAGGTTGCATTGTACGAACTCTTGCCTTTGGCCTTCTTTGAAGATGACTTCCTCTCCAGGACACCGACTGAGGGAACTTGGTAGGAAGTTATACCATCTCGCGTGCTGTCTTTGACCGCTGGGCTTACCAACTTGAGCCGTTAGAATAGTCATGGGTTTCAATTCCTGGGAATTGAGCTGCTTCCATCCCATCTTTTAGGCGTAGGGTTGACAGGCTTCCGAACGCGATCTCTGCACCTCCTCCAGATTAAGTCTCCATTTGTTATTAACTCGACCTGTTGTGATAGGGACCGTCCTCCAGATCTTATTAATGAAGCTAAAGGTAGATGACCGGCATGGAAGATCCCTTTAGCTATGATCGACTTCGAACGTGATGTACAGGTCGTTGAACCAATCTGATGGGTCTCGAGGTAGGTTCAAAATCATAGGCTCAGCGAGGACAACTCGAGATGATTGTTTCTCAAGGAAGCGGATGGGTCGGCCGTCGGGTTGAGCAAACAAGACGGGTATATTGCGAAGTACGGAGTCGGCAACGTTGTGCTGATATTTTACCTTAGCCGCTTTATAGTAGGATCAACTCGGTATCTGTAATATTAAAAGAGTGTCAGCTACCGTGCCCTAGCATGTGTCAGAACGATGAGGGATACGGTTGGTATCTTATCTTCATTAAGACGGGGATTGGAGCAAGTGTGGCTTGGTTTGGAGTTGTGAGCTGCAAGACTGCGATACTCGATACATGTGCTTGTCGGCGGGATGTTCTCGTAGTTGCGGCACAAGGTTGATCAGGTTGACCGAGAAGATGGGCGAGGCGAGCAAAGCAAGCGAACTTGTCACAACAAGGAAGCAAGGATCAGCATGGGTTGTAGAAGAGAACAACAGGAAGAGGACGCATTGCTCGAGCCAGTGCAGTATCACCAAAGACCAGAAATCGAGAATCCGACGTCGGAAATGGTTCTGTGTATGCACCGCTCGGGCTGCCATGGGTCCTTTGCTGCAGGATGGTCGGTGGCGTCAGAGGAATGGAGAGACGTGATCTGGAGGTGGTGTGCCCCTGTGATTATGCCGATGAACCATTAAAACTTGATCTCCTCGTACGAGAGAGGTTTACCATGGCGTTGCTTGTTGCGGACAGTTAGCGCGTGCTTTCTGTGGGTGTTGTATGAGAATAACGACGAAAGTGCTCATGAATGGCTTCCACTTCGAAGGTGAGTCGAAGACTTGCCTGCTTGTTTTGAGCTGTCTATTATGCCTACCCTAGCCGCCATCTGGTATAATTCGATCCTTCTTCCTGTCATCTTCATCAAGTGCACTTGCCTCCGTCGCCATCTTGGAGGAGGGAATGTCAGAGTGCGTGATGGCTGCTGCGGAACCTAGGCAAGTGATTCCTTCCCGTTCTTTGATCGAATCGTGCCAAGTAGAAGTCCATGAAACATGGCTCTTCCAACATCAGAAACTTTGGATCCGCGGTTCCTCGACCACGAAAGTTACGGAGGACTTGAAACTTGGGGCAAACCGATGTACTCTGAGCAAAAAGAACAGCAATGGGTCAGATCTTCACGAAACAAAGTTTAACAAGAATCCAGGGCTTGCTATCTCCGATCCGCAGAAGAAGACTGTTGTCCGCGAGGTGCCCTTCGACGCTGCGGTGTCCTCCTCCTCCGTTCTCCACATTTCACACAGTCGACGGGAAGGCGCATATGCGAGAAGCTCAAATGATCCAAATTCCTCGGGTCCGAAGGGAAGCTGCATCTGCCAACGGTCATGTGAGCGAAGGCGAGACCGGGAGAGTCCCGATGTCGGCGGGAAGTTCCTTCGTCCAACGGGTTGGTTGTTCGAACTTCTTCCTTCAAACAGCTTCCACCAAACGATCAATTCCTTGACAACACAAGCCAATGCCAATTCTGTCTCCATTTACTTATCAGCTATCTACAATGCGGCAAAGGCCATCTCAATGGCCGATCCTCCTTGTTTTCCACCAATCTGACCTCAACGTCCCCTCGCTTCTTTTCGTGCCAGTTGAGCCTTTCCTCCCCAATCCTTTGTCCTGACCTTTATCCTCTACGACAATACCCCATCCTACGAACAGTGAGGAAAGCTTCTTCCTGTATTTGCCTGGTCTTGATCTGAGCTGGGAGTGAGCCACTGGTGCCGCGTGAAAAGAACCTGTGTCAGGCAATGAGTAACCCTACCCGCACCCACCCCAAACCTATACGCACCCTCCCCATTCTAAGACACTTGGTAATGATTTACTCCCAACGCTCAAAGACTTCTTCAAAGCTGGCAGGGTCATAGTTTAGTTCCTAAACCCGCAATACATGCCGGTTCTCTGACTCAAGAATCTATTGAAAGTCATCGTCGCCGGCAATTGCATTCGCAGTGTCCGATTTGTGCAACGTACTCTCATTATAGCCAACCACCAAGTTTGGAATTACTAGAAAATGTATAGAGAATTTGGATCTATGAAGGTGCCTTATTCTATACCAAGCTTGGTATAAAAAGTCTTGTATGTTGAGTTCCTTGGGATGTTGGTGGTGGGAGAGGGTGCGTGTAGGGTTTGGGGTGGGTGCGGGTAGGTTTACTCCAGGCAATATGCCGTCTCCCTCCTCCGTTCCCACCTCGGCCAACTACTCGCGCTGTTCACCCGTACCAGCCGTGGCCAAGGCCGCAGAAGCAACTCTGCTGAAGTTGATGGCGAGCCGGTCCACCTGGATCTTCACCGCCGAAAGCGTCCTACTCTGGGCTTTCACAAACTGCGCCAACTCCTTGATCTCGCTCATGAGCTTCTCGGAGTGACCCTCCAAAGAGGTGGCGAGGTCCCTGTCCTGGATCTGAATTTTCGCAAAGTCGGCTTCGAGCTGTGCCGTAGTGTCATTGAGGAGCTCGATCTCCGTCTTCGTGTTCTCGGCATGGCTGTGAAATTTGCTGGCAAACTTGTTGAAGTCCTTTCCCATCTTTTGAACTTCGTCCAAGACACTTCCTAGACTAACACCGGGTCCGTCTGGTCTGGGTACGGCTGATGTTGATTTTGCTGCCATGGGCTTCCCGACGACAGGGACGGTTACAACGGACGTGCATCCCATTTGCCTCAACTCCTGGGCGCTCATTTGCAACAAGTCTTTGCCGTGTTGCCTACAGACCTCATGCCAGCAAGCCAAAAAGTCTCTGGACGCTTGTTCTACTTTTCGGAGTCCAATGTCCCACGAGTTGGGTTTCGCATCAAGATCAAGACAGTGGCCAGCGAGGTCAGGTAGGCTCTTCCATAGTCTAGCACTCGATTCTTCAAAGCCTCTCCCGGGCGGGTAGTGGAACTCGACATCGCGCCTGTAAGTACGACAGCAGTCACACAGGGTTCCGCTTTGTTCCTCGCCGACTGGCGTTGTACAAGCAAGCTCTCCGATGATTTCTAACGCTTTCAAAATGTTGACCGTAGGGAGATATTTCCGCAAAGCCTTTCCCACATTGGCAGCCCGGTATGCGCACCGGGGACAGTGCGGCTCCCGCCAACCGGGTTGACGAAGGTAGTCGGCAATATTTGGTGGGCCTTGGCTGCCCTGCCCTGCACCAAGGCCACCAGCCTGGGGAGGTTGAGGTGGGGCCGAGTTAGACATCTAAACTGGGTGCAATCGGTGCAAGCTGGTAAATCGTGGTCTTGTCCCTTCTCCTATTGATCCAGACAGGAGTCGTGAACGAGTAACTGACCGGAAGGAATGGGTGCTTTATAGTACACAAAGCCCCTTTAATTGTCAACCACATCACCCTTTCAATGTTGAACACCAAACCTTTGTCCAACCATGAAAGCTGACTAACGCCTTTGTTTGCAGTTTCCTGGGAATTTTGTTCACTTCCAGGTAGCCTACCACAAAGTATCCCAATTGTTGGCGTTTTGCTGACATCACCAGCTACCACCGTATCACGATAAACACAATGTTTGTTGGTTGTATGTACCACACTTTGCCAACAATCTTGGCGGTTGTCCGTATCCCAACAACGGCTAACAGAATACGAGACTATCAGATGCTACCCGCAAGCCAGCGTTGTATCCCGTCGAAACATTGGCCAACAGCACCGTCGGGAAAAACGCGTGTTCCCTTTTCGGCTCGGCGTTACCACCCCGTTCCCGTCATATCCGTATCCGTCCTTTCGCATCACCCGATCTGCTCTACCAGACTCTCAGCTGAGGGGTTCAGAAGCACTTGACAGCCTCTAGGCACCATCTTGTGTCGGGCCTTCCACTTCAGTAACCGGGAGGGATGGAAGGAACAATCCTTCATATGCGCGAGGAGGATGGTTAAGAGCACCCAAGTCCGCCCTAAATGTTGTCATCGGCTTTTTGTCCTTGACACCTCAAACGCTCAGCGGTAAACATCACTATTCCAACGTTTACGGCAATCATCATGAAGAGCCAACTTGCCTTTCTCCTGACGGCGTTGAGGTATTCCTTGTCCCTCTTCCTTATCCCTCTTCCTTGACTGTTCTGGCCAAACCATGCTGACACTCTTTGACAGCACCGTCTCCGCCGGCCCCTGTAAAACTGCCACCACCACCGCTCCGTCACCTACGATCGCCCCTTCCTGCACCTTTACAGGTACCCAGACACAATGGGCCACCAGCGGATGTGATCTCTCCTGTGACATGAGCGGTTTCTGCATCTGGGACGGTAAGTGTTTCCGGCGTCGAGGCGTCGCGTTCTAGTTCCTGTCTTTGCTGACTGACTGGTCTCGCTCCTCTTTTAGCTGCCATCACTAAGTCTTGCGGCTGCTCATCTGTACCGATCGTGACGACGACCGTCACCCTTTGCCCGACGAGAACGCCGTGTCAGCAGTGCACTACTGGTTGGGGCATTGCCACGTATACGCAACCTTGTGAGGCTACTGCGACTCCTTGATCTAGGACCGAGCAATTGCTTTTCCACGACAACGGAGAAAAGCTGCTCTAATTGTTCAAGAAACTGGATGGAGAAAGTGCTGGTGCTGCCTAGGGATTGTAACAGGAGCAAAAGAAGCATGTAACGAGCTGTATGGAAGAGAAGTGTTCTGGCTCTTTTGGGGATACCTTTGCTGCCCGTTGCTTCCTCTTACGACGAAAGGTTTCCCTTGCTCCCTCGTTTGTTGTCTTGTTCCTGCCTTCCACCCCTCTTGCTTGTTTTCCCAAGTTTCACCTCCCATAGTAAGTATTTTACCAGTAGCTGAAGAAGCATCAATATGCGTCTAGCAGCCATGCGATGGAAAAAGGGGGGCAATCTAGGCGCAGCTCTTCATCTGCAGTGCTTTGTATGTATGCGGTTCACTCTTCCTTTGACTTTTCGCTGACAAACGCGCATTACCATCGACTTGCTTCACCCCGGCGAACGGAGAGACACAACGACGAGAGACGGGCGTTGGGATATTGGTGCGTACTGTTGCAGCAAGTACGTACCGAAAGACCCGCCTCCTGGTGGTGGGTACCTGTTCATCGGCCAGTGTATGGATGCTGGAAGTCAACAGCGAAGTAAGTATGATATCCATCGGCAGCTGAGAGGGATATCTGCCGTATCGATCAGCACTCATACAATGGAAGTTTCGGTGACGGCTTACTCCCATCAATATCGGGTCCGGGGAGTGGGTCCGGGTCGGCGCGATAGTGTAGGTCGGTGCTGCTCGGCGTCGGGCATACAGTCTTGATGAACGGTGAAGAACGAAAAGAAGATGCGAACGGCAAGTGCCAGTAATTGAAGTGGAAGGAAGGGTCCGGTGCACCTTTTGCCAACATTATGATATGCAAACAGGCAAACATGCAGATATGTAGTGGAGAGAGAAGGGAAGCCACGATGGCGATGATCTTTCGTTGCCGATTGCCGGGACTGGAAGCTCCCGGTCGTTCTCAGAAAGGTGCATCGGAATGCCAATCAGTGATTGCAGGCATTCGTTCCTGCAGCATTAGCACAAAGGAAGCAACGGAACTCAACGGGCGGCCTTTTGTTCGTTGTTGGCTTGTTCGCTCCTGCCTTCGTGGCCGGGTTGGCCGATATCGGCTTCTTGTCAGACTCTCACCAGACACTCGCACATATCTGGCGATGAATCGTGCCTACTGCAGCAAAAAGCACCCTGAAGATGTACAAAGGGGTTAGAAAAGATGTGTAGGCGACATGAAACGTGGAAGTCTGGTACCAAGTGCCGCCATGCAACAACATCGCGGATTGCGCGCCATCACATTGGGGCCGGGAAGGCCAACAGGCAATATCTCGGGCAGGAGCGGACCTACGACTTCCAGAACTGCGTGGGAACCAAATCGCTGTGCCGAGGACCGATGCGATTGCGACTTTCCGCAAGGCCTTCCGCAACCTCAATGCTATCATCCTCTCTCGCCCGAACCTTTCTTCACGATTCATCACGCCGGTCCTCTTCCCAAACCATCCACGCCGCCTCCAGTCCGGTCACTCTCGGATACCAGCCATCCAGCACCCGAACGAGAGCATATGCGTGTAGGAAACATACAAACGATTGACCGAAAATCGAAAGTCCAGACCGAGAGACTTTCGCGGTGGTATCCAGCCGCGCCTCGCGAGCCCGGTCAGCATTGCATCAGCTCCCGCTCAGATGTACCTCGGACACTCAAAGCGATCTCGCTCGCCATCCCCCAAGCACTTGGGCATCGCGAAGCTTTCTCTCCTTGATGGTTAGAGGTAGTACTGCGGTTATGTTGTTCCTTGTCGTTGTAGCGTTCAACCCAGTCGCGCCACCGTTGGTTCCTTTGCCTCCTCTCCCACCATCGCGACCACCCCGATCGAAACAGTCTGAGGCTTGGTCCGGCCACGCGGCGCCACGATAACAAAGAGCGTTAGCGTTAAAAGAGGAAATACAACAAAGATTCTTGGACGAGATGCAGCTTGGGTGAAGCGGTTTTGGTTGGTCGCGATCATGGATGATCCAGACGCGACGCGACTCGCGAGGTGAGTACCCCCTCAACGGCCCCTCACATGATGCATCTCAGATGCAGCTCGGATGCACCTGCCTGCACAGAGACTAGAAGAAATCCTGAGCATCCTGCTCGCTCATTCCCTCTCCGAGGCGATTTGCTTTCCAAAACCGGGGATCTTGTCATGTTGTCCCCCAACTTCCTCGTTGCTTCAAACCCTCTTCGACGACGGCAGTGGCGGCAGCGAGATGGCCCGCGCCACGAACAGTCAAATGGATAGATAACGACCGTTATGTTGACAAAAGAACCGCTGCTTTCGCGCTGAACAGTCTGAGGGGAGGTCCAGGCAATACCGCTTTGCCCGGCGCTTCATTGAGCGTTGCCTTTTCTTGGGCCGCCTGAACTCCGCGATGAAACGGCCTTCTCCCCGAAAGAGGACTCCAAAGTCCAAGCGACCGCGGCCATTCGACGATACAAGCACATCTGCGAGACCAAGAGCTACACGAATGGCACAAACAAAGGGACGGCTGCATCTTTGAAGCCAGTCTCTTCACGAAATGGCTCTCGTTGACAGCCGGTGATTCTACCCACGCCCAGCAGTTCACCGACACGCCCACCTGCGCATTGCGACGACCCTCGAACACTCGAAGCCATCCTGCCATCCACCCACGCGAAAAGCCGAGAATCCGCGCGCCAGGTAGTCTGAAAGATCACTTCCCCTCGTCCTTTCTCTTTGCCGCACATCTAACATCCCTCGTTCAAGCAGATGTGTCCATTTTACACTCCCGCCATGCAGTTTCCGCATCTCTACGAACCCAGTGTCAACGGGCCAGACATACCTCAACCCCAACGTATAACCGATCATGAACACACCCGACGAGGAACTGGCCGCGACGGAGACAGGGTCATCGACTAGCCAAACCCGAAGCACGAAGCGCCAGCATGACGAGTCTGACGAGGACGAGACCGAGAACAGCCAAATCCACAAGCGACAGCGCGTGGATGACGAGATCATCAGCGAAGGGATCCAAAACCAGGAGAACCCACATCGGCAAACCTCCTCCATTACGGCCAACCCCGACACCACTGAGCCGAATACTCATCAACCTGCTCTCGGTTGCAACGAGAGCGCGATCACTCTCACACACAGGCCCCGAGTGGATGACGAGCCCGAGCAAGAGGAAGATATCCCCAACAGCGAGAATCACGACGAAGAAACAAGCCCCACCGTTTTGTCTGCAGACCCAACGGCCGAGTATACCAACCAAGCAGAGCCAACCCATACAGGGGAATGGGAGGAACGAGATTGGACGACCCTGACAATCGAGGAGCTCTTCTCCAATCCCGCATGGGATTACACCCTTGATCCCTTGTTCGAACCACAACCTTTTGAGCCGACGCCATGGTTCCCTGACGACAATCAGATGATATGCGGGATAAGTTCTTGCCCAATACCGACTCAGTCAGACGTGGAGAGCGCGGGACTTCAGGCAGAACACTCCGCAGGTGTGGAGGTGTTGGACGAACATTTGTTCAGCCCAGATACGACTTCTTCCTCTTTGTTCATGGATAGCCGCCACAGCCTAGGAAGCCAAACAACAGAATTTACTTTCCTATCATCTCCAAGGTGTGCGGCTCCCAGTGTCCAGGGTCATCAGTCTCCGTCGTCCGAGCAGACATCTTTCCAGACAAGTAACTCGAGTGCCGTGTTTGAGCCGGAACTCTGGCGTTTTACGGAGTTGTCCAACGACGTAGGAATTGGTGAGCTTCATGATGACGGACCAGCAAGCAACTACCCGCTTCAACACTTAGAGCCCTCTGCTGGCCAGGACGGAGACGAAATCCAAGTCAAGGAATAGGATTCTTCTTTCCCGCGTCCCGTCCTGTCACCTGTATCCACCGGCATCGGTGGCACCGAAGACCCTTTACGGATGGGGAACCAAGTCGATGTCACCGAAGGCAGCTCAGAGGCTCTCCAGTTCCACCCAAGGCTTCCAGCTCGTCTCCGCTTGGATATGATAGCTTCTCACCTAGGCTTTCCATTGCAACCCGTCACACCTCCAGTTCCAGTCTCGTCACAGGCTCCCCCGGCTGCATCTCCAGCAACTCGAGTTCCTCCGATCCCACCCCGTCCCACGCGATTGCGTTCACGCCCCTGTCAACCATGTCCTCCACCCGCAACAGCAGCATCTTCAGGCTTCGATCAGGCCCCTGCACCTCTGCCCGCTCCTTTTCCCGCTCCAATTCACGCTCCGATCCCAGCTCCTATCTCCGCTCCCATTCCCCATCGTTTTCCATCACCACCACCTGCTCCTCTTTCCCCTTCTCCTACATCGGCTCCTGCTCAAAGGCCAATAGCATCCTGCACCCGCTGCCACAACAAAAACAACCCGCAGCCTTGCCTCCCTGGCAAGATGACATGTGTCGGTTGTTCCTTTCGGCGGAAATCTCTCCGCCAGCAGCGAGAAGAAGAAGGACTGTGTACGACTTGTGGAAGAGACCGGGATGATGATGGGAAGTTGACGTGTGGAGAGTGTAGAGCGAAGGGGAGGGTGAGGTATGCTAAGGGGAAGGGGAAAGGGCAGTAGGGAAGCAATTGAAGGGGAAGGGTGAAGATGACTGGGTTGGGGGGAGGTTGGAAGAATCTAGGTGGGAGAAGAGAGGGATGGTGGGGAAGGGGCGAGGACTGGGGGAAGTTGGTGGGAAGGATGAGAACTGAGGATCACTATGGGCGAGGGAGGACAGAAGACTAGAATAAGGAGAATGATAGGACAGATGTAAAGGAACAGAACATCTGATCTGTACCGATGATGAGGGTGTTGTGGTATGGACGGGAGTGGTGAAGGTGCTGTCACTTTGTTCGACAGAACTTGGCACGGTCAAGTTGCTGTCATTAGTGTTTTTGTACTTGATAGAAATGGTAACAAAAATGAATGGTTTCCCGCCATTCTCGGTTTGGCCCTCTCCTTAGGACAAGATCTCAAATGTGTCTGGTTGTTCGAGTTGGGCTGATGATGGAGGCTTGGCAGTCAGGGAGGCAGAACCGGGAGTTTGTAAGTGGAAACCAGTCAAGTGGAGGAAGGGTCGCAACAGGGCGTTTGACACCGCTAACAAGTAGTAGCTCAGAGAACGAAAAAAGCAGAGGAAGTCACGATCAAGCGGAACGGATAATGTGTCGGGTAGATGCGGGAAACAAAAGCGGGACCTAGGTCACTCCCCGACAGGAATGGGGCAAGTGCTCCTCGCGATCCTGAGATATGGGAAGGAGAGCACCTTGACTGCTCAAGAGAACCACTGGTTTGTCCATCTCTCAGGCATTCGCCAGACTCTCAACTTCCGATTTCCTCCTTTGCACTTGCCCACTGGTGTCTGATCGGTGGTGTTCCAGACCAGCTCTCCTTCCCGGCAAGAATGTTTGATGAGAACACCCGGAGGGAAGTTGGCGGAAGGAACTACCTCTACACCAGGACTTCGATGACGTGGATCATTTCACTTGCACATGTCGAACGGAGGAAGTTGCGAGTCCGGGCTCCGCGAGGTACTAGGTGTGGTGCAAAGGAAACATTCGCTTCTGCTTCTTCTTTTCCATACACAACGCCCGTCCATTCGTTGATCGTTCATCACCCATCGCCATCGCGGAGACCATATCCTTCATCCTCTACCAGTGCTAACAGCCGAGCTCGGTCGGGGTCAGGATACGAAGCGAGAGAACGCGATTCCGACCATACTTTCACATCAAGAAGAAGAGCGGATCGTAGCCTATCTCCAAGGATGAGACGGCCCTCCTCATCGTCTGTCCAAACAAACAGCCGGCCGAGGTCGCAATACGAACCAAGAGACGATGGGTCCAGCAGGGCCTACTCCTCAGCACCAAGAGAAGTGAATCGTATCCCATCACCACCGGCATGGGGGAGCCAGCGGCATACAGTCTCTTTCTCAGCCAGCCATCGGCCTGGATCACACCGCGATTATAGAGAGAATGAATCCTACTCTTCAGCACCAAACAGAAGAGCGGATCGCAATCCATCTCCAACGAGGATGCAATATCCTTCGTCATCCACCCGAGCCCATAGCCCACCGGGATCACGACATGATGCAAGAGAAACTCTTCCAAGCACATCAGCACGAGGCACAAGAGTAGATCGCCCAGTTTTATCATCTGTGGGATCGAGTTCCTTGCCTGCAGATTGGAGAAGAGCGCCGAGGTCACATCCTTCTGAACGCAAACGACCGAAGAAAAAATCTGAAGACTCGAACGCTATTGGTCGTTCTGCGGCATCACATACCGTACGTGTCCGCCTACTCTTTCAAACTCTTGTATCTGTATCTCTGACAGCGTCGCCAGAAGCCATTGCCAAACCGCCAGCAGAGACAGAAAACCAATGGCAAAGGCCGCGGTCCTGAGAATTCCGTCAGTTGTGATGCCTTCGACAATGCCCACAACACTCAACAAAAACCGGCTACCGTTAATGCAAAAGCTCAAGCAGCAGGTGATAAGGCCAATGGGAGCAAAAGGCCACGCCGGTGTTCAATGACCCCACAAGCTATATATGAAAGAGCGAAGTATGATAAACGAGTAAAGGAAGGCCGCTGTGTTCAATGTGGGGTGCTGCTTACGAGAAAGGATAGATCCTCAAGATATTGTGAGAAACATAGAAAACGAAAAAACTGGGATATGAGTGAGGGTCGCAAATTGAAATGGATCAAGGGTCAGTGCAAGGACTGCCCGCGGCCGGCCGTAAAGGGAGGCAGGCTTTGTAAACTTCACCGTGACCTAAGAGCCCAGGCTGAGCGGGATAGAAGAAGACTGTTGAGAGAGAATAATGGATCCAAGGAGGATGCTGCGGGCACAGAGGTGGCAGACCCTGACGCTGCAAACTCGGAATCGGAGGGTTCGCAAGACCAGACAGATGGGAAGGAGTTCTCAGGAGGGGAATCTACGGATACTGGAGAGGATGACTCTGATATGGATGGAGCTGCCCACGAGCAACTGGATTCTTGCTTCTGAGGATTACGGGACGAAGAGTTATGGGGTGTAAAGGGTTTTTAAAGTGACATCGACAAAGGATCAGCGCTATGAACATGGATTAGGTGTGTAATGGGTCGATAGAGTGTATCCGTGTTGATCAAAGAATGGACAAGAAAATGGGAGTCCTCAGCGAGATAGTCGATGGTGGATTGTTTGGGCATAGCGACAGAAATGGGACGGGTGTTCACGTTCCTCAGCCTCTAGACTTCATTGATTACTCTTCAAAGCACTATTCATCAGTTCTCTGCTCTCTAAAGGCATTCATATGCGAGCTTTGTGATCAGTTCATTCGCCCAACATCTCCCATGTTGGGTCCCCGGAACAACTATTAGTCACCAACATCAACTTCTCTCAGCCCTCGGGCCTCGGCACGCATCACTCGAGATTCGATACTCAAACCTTGGAGTGTACCACAAACTCCTGGTGTCCCATTCCCAGTGTCCCAGCCCCGGTGTCCAGTCCCGGTGTCCACTCCCGGTGTCCAGTCCCGGTGTCCAGTCCCGGTGTCCCACTCCCGGTCTGCCACTCCTAAGTCCTGGTTTCCAACCCGGTCTCCAACCCCCAGTCTCTGAGTCCGTCGTCCAAGTCTTAGTCCGACCATCATCCCCATCCCCATCCCCATCCTCGTTGGCCATCCTGCCACCTGCCACCTACCACCTGCCGTTCCCTCTCAAATCGCAGCCAGCATAGCGCAAGACAGCACCTCCGTAAACAAAAGCTGTAACAAAACTCCTTCTCCGCGATGTTCTTTTGAGGGTTTCCCATCGTTTTTAACCTTGAACAAAGGACATTGTACCGTCGCTAACATCTGTTCAGACTTCGGCCCCAGCATAATGGAGGGCAGAACTAGGAAGACGTTTGACAACAAAGGTTCCACGGGACCACGGGAAAGGGCGGGACAATGGACCCTTCCGAGGAGGAGGAGACAATGGGTCTTTGCGAGAATGCGAGGGAAAGAGGACAAGGTGGGCTGGGCCAGGGTGGTCAAGGAGGGGGACTAAGACTGGGAGGTAAACAATGAGATTGTACTGGCTACCTTATGCGAGCTTGCCGAGGACAAGGAGCAATGATCATGATCCATTGTTCTTCTCTTTGATACGATGGCTTCCAGAGGCCGAGTGTACTATCTTTGGACTCATTATCTTCGTCGAAGACGGGTTAAATATCTGCGACCATGGCCGTTATAATGCGACTGGAGTTGTTTTTTCCTTATTCGATTTGGTGAACATCAGCAGCAGTTGAGAGTCGACTCGGACAGAAAGAAGACGGTTCTGAACGACAAGAAAACGAGAGAGCAAGAAACAAACCCAGAGAGAAAACAACCAAGGAAGCTGGAAGTAATCGTCTCCAGCCTCGCCCACATCGGTGGCAGCTACTAGCAATCCTACCTAGCAAGGATTCCTACTCCTTGAACCTCAAACAAGCACCATGGAACCCGACGCCCCCACCCACGATGACCCCAAGTCAGTCTATCCAACCCAAGCCCAAGCCAATGACTCGTGGTACGCGGGCGATGGCGATGAGATGGATATAGATCTGATAGATCCGGCATTGCGCGACCCGTACCCCCCCGTCACTCCTAACCCCCGTGACCCCAATGCCTCTCCTTCCCTTTCTCCCCCTCCTCCTCCCCCTCCTCCTTTCCCTACTCCTTTCCCTCCTACTCCACAACATCCGCAACCACCGCAGGATCAACCCCGTATACCCCTCGAGGTTATGAAGCGTATTGAAGCCAACGTCGCCAGGGTGCAGGCCGCGATTAATGCCATGGGCCCATCTCAGTCTCAGAACCAGAATCAAGATGCCCAAAACCCCCCTTCCACACCCCCCAACCGGTCCATTGCTCCCAACCCCGAAGGAGAACAACGCAACAACGTTCCATCCAGCCCCGTTGACTTTACAGGCATTCTGGAACGTCTCAAGAAGACTCTTGACAACGTGCCCGACGATCCCCCTGATCTTCCTCCTCTCACTCTTCCACCTCGAAAACGCGGTATCCTGAGAGTCGATGACCTCTTCACCCTCCTTCGTGCCGCTCCCCCCAGAGTAGGATGCGTTATCCCCAACTCCGAGAGACAGATCTGGTACAGACCTACTCAAGAGGATTATGTGGAGCTAAATCACAATGGCGTGGTGGATATTTTACAGATCTACCTCGACAAGCCGTCGTACTTGACCACGTACCTGACCAATGCATGCGGGTTTGTGCAATCGTTTATGTACGACCAAACTCAGTGGTGTAATTGTCGGTATGATCCCGAAAACACGAGGTTCGCGAGGGGTGACGAAACGCTGGGCGGGAACGGAACTGGTGCTTTGGTCGTTGGGTACAGAACGCCTTGGGCTCCGATCTGTAATGGGTGTCGAGGAGATAGGAGTGTGGAGGTAAGGGTGTTGGATTATTTGGCTAGGTGGTTCAGTTTCCCGGTTCCTGAGGGGAGCGATATTTTGGATGTTATGGAGGCCTGGGAGCAGGCAGAACGGTTCCAGCAAGGAGGAGATGTTGCTGGACCATGGACGCCGAACGGGCCTCCGCCAGAGCCTGAAGGTCAGGCTGAGATTGAGTTGACCGCTCATTCAAAAGCCTTGTCTCGCAAGTTTCAGGGTCTGCTTCAGGGGTTCTCGGGCGGGGTGTTGGATGGAACGAATGCTGGAGATGTCAAGTCTCCTACGAGAAAACCGAAGCGCCGACGTTATGAGGGAGGGGATGAAACGGGCGAGAGCCACAAGCGTCAACGTGTTGTGGAGAAGCGCCATCCTCTTCCTGGTGGACCTTTTCTCCATGATCCCTTTGTTGATGGTGCATCGGCAGGCGTTCCTCTTTCTGGTGGTGATCCTTTCGAGGATGCTGGGGGTCCTATGATGCTGGATGATGATGATGATTGGGCTCCTGCTGCTGCTCCCCCTCCCATGCCGGTTTTTGTCCCGAGGCGTATCATTACACCTCATTCCGAGAGAGCTAGGCTCCTCAGAGAGGCTGCCATGGGTTTCCCTCCTCCCAACAGTCCCAACACTCCTTACGTCGCCACCGCCAACAACAACAACAACAACAACAACAACCCGCTGGTTCCCCAGCGACCCCAACGACCCCAGGGCGCCAATTCCGGGGGCATCCCACCCAGAGCCACGGCTGCGGATGCGCATGCACGCCTTACTGCGGAAGGGAAAGAGTATGCCGAGTGGGCAGTGGACCTTCCGTGCGGGCAGCATTGCATTAATTGCAAAAACGTTCGAATGAAGCCAGCGAAAAAAAACACGAAGAAATGCCAGAAATGCGTAGATACGCACGCTAAGATACGTGAAATCAATAGAGAGCGCGGCTATTGTACGAACACAGGATGTAATCGGCACATGGGGACACCAAGACCTTTGAAGGCCAACGGAGAGCCTTTTGCATACTGTCTGCAGTGTAGGGAGAAAGGTAAGCAGAAACATCAAAAAAGGACCAAGAAGGGTCAAGGTGGTGGTGGAGGAAGTGAGCAGGGAGGTGGTCAAGCACAGGCAGCTTGAAATTTGTCAACCTTGAAGTACACGGAATCCAAAGGCAGCGGAGGAAGAGGACAGGAATGAAGAGAGAGGGAAACATGTGATGGTGACTAGGTTTAGAAACAGGTAGGTATGTAGTTGGGTTTGTAAGCAGAGATATCCTTGAAGAAAATGGAATCCAGAGCCAAATGACGGTCGGGTGCCGTGGTGCCTTTTTCTGCGAGCTGTGTGAAGTCTGAAGGCCATGACTTGGATTGATGATTGATGATGTAAACAGAGCCCCTGACTAAAAGCCCTGATGATGGAGCCCACTTGGGTCTCCCTCTAGGTATGTGATGAAGGCAAGCATTGTTGCCTACTGTACGTGCCAGCAAAAAGCTACCGTGGAGGTCCGAAGAGCTGCCGGGGAGTGTTCAGGGCTACCGTGGGATGACAGGACTGCATATTTGATGTCAGCAATCATATCCCTTCTTTGAGGATGCATTAGAAGAATCCAAACCCTTGAAGTGTGACTGACGGCTTCCACTTGTCTGCCACAGCGGAGGTTTGAACAGACAGAGACACCAAGATCTCACTTGCACGGCCCTCCAGGCTGTCAGGCACTGTGTCTTTCCAAGGCGTTTCCGGAAATGAATAGGCTGGTCACTCAAATGAGAATGAGGAACTCGAGTAGATCCATCTGAAGTCATCCATACCAAAATGGGAATGTGAGTTTGGAAAGGAATAATCGGACGCCGTGGTCGGTGTTGTGGCGGCCAGAAACTGCACTCGGCCTGAAATGCAGACTGCGGAGAGGTGAGGGGAAAATGTCATGTCCAGAAGAGAAAACGAACACCAGATTTCCAAACGGCCGGACAGAGGAAACGGTCACTCCTTCATGTCAAACGCCCTGAATGTCGTGGATCGTCACTGCCTGGTTGTCAATGCCGATGTTGATGAAGGACAGAGGAAGTCACTGAGTGCAGCAGCACAGGCCACTGGCCAGTTGCCTGCCCGCGGGGCTATGACTGCGACAAGTACCTAGGTGCTGTGGCAGGCACGATGAACGCCTACAAGAAAATGCAAAGTGGGAATGAAGTCCCGGCAGGCACCACAGAGGTACGTACCTCGTCAATATCCACTTTTTGTTTGCTGCCCCTCCATTGATCGCATGAATTCTGGTGTTTACTTCATGTCCTCCATGATCTCCACCACGATCAATATCAACATCACCGTCATCATCCTCACCTCTCGGGCGCTTTTGGCGGACGACCCTTTTCCCTGAGACCTCCGACTTCATTTATTCGACCATTATTCGTTACTTTTTGACTCGCTTTGAAACAGGATTCGGCGCGTCGTTGTCGGTATCGCAGTTGCAAATTTCAGTGGCACTGCTGCATCTTTGGACTTGACCTCTTTCATAGCTCTTGGGTTCACGTCTGAACTTTCGCGGCCACCTGCAGTCCTCTACATCTTGACTCCTCCGCCATCGGCTGTATACTTGAGCCCAACCCATCTCCTCAAAACCAGCCATGCCAACATCACCCGGCTCGGCCAAGAAGCGCAAGGCATCCGACATGGCCGACACAGAGTCTGATCCTCACCGGCGGCCGGAAAACCCTTCCTCACCCAAGCCAAAATCCATCATGGATCTTCCCCCCGAACTAGTCAACCAGATCCTCGATCATCTCATCCCCAGCCTGCCCGAGATAGGCGAGCCAGCTCCAGAAGCCTACGACAAGCTTGTCCGTGAAGACCCATGGTACGACTTTACTCGCCGTCGCAGCGCCTTGCGCAACCTCTGTCTCGTCTCGCACTTCTTCGCCGATCTTGCTCGCCCGTATCTCTACCACACCATCGCCATAACCAGCGAAGAGGTCCTTGTGCTGCTCTTTCGCACCATCACCGAGAATCCAGAGTACTGCGGTTGGACCCGCTCCCTCAGCTGCCACATCACCTTGACCAACAGCCGAGTGGTTCGCAAGACTAAGCGCTGTCTCAACAAGTTTCTTCCAACCTGGCGGGAAGGCAAGGGGTTGGTCTTTATCACCGGTTATCTCGAAAGCCTGCAAATGCGGCGTGCTAGCACTGATCCGGAAGAATACTACGAGATGGCCCAGGGGATATTCGGCATGACCATTACCGCCCTGTATTCACTCGAGACCCTGCTGCTGCAGCTTCCTGCGATTGAGGATGACCGCGATTATTTCGAACTGATAAGCTGTCTCAGAATCACAATGTCCTACTTCAACACGGAGGAGGGCGAAAAGTGCCGTGGCTATCTCGCCATCCTTCCCGAAGATGTCAGGACCATGATCCCCGACCGGCTCGAGTCCGAGGCCCTCACCCCCTTCCAGCACCTCACCACTCTTCTCCTCCAAGGTGACCCGTCAGTCGAGGACCCTACCACGCTCGACGAAGACGATTCCGATACCGGCGACCCTCCCGAAGTCTTCGGTGTCCAGACCCGCCACTATCACCCTCTTTTCGAGCTTCTTCCCGCTCTCACCACCCTCGAAGTATCCACTGACGACGGCCTATTTACCTTCTTGGACGGCGAGGAGGACTTGACCGATGTCTTCGCCAGACCCATCACCTCCTTTCATTTGAGCCCCGCCAAGCATGTCTACCTCCACTCTTCAGTCGCCGACCCGCGCAACATCGGCAGGATACTCAGACACGCGACAGACCTGGAGACGCTCTACATGTTTCCCCGAAGGGTGGACAGCTTCCATAGGATACCACCCCAGGATGCAACCCAGGCGGACGAGGATTGCTTAGATCAAGCGTTGGTGAAATACGGGAAGAAGCTGAAACATCTGGATCTTAACTGGTTTGACTGCCAGGGTTTAGAGGCCAGCATCGGCGTTGGCGGACGGCTCTCAACTCTTCCACAACTGAAGGAGGTGGAAAAGCTGTGCATTCAGTTCGTCATGCTGTACGGGGATCTGCCAGCGGGCGAGCAGATGATGCAGCAAAGGCCAGTGGTGGATCTGTTACCGCCCAACCTGGTTGAGCTGACCCTGGAGGATTGGTGGTGGGACAGCCTCGATGATTTCGACACATTCTACCGCTGGTCGGACGAGCAAAAGGAAGCCCATTACCGGGAAAAGAAGGAATACAGGGAGACGGTTCTGGACATGATGAAGGGCCTTGCTTCTGTTTCAGGGAGGAACGCCAAACCCGGTCGGTATGGCGAGAACAAGATGCACAAGCTGAAACGGTTCCGCTTCTTTGTCAGGACGCTGCCTACATGGCTACCAGTTGACGACAAGGCTCCGGATGTGCAAGAGCTGTTCAAAGACGTTCGGGAGTTGTTTGAGAAGGCTGGGGTAGAGTTCGTCGTTGACGTCGACCAGCCCCTTGATATGGATATGGAAGAGGAGATGCAGTAGTTTGCAAGCTCCATCTGGAAGTCGCACCCATCGCTTCGATCACGGCAACAACACAAACCGTCGGCCCCCTCGCAGCCGAGTAAAACATCACTACAACCGCTCATCGACCAACAACTACTATCCGACATCTCGCTGTACCCACTGCTCCTTCGTTCACTGCTTCGGCTTCAAGCGCTTCGATACCCTATCCCACCCCGTCTCTCCCACCGCACCACTTCCCTACCTCTAATCCCCTCCTACATCAAGCGCCTCCTCGATCTCGCCTACCGCTCCTTCGCCCTCAAATGGGCCACTCTCAGCTACCTCATAGAACTCCTCTACGTCGAGCAACTCCATCTCCTCTACGTCATGTACGATATGGAATCCCTCTGGATAAGAATCGGCCCCGAATTCTTAAACAGCGTCGTCGCCCCGCTCGTGGCCTCGCCTCTGTGGTGGGCAGGGTATTTATCGGAATGGGTCGTGCAGCGCGTGCGGGGCGTTGGCTTTCAGTTTAGGGAGGCTTCCCGCGCGGAGCGGAGCAATGCGTTGATGAGGTATAACTTTGAGAAAACCTACCCACACTCTAAGGTTTGCCTACACGCACCCTAAGATCCACAAAATCACCTGGTGACAGGCCATAGCACTCGACATCCAGAAACCCACTTTTAGCCGCGAAATTTCGCCATTTCGATGCACGAAACATTCCGCTTCATTTCGTGAAATTTTTGGCTGAAATGCACGCGGTCTTCGCGATTTTGACCACGCTTTTACACCAGACGTCGCATCACCGCCTAGAGGTACATCATTACCCTACTTCGTCAACCTAGAAGCAAAGGACATTTGTACTTCAATTACATTGAGGGATCAAGAAGTGTGATAGGGATATCATAGACCTTATAGTAATATAGTAAGGGTAACGTATCAATTAATCAGCAATAAAAGGAGCGATGAGGTACCGAAAATTGTACTACGCTGGTTAGGGGGTTCACAACACTATAAACTTTTACGACTTTCTTGGCGCGCTGGGAAATGTTACGAACATTGGTCATTGGAAGACCCCAAATTACTATACAAAACGGCCGTATTTATATGACAGCTGCCAGATGGAGACTTAGGGTGCCTGTAGGTTTGTCTTGGAGTGCGGGTAGGTTTTCTCATAACTTTGATAGGTTTGATGGGAGACGGTTTTTGCGGATTCGGTGGATGGTGGAGATGGAGCTGAACCGCAATGCCGAGCGCGAGTTGCAAAGGGTGGGGAGGGAGGAGTTAATGGGGGCGGTGAGGACTATTGAGGAGTGGTGGTCGCAGCGCCTTCGGGAACGGCGGAGGCGGCAGGGGAGGGAGGAAGAGGACGAGTTTGAGGTCGAGGTCATCACTGAGGATGAAGAGGAGTTTGAGGAGTGGTGGCGGCGCTTTCATGAACGGCAGGGGCTCCATGTTGAGGAGGACGATGAGGATGAGGAGGAGAAGGAGGAGGAGGAGGAGGAGGAGTTTGAGGATCAGAACGAGGATCAGGACGAGGATAGGGAGATGTTGGAGGATGTGGATGTGGATGACGATGAATGTGAGGATGAGGATGGTGGATATGGATGAGGTCGAAGATGAGGATGAGGATGTGGATGAGGTCGAGAATACGGATGAGAACGAGAATGAGGATGAGGATGAGGATGTGGATGAGGCAGGGGACTGGACCAATTCTCGTCCTCCCCCTCAGCCTCATCCTCATCATCATCCTTAAATTCCTCCACGTCGTCGTCCTCACCGGCGAGTGAGAAGGTGATGGTTGTATGGAACATCTTATGACATGGGCACCAGCGTCAATGGACACAGGCAGCGTTAGATAGCATTTTGTGTTGACTTGGAAAAGTTAGCATCAGGGTTAGCATCAGGATTGGCGCATCAGGATTTGGCCTGGTCGGTTAATAGCACCGGGATCAATGAGTTGTATATAGCTCACAACCGTCTCAGCGATTTGAAAGTTTGACCTACATCGCTACATAAAGTGGATGTATGTCAGAGAAGCAATATACCATCACTGACCACAGCGTCCGTCCAGTTCCATTGCACAGAGGTAGGTAGATATCTTCGCCTTCTGTGCGGACCACTGCCGCTCCCACTCCTAGCATGATACGCGGACTGTTGTATCAATGCCGACAATTATTAACCCGGCTCGCCCGACTCTCCTGGTCCATCAAGGTCGGATATACGTTCCAACTCGGACTGAGTCTCTTGGGTGTCGGGCGGGAAAGAGGGAAAGAGGGAAAGAGGGAAAGAGGGAAAGAGGGAAAGAGGGAAAGAGGGAAAGAGGGAAAGAGGGAAAGAGGGAAAGAGGGAAAGAGGGAAAGAGGGAAAGAGGGAAAGAGGGAAAGAGGGAACGGGGGAAGCGGGCTGGCAATACAAGTAGAGTAGAGGTAGATATGTACGTGGGTGGCGCGCTCTCGGCTTCTTTCTTCTTCTTCTTCTTCTTCTTCTTCTTCTTCTTCTTCTTCTTCTTCTTCTTCTTCATGGGGGTGAGCCAACCGGCGGTAACAGGACGGCCGATACTGTCCGAGATGTCGACCGAGATGTCGACCGAGACAGAAACGAAGACGGAGACGGAGACAGCAGATGCAAGTGATCCCGGGAAGTGACTACCGACGTATATACTTCAGTGCCACACCAGATAGCACGGTGAGGACGGTGAGTGAGCATAGTAGGAATCAGAGAAAGAATCATTCGTACACATTCAAATTCCAGAAGATATGGACGTGCGATGTCACTAACGCAAGCAGCACCTTCTTGCACCATGATCTGTTAGTGCGCTACGTCCCCCTATTCCGGGTATCGGGACCGGGAATGCGATTTCTCATAAGCCCTATGGATGACACTTTGTCGAAAACTTGAAACTAAACTCCTGACTGAGAGACTACGAGTAAAAGCCTAGATGGCTTGTATGCATGTTCCTTCACATACTCGGATATCAGATCCCCAATAGATATATCAGCTCGCTAACAGATGTGCTTGCTACCCGAAGGCACTACTAAAATAAGAACAATTTAGTGAGCTAACTGCGTATTATTCCGATGAGGTCTTCTACTTCTTTCCAGCGAGCGGGTATTTGTCTGTCTGTCTCACATTCTCAGGACTCGATAACAATGCGGGTTGTAGTTCCGTGAATCATCTACTCTAATATTGTGGTGCAATGATAGAAGAGGGGGGAGGACGGGCTGGGGTGAGTGTTGGAGGAATAGGGAGTCGGAGAATGAAGACGGTTACGGAGATGTGAAGCCGTGAGATTGAGTGAAGCCACCGAGTATTGTATGAAGTGAGTGAGATTCGTTTGAGGCGTTCTTCTATCCCTATATACAAAGCTTAGATGTCAACCTAACTTTGATAAGCAGTGCACTAACATCTATCGCCTGAACCTCTATCGACATCTGTTAGTGCTCGTCCACGTTCCCGGTTGTGAACCATCCATCCGTCCTCAGATTTTGCGATGAGTTTCCTTTTTTTTTTCTTTTTTTGTGGCTGTGAGGTTGTCTACGCATCTACCTACGTAGGGGGTACCCCATCAAGCCCATCTCGATTCCGACTTTAAGTCGGAGGAGGAGATGTAAAATTACACTACGTCCCTGGCGGTGACTGGCGGCGGTCTGGCGGTGCCCGGTGCCTGACTGACTAGTGTATCACCGAAGATCATCCATCCACCTGTCAGATACGTACACTACTCAAACTGACAAATCCGAGGCTCTGCGAGTTGTGCATGAACCCTTTTTTTATATTTGATCCTGCAATGGATGAAGTCACGGGATCATGGGTCTTGTAATGTGTATCAGATAAACAAAACAGGCAAGTGCTTATGTCATATCCTTATTTCCCGAACCCGAACCCGCCGCCCACGAGCCGCCGTGTGCCCCAAACGGGACGGACAAGGCGAGATCAAGCTAGGCCCGGGGAGGTTCGAGAAGGATTCCGAATCTGGATCAATCTCACGATGTCATGTTGCCCATGGGGTATCACTCGCTAGTTCACTTCACTGGTAGGCTACAGTGGCTGCGCACGTTAAGAAAGGAGGCAAGACATGGGAGGCATGGCATGGCAAGCGTGGCACGGTGGCATCGGGCATATGGTCGCGTGCGCAATTGTCCGTTTGGGTTTTGTTGCGCTTGCGGGTATCGAATGCTTCCCCGGCTGTTGGTCGTTGTTGTTGGTGCTCGATAAGCGCAAGCTTGTCATCACCTCCGGGTGCAGTGTGCAGAACAAAACGTGGAGGCTGAGATGAAAGATGCTGCATGGACGATCTCGGGACCGGGGCGGGTTCGGTTTCATGTTGTTGGGAGACCCAAGCTGCCGTCTTGGGTTTCTTTGGAGCACACGGCACATGACTGGGTTCTGGAAGAGGTCTGTGAGAATCTGGAGAAAGGGCGCCGCACGGACGGATTCCTCCGTCGATGGTTGAAACCTCAAAAGATGGAAAAGAAACATGCCGACGACAAGGACATAAAAAGGGGTAAGAAATCACTGTACCTGAATTGGAATATTTGCTGTCGGAGAAGTGCTAGAAACCGCAAGCTACTATGGTGTTGTGGGTAAGTTTAACGGGTGGAGCAGGTCGTTGAACACACAGTGCCCACGAAGCTTTGGCTGTGGTGGTCCGTGCAAGGTACCTGACAGGGAGGTAAAACTTTTGCTCGCAACCGCAGTAGTGCGGTCGGTTACGCGGCCCGGGGTGGGGGTTGTTCGGGGACGGCCGGGGGTGTTCAATTGGGGATTTGGGGTTTTGATGGAGTCTTTTTGGAGACGACATCGCTTCAAGAGGTCGAAAAGGACTGAGATCGACCATAATGTCAGCGGTGAAAGCGGTCAGCTGAGTGATTTCTGGTGATGATCGATCCTGAGATATTTCTTCAGCTTCTTGACAAGGCGGAAGACGGGACTTGGTTTCCCCAAACAGAAAAACAGGAAACACAAACTGGAAGGTGATGAACAGTGATTTTGAGGAAAGCAGGAAAAGATATGCAAAAGATGGGGGTCAAAGGCTCGGTTCTCCTTGGAATGTCGATAGATTTGCTGGAAAGCCTTCTAGAAATGGGTAACGACTGGTTTATGTTTGCAAGGGTTGACCCCTAACATTATCCAGGGTTTTGGCCGGTTGACGATCGATCCAATTGCGCCTGTCGATGCGATGCTGTGTCTTGTCGCTTGTGATTGTTTGTTAGTTGCCTTTCCTGAACGCTTGTGATTGAGGATGAGCGATCTCTGGTCAAGATATACAGATGGACACTGGCTGGTGATGATGATGGATGATGAAATGTTGACGATGAAACAAGCACAGTCCCTAGCGGTAGGGCAATGAAATCTGGGGTTGACACTCAGTTGGGAGACGAGACGTGGAACAATGGAACCAAATAGGACTTAAACGGGAGTGTTGCAGCCGCTACTGTCGCATGATTCAGGTTCATTTTGGGGCCGCGTGTTCGTTACCAAATATCTCGAGCCATCTTTATCCCCGTCTTCAATGTCAGCATTGTAATCTCGGAGAGGGTTATGCAAGTGACACCGGCAAGGACGGCATCCTGTCATGGCGGCTGTGAACTTGTGATTGATGGAATGCCCCCCAAAAACCAAAGGATGACGAATCCCCATGGCAAGCATTCGCGTCCAATTGATAGAAAATGGAAATGGAAATGGACGAGAAGGATTCGACAGAACAACCAAAAGTTGAAGCGGGTGCGACACTGTGTGAGCCCAGACCGCCACTTGGACAGGGCACTGTGGTGGTTAATTCAAGTTGCCCCTCGTCGCAATTGCTGAATCAATAGTCGCAATCTCAGGGCAGCTGCATCCCCGTAGTCGGTGTTGTACCTGCTGGACTGTACCTGTGCTACTGCAAGGAACACAGACTCTCTCTTGCCTGCCGGGACCATGAGGTGGCCTCGGCTAGGACACTTCTGAGGCCTTTTCAACTTTGACGGGCATTCCATCTTTTCCTCCTTCAAAACCGTGAAAGAAGTCATCTCCAGTCGGTGAGAAAACCAACGCCAGCACCTCTTCATCAACCTCCGATCCGATGCTGTCCGCCATTTGCGATTCCATGCCCTGCCCTGGCAAAAGTGCACCGACCTTGGCCGGCAATCGTGGTGGCCAAGAGTTGGCGCATGCTTGGACTCTTGGCGGCCGTCTTGGCTCGCATTAATTCGAGGGGATGGCAGATTGGAACTTGTATGTCCCTCTCTTGGCGGGTGTGCCAAGTTACATCTCTTGGCGGGTGTGCCAAGTTACAGCACAAGCACGGGCAGGTTACAGGCGACACCAGCGGTACCCCTCTCTTCAGCGCCCTCACAGGACTCACAGGCCTCAGAATCCTTGGATCCGCCACCGTCTCTCGCTTGACAGAAATATCGAGACGATATATCTGACGGTTGTAAGATTACGGTTGATATTTATCCCTTTTTTTCTGCGGTCTTGGCTTGCTTGTTAACGTTTGTTACACAGCAACAACGAGCTTGTATAACAACAAGTAACAAGGGGAAGGCAACACTGAAGAAACACGGCCACCGCACGGAGCGACGTCGTCAACATCCCCCGTCCCCCGGCAGCCCCAAAACCCCGATTCCCAAAAAAAAGTTCAACGGCGGTCGGCGGTCCCGGTCCACAGTCCTCCACAGTCCATCTCCAGGACCCTCCTTGTGGACACCCATACCGGTACACGTACACACCACCCCAGTGCATTCGCACTCCATTCATCCCTCTTTTTCACTTCATTTGTTTCTGTCTGGATTTCCTGTTCCTGTTCCTGTCCAACTTTCTCAGTCCTGTGACGCGGCCACGCTTCCCTTTTGCATTTGGATTCCCACTTTTGCGACCACTTCGACTTTTTCGATTCGGCCACTCCTTCGACAAACCCGTACCTCTACCGTTAGTATAATCCATACAGACAAGAGAAATACCGACCGACGTCGACTAGTACGGACGGAATAAAAGACGGACAGACAAGAGAGACCCCCTTTCGATGCCCCGCCTACGCCTACAACGCCGTCCTCGATAGCGCCCGCCCGCCATCTACTACCCCCTATCCCTAGCCCGTTTCTTCTAGCTCCGCCCGGCCGCGTGTACCTCGATCCGGCCGCGTGTACCAGATCCGCATCTTTTTTATGCTTTGCCGGTCCCGCCTCTCCGGTCAACCACTCCCGACTTCTACTTTTCCGTCTCACCTCTTTTAATATTTTGTCTCGCCTCACGTTTTGCTGGTTCGGCCGACGGCATCGGACACAAAACCAAGGAATCAGAGACAAGCTTGACGCCGCTGTCTTGTGCTTCCGAACCTATACCGGAGCTGGTCACCAACATCGTCCTAGCTTCCAAACACCCCCCCTTAATACTATTACAATTAGCTATTGCGTCTCTGACGTTCATCCCGCAAGATGAGCGCTCAGAGCAAAAAGAACATCAAATGGGTCGAGGTAAGCCGTTGCCGTTCCGTTGTACCTCGTATAAGTACCTTGCTGACCACCCTTCTTCCAACAGGGCCTCCGTGGCATCACCTCCGCCCTCGTTATCTCGACACATCTTGCCCGAGCCCTGGACTTCCCACTCTTCTGGCCTGCCGATGTTAAGGACGGCACCCCGAGGTGGCTACAAGTTCCATACCTCCGAATCCCCTGGCAGGGCCGTCTCGGCGTTCCCATCTTCGCCTTCCTCACCGGCTTCGTCTGCGCCGCCAAGCCCTTGAAGCTCGCATACCAACAAGGGAACCACTCGGCTTCCCTCAAGACCGTCGCCCGATCCGCCTTCCGACGACCCCCCAGGCTGATGCTCCCGGCCGTCATCGCCACCCTCATCAGCTTCGTGCTCTCCATCTTGGGCGCCTACACGGCCTCCAACCGTTGCGACAGCTTTTGGGTCCGCTTCGACGCCCCCGATCCCGTACCTCTCGGCGAGAACTTTCGCAGGCTGTTTAGAGCCCTGCTTGATACTTGGACCACCACCGAGAATGTTTACGACAGACATCAGTGGGCTATGCGCCCCTTGCTGATTGGAGCCTTCCAGGTCTACATTGTCCTCGCCGCCACCATTGGCATGCGCTTCCGCTACCGCATCCTCGTTCACGTCCTCTTGGTCGCCTACTGGTTGTTGAACACCGGACCCTTGACTGGTACGCACACCCCTCCCTCCTCACATGCGCACATACACTAACCCACCGTCCCTGCATGCAGAAACCTTCGGCGCCAACCTCGCCCTCGGCACCCTTCTCGCCGAGCTCTCCCAGCACCGTCCCACCCAAAACTTTATCGCCAAGTACCAGCGCATCCTCTCCTACGTCATCGTGCCCATTCTCCTCCTCATCGGCGGCTACGTCGGTTCCTATCCGCACGAGCACGAGGACTGGGCGCCCTGGTCTCTGCGCCTCCACAAGTTCCTCGTCGATCCTGCCGGTGACGGCTCTCGCGGCTCGTTCATTGTTCCTAAGGGGTCCAATGCCGGTCGTCGCGCCAGCGCGTTCATGATTCAATGCGTCGCCGTCTCCATCTTCTTGTCTCCTAGCTTGCAGAACCTCCTCTCGCACCGCTTGCTCCTCTGGCTCGGCCACCACTCCTTCGCCGTCTACCTCACCCACGGCACCATTCTTAGGACCTTGGGCATGTGGATCGTCTACGGTATCTCCGGCCAGCCTTGGGAGGATCCGGGAAAGAACGAGGATGGCTCGCCCAAGGAACCCAACTGGTTGCACCCCAAGTCCAGGGGCCACAAGATGGCGAGTATTGTCATTTTCACGACCGCCACGTACATTGCTGCGTGGGCGTGGATGAAGTGGGTTGATACCGCGTGCGCCAGGGCGACGCAGTGGTTGGAGAAGAAGGTGTTTGATGATGATGAGGGGACCGAGGGAGGCAAGGCCGGTCTGGCGGAGAAGGGATATGCGAACGGAGGAGCGAGTAGGGAGCATGCGCAGCCTTTGTTGAATGGCGGAGAGGCGAGGGTGCCTCCTCCCTAAGTCATTGAGGATATGGTTCGAATTTTAGATGAGGATGCATTCGTCTGCAAAGCGGGAGGATGTCGAAGGCATATTCTGGATATTGTACAGCATTGATGCGGAGGTCCCATGGCTTAGGTGCATTGGGTGAAAGGCCTCGCTACGGGTGGAAGCCGAGATTGTGAGGAGCGCCATTTCAAGCCCTCGCTGTCCGTGGGCTTAAAGGGAAAGCCGAAGCGGATCGTCGACAAAGACACCACTCAGCATTCGGCGGCACGGAGTAGAACAAAGAGTATCTACATCACGACCCGAACCCACGCAGCCACACCCACCCAGCCAGCGGCTCTCCATCGCACGCATCATCATACCAAGATATAGAGCATGGCGGACATGAGCCTGCCAATGTATCATTGGATCTTTTTTTTTATTCATTTTCGTTTCCGTTTGTTGTCTACGTAAAACATAATTCCTATGTCGGGAGGTGCATAACATATACCTAGGTAGCCATATTCCGGCGGCCCAGAAGTCGCCGTTGGGAACTCGTTAGAGCGGATATTGTTGGATATTGGAGATGGAAAGCATGGAGGAGCATGGAGGAACATGGAGGAGATACCAATTGAAGTTTTTGGAACCGATTCTTTGTCGTTTACCTGGTCCGCTATCGTGAACCCTTTGAGCGACTCTTTCCCGATCCCACTCAGTTTGCTCCTTGTTGTGTCCCTTACAGCACCAGGTAACTTGCCTGGATGAATCAGCTATCGAAGGATCGAGTCAATGCCGGATGAGCTTTCTCTTGATCGCTTGATCGCCTCAACGCCGTTGGATGTCCAGATGAATGGCCAATGAATGTCCGTCGGAGCAATGGAAAGAGGGAGAGATGGATAGCTGCACATCAAACGATGACGATGCCCTGCCGCTTCCCGGGTGAGATGGCGTTTTCTTCCGCCAAAGGCCGCCAGCTAGTTCGCCGTTCGCCAGCCTGCATGGTGTAAAGGCTGTGGAACGTAGGGAGATCGGGAACAGCTTGCGCGGATGGAAATCGTTAACCTTCTCTGCCGTCTGTCTCTGCAGTTTAAATGTTGATGTTTCGAAGTTTTTGAGGAGGGAATGTTTGTTTTCGCGCGCCCCCTGCTGTATGTATAGGATGAGGGTTAGGTACCTCGGCGAGGGTCGGTCTGTCCGCACGGCGTCTGCTCGGTGTAAGTCCTTGAGAAGTTTGGGAAACTCCTCTGCTACACCAAGAACTCGCGGACAAGACAGAAGACACTAATAGCAACAACAGGTCACGACGGTCCAGCAGCGTCTACTAATCCCCCCCGGTAGGTACTCGTGACGAGATCTTTTTGTCAACCTCGCGAGGTGTCAAACGTTAACGTCAGTCAGTATCACCGGATGCCGTCCGTGGAGGGTGCGCCATCTCATGGCCAAAGGCTGTCAAACTTCAAACATTAACTTGTGAAGACTTATTTGTCTGGTCCGTCCCTGGAGATCCAGTGGGTCAAGATTGAATCAAGGGGTGCGGTGCGTGTTTGCCCATCACAAGCACTTCGTTGACACGCAACACCACATCGTAACGGGCCGTCGGGCTCGGTGGATAGCGGAGAATGGGTGACGTGACGGGCCACGGAGGTTGGGTGGGTGACAGATGGCGGATGCCGAATATGACAGGAGGAGGAGGAAGGACTGGCAGCAGCAACAACAACAAGCGGAAGATGGAAGGCATGGCGGGCGAAAGAGCAGAAGCCCGAAAGACGGACAGGACAGGCGGCGCTGAGTGCAAGAGGCACTTGATGATAAACCAGTGAGTGGCTGAGAGGACTCGGACCTCGAAAGTCCTAACTCAAATGTGTGAAAGAAGGCGGAAGTGGGAGAAGTGGGAGACTCATGAGAGATGGATGGGGAGAGAAGCAAAAAGGCCAAGCTACCTTAAGCTGTCCTTTACGGAAGACATGACATGACGATGGAGGGAGGATGTGAAAGGTGTGCAATCAATCCATGCCATGTCAAATATATCCAAACCGGTTGCACCAATGCTGATGACGGGCATGACGGACAGGAATTGAAAGAAACAAAACGGGTTGGGTTACACAGCGCTCGCTGTACACTGCCGTGACTGTCTTGAGACTGACTGCCTGAGACTGCCTCACTGCATACCGGCGTAACGGGGAAACCGGGAAAAAAAAAGCAGCGGGCCGTCTTGGAGGGTCTTGGATGATGCTCTTGCAGGAGGGCTCCTTGGTTGTCTTGGCTGTCTTGGGAAGAAGCGGTTTCAAGTGCCGTTATAGCCGGGCCTGCCTGCTTCAGAGAACGAACTGTAAACCTGGAAGGATGAGGATAGGCGGCTGGCTGGGGAGGCAACAGGGAGGAGACTAGACGATGGAGAAACTCGGTGGTGGAGGGTTGTCACACTTCCTTTGTCTTGCATGTGTGTCGAACACCTTCCGAACACCTTCCTTTTGTTGTCTTGGATTATGGATGGTATTTGTCCCCATGTGTTTACCACCTCTTCTCGTAGGAGTTCAGACCCGGGGGGGCTTAATGGCATCGTGTTGTGATGAGGCGATTGCTGCGCTTGTCAAAAAAGCCATAAAGGAAAACAAGTACCCCGGACAACAGAGAAGGTTAGGAGACTTAACAGTTTTCAGTGTAGTGATGGGTCAGATCAGATAGTGACATATCTACATGGACTGACTCCCAGTGAGTACAACCACCCTCGTCAATATGGATCTCAGATGTCTGATTTCCATCCTTCACACTCGTACAGCGACTTGATAAAGCAGGTAGCGTGGGGTATGAAATAACCACCTAGGTATCAACCGTCTACAACGACGACGTCGTCGTCGGCGACCTGAACCATGTAAGCTAGATGCTCACACCATTGTTACAAAAGAGACGAGAACCTCACCAGTTATAGCCTCTGGAGGTAATGCAGAGGTACTGTCCGTCTCCATCTCCGTATCCATCTCCAACTCCTTTGCCTCACTCACTCTCCCTCTCCCTCTCCCTCTCCCTCTCCCCTCTCTCCTCTCCCCCAAAAGATTCTATATCTCCACCCACCACCACCACCACCACCACCCACCACTAGGCACTATCCGCCAAGCGCAGGCGCAGGCGTCTCTAGTTGAACAATCGAGCAAGGTCATTACCTATCCGTGGACCCTCACGTCCTATGTCTAGACACATACAGGTAGGGACTGACGAGGTATAGGCTTGTCCGACACTTCCGAAACCTGGAGATCCCGAGATGATTGATGATCGTGGACTGGACGGACCACTGCAGATTAACTAACTATCCCTTGCCGACCGACCGGTCGAGCATCATGCCTACAGCCTGCCAGGAGAGCGGTCCGCGGAGGTTGTCGAGGACTGTTGGTTTTTTTTTTTTTCTTTCTTTTCTTTCAAGCGAACGTAGATTGTATTCCTGTATTCCTGTTTTTTTTTGTGGTAGTTCTGATGGAGTTTGTTTGCTGGGATGCTGAGACCTTTTAAACTGTTGCGAGGTTGCCGATCGATACCTGCGTTGAGGGATCGTTAGTTAGAGATGGTTGAAGTCGATGGAGGATTAGTTCGGGGAATCGGGGGGTGCTGTGTCTGGTACATACATACCCATACCTAGATCGAGATCTCTCTCCTTCTTGATGCCCGTCGATCCTTCGATTGCAGTCATTGACATCGATCAAAATTCATTTTCATCCTCTTTGATCTTTCTCCTGTAGTTCTACCTTCCTTATCCTTTTGTGTGGTCCCCGCCATCCACTCCTTTGACTTCCGTTCTGCTTTTGTTCGCTCGTTCCCTCTTTCCCTCTTTCCCTCTTCCCCTCTTTCCCTCTTTCCCTCTTTCCCTCTTTCCCTCTTTCCCCCTTTTCCCGTCCTACTTCGTGCCGGCCAGGTCCACTTACCCCGTCACTGACTCCTGGAAGAAACTTGATGGGAGACAATAAGAAAGTCAAGATAAAGAAAAAGGAGGGGAAAAAAAAAAAAAGAACAAGAAGCAGAAGGACCGCCGATTGGAAAACAAGAGGACGAGAAGGAGGACGAGAAGGAGGAGGAAGAAGAAGAAGAAGAAGAAGAAGAAGAAGAAGGAAAAGAAGCCTGGGCAATCGACGCGAACTTATACCCTTGAGCGGCGGCGTTCCATGGTGATCGGTGTCGCTCCTCCAGAAATCTAGATACCTGTACCCCGTACCCATCAGGCGCGAACCAGTGCCTAGAAGTATGATTCATGACATGAGGGCAAGTCAGTAGAATAGGTACTGTTATGGACGAGGTCGTCGAGAACAAACTGGATATTTGAGAGGCTCTGAGCTCTGAAAATATCGGCGGTCCGGCATGTAATTTTGTTGCTTCAGTTGTCCGTTGAACGATGCCAGGATTGATTATGTGGTAACTTGAGCCAGTCGGGGTAGACATATATTACCATCGGAAATACGGACCAGTCAATGTCCGACCGAGGTAGCCTGGGAGTTACCCAACCCAAAACACACAACGGACGGATGTTGGTCATGAGATGTACCTGCATATGTCAAGCAGGGACTTGGTTGGACTTCCTGACGTCCATGTTTGTTCTTCGGTCCATTCTGCACCAGACCCTCCGACAATTGTGACCCGTATTGGGGAATGCCATCGTATAAGAAATCCCAGTGAAAGTTCTTCAAATAAAGTGATATTCAAGACCATCCATCCATACATGCAATGCTAATGCCATGCCATGCCATGCAAAAGACAAAAAGAAATAGGTAGGAGAAAAACCAATCCAAGCCGTTTTCTCTATCCCATCCATGCCTTTTAAAAAGCCCTCCCACCCGTACCGCGTTCCCGGTCTTCGTTCGTCATCTTAATCCTCGTATGTACATGAACGTGAAAAACCCAACAGCAAGCCCTACCCAAATCGCCGTATCGCCGCGCCGCGAACTCCGGATACAAACGAATTAAGGAATGCGACGTCGATGATATAGTGGGGTGCTGATGTTGGGGATGGGAAGACAAGACCACGACCGTTTGCTCATCTGAGCGTCGTCTCGTGTCTTGGGGTCCCGTGGTTGACGATGATACGTTGCCTCCTGCTGATCGCTATGCTTCGCTGTGCTCGTCCTTGCGATGTGTGCTATGTACCCCGTATTGTATGTGCGTGTGAATGCGTATATGCAAGCTGGTGATGATGACGATCGAACTCTGTTGTGTGCATGCGCCGCTGAAATGATGCAATGATGTGTTGTGTAAAAAATTGAAAAACGCTCGTCAGTGTCGTGAAATCAGAGCTTAGAGCTTAGCCTCAGCGGTGCTGTAAATCATCCAGTTTTAGCCCATGTTCTCTTCCATCATGATACAAACGTAACTTCTCGCGATGCAGTTTGTCAAAGCAGAATGCAAAAAGCCAAGAAGCCAAACGTCAAAGTAGGATCCACTAGATACCACCAAAATGCAACATCGTGGTACGCCCCCAACAAAAAAGAAGGGTATATACAATCAATCGCCGTGACCAGAGAACTTTTCCCCGCCATCACCGACACCATGACCGTCTTTTGACAGAGACAAGAAAAGCCACATGCAAAAAAACAAGAAGGGGAAAGCATAACAGGGGGTGTGGGGGAAAACAAGGGGGCCGTGTCCAATCCGCGCATGTGACAGCGCACCAAGACAACAGCGACAGGGATCCTCGGCTAATGTTTCCAATCGCCTCAACCCATCATCTTCTTTCATCAACGTCATCACGATCATCACTTTTTCAATTCGCACAAAATCACTCCTCGTACCTTCCACCAGTCAAAGCAGCAGGACCGGTCCGCTCGATCTTCTGCTTGAGGTACTCGTAGACAGTGAAGGTGACGGCCTGACCGGGCGCGACACGCATGATGCGGGGGGTGATGCCCTTGTAGAAGGCGTGGAAACCTTCTTGCCTGTTGTCGCATTTGCATCAGTGACTATGGTACAGAGGCTGAAAGGAAAGGGACGGGAGGCTACTCACTTGAACATCTCACCAGCGATCTTGGTAATTCTCTGGATTGCCGACTCGCCGGGCTGAGCAACGCTCTTCTGGAGTCTGGTCTTGATGGTATCGATAGGAGCGTTCGAGAGAGGACCCATAGCACCAGAAACGAGACCAATAAGGGTGGTCTGGTAAGAGGGCAGGTTCTGGCCGACATACTCGGGCTGGAACTCATAGAGCCACTTCTTGAAGTAGCTGTAGGCAGTGAAGTTGACGGCCTGGTTGGAACCCTGGCGGAGCGCAGTCAGGGAAACACCGCGGTAAAGCGCACCGAAACCCTCCTCCTTGACAACAGTGAAGAGCGCATGCCCGGCGTTGCGGTACTTGGGAACGTCCAAAGGATCAGCCATGGAGTGGTGCTGCGCCTGCAGACGAATCTTGATGACCTCCATGGGGGTGACAACGGCAACGGCCTCGGTGACACCGGCGGCCAGACCGGCGAAGAAGGTGGCCTGACCCGAGACGATGCCGGTCTGCTTGTCGGCCAGGAGCTGCTTGTACCACTCGAACGAAGTGAAACGGATGGCCATCTTGGGGACGATACCGGTCAGGACGGCACCGAGACCCTTGTAGAGACCGAGCGCCGTCTCCTTCTTGACGATCTCGACACCGGTGCGGATGAAGCCGCGCTTAGCTTGGCCAGGCACGCGGCCGCGCTTGGAAAGCTGCATGCGGACCTTGATGGTATCTGCGGGAATGCCGAGGTTAGCCGGAGTCTGGGGTTTAGGGGCTGCGAGGCCATGCAATGGGGGATTGCTTACCGAGAGGGTGGCAGACGAGAGCCTCCATCATACCGGCACCACCACCAGCTTTATTAGCATGGAAAGGTTAGCAGTTTGTCCTTGATACGCCGCGACCAGACTGCCCGGCGCATTGCGCGCGAGTAGTAGCCTCCCGTCTCATCTCTTCTCCTCCAGCTGTGGGAGGCTCACCAATGAGGTTGGTGGCAGCGGAAGTCCGCTTCTTAGGATCCTGGTTGACCTTGGTCGCCATTGCTGCGGTTTGTGTATGTGTGTAGTGTGTGGTGTTGAAGGATGGTGATGTTCGGTGTAAGTGGTATTAAATCGGTTCGGCGCAACGGTGACAAATCGTCGGTATGGGTCCGTCTATGGCGTGTTCAAGTGGTAATTACTAATTCCCCCGTAAAAGAGAAGAAAAAGGAGCGAAAGGGAGAAGTGATCTGGGTGGCCTTGTTGGATATATCAATGGCGTGTCCACAGGGGGTATGGACCGAGGGATGGAGGTGGGTTGGTTGTGGGCTAGTCTTGGAGACAAGAGAGTCCGCTTCGCGAAGTTCGGCACTCCAGGGAAATCGCCGAAAATGTCTCGGGATGGCTGCTAAAGTTGACGACCCCTGTAACTTGGTACCGGACGTAGCTCGGTGTGGGGGAAGTTTAGTTGGCCGTGTCTGGAGAAGGGCAGAGACAAGGCTGGGCTGAGCTGGCTTGGATGGATGAACGTGTTGCCGTGAAGCACGAGAAGAATAATCGACACAAGATGCACAAAGCGTAGAGAGACAGCAGATGAACCCTTCCAGATATACGTGTTGCTGAAGTACAAGTCCAGTTCCCGGGGGATATCCGATCTAGATAGAGTCGCGGCGAGACAGGATGACACCCTGAGTTGCCAAGGACGAGGCCGGTTTGGGCGCGAGTCAGTGGTAAGGAGGATTGTTAACACCGGAAACGTAGGACTTGGTAGATCGGACTCCACTTCTGTGCTCACGGCGATGGAGACAGCAGAGGACCCTCTAGCAGCGGTTAAAAAGAATGGTAAAAAAGGGAGTTGGAGTCGGGTAAGGGGAGGCAGGCGGAGAATATGGAGCTTGATGTCAACAAGGACGGCAAGGTACACGACGACTTATAACGAGGACATGTGCCATCTTCCACCAGGTGTCTTTGTTCTCTTGCCGTCACTTTGCTCGATACGGTCAGGTCGGGCAACTCGGAAGCTTCCATATGACGCAGATCTCAGGACAGAGCTGAGCCGAGCACCGCGGTGGCCCGGCGACCTGTAACAGAGTCTCCAGGAAAGGAAGAAGCGGTGGTGCCGCGTGTGTACCGTCCCGGATGAGGCCGGGGACACGCAAGGATTCCTGGATTCTAGTGGCCCTTTTGGGGATTTTGGCGGCTGTGATTCGTTCCTGGCGGTCAAAGTGGTTCCTGGCAGAATTGGGGGGACTTGGTTGCTTTCCATATATCCGCAACCCCGGAATACTTGGCGTGACAGTGATGAGGGGGACGTTGCTGGATGGTTTGAAAGGATATTTTGGTGGACGACATGGACGATGAGACGCCCAACGAAGGATACCAAATTGTAGTGTTTCTTTTTGTTAGATGTGATGCATTGGCCAATGACAAGTTGTGACGGAGAACGTGCATAGTGCAAGCAGTGCAAAGGGCCAGAGAGCATGGGACCAAGAATAGGACCAGACATGACAGAAAGGGACGACATGCAGTGCCAGAAACCATTGATCTTTCCGCCCCCATATCGCTCTTCTGTGAGTGGCGTTAGTTAGTTAGGGTCAAGTCCGGACATATGGGATGAGCCCCAAGCCCCGTCATTCGGAGCAGCGGAGGGAAGGAAATCGGCGGAGAAGCCAGATGACTGGATAGAAGACGCGGCACTTACACGCACCCTCCCGCCCCGCGCCCGGTTGCCTGTCAGGTCGTTCGTTCCCCGTTGTACAGCGACATTAACATGGCATTTGAAACTTGTCACCTGCCACGCTCAACAGCTGCACCCCTGGCACAACCACCATGTTCATCGCATGCCAGTGACCAACTTTGGTGTACAAAAGCTTCCTTTCTGGCCAGCGCCGAGCCCGGGGTAATCAAAGCATGACGGCTTTACCTCTTCCCAGGCACAACTTGACACCAGGGACCTGGACTTGCTAGCAGCTGCTGTTCGAAAGTTGAGAGACGACAAAAGTCAGGCATCCTCGTGGCCAATTTGCACGGCCGTCGAAGAATGGAACTGTCCTCGTGACTCCCATGCCTTGCCTGTCAGATGCGAGACAGGCATCATGGAAATTCGCCTCAAGGGTTCTTTCTTCTAGTGTTACCGCATTCGACGAGTCTCGTCCGGCCTGGCGTCAAGACGAACAAATGGCCATGTCGACTGGCTTGTGATGGTTGTGTGACGTAGCTAATAACCGATTCGAAGAGCGGAAGGCCGACGGAGCTTGTGATTTTGCGGGGGCCGGGGATTGGCACCATGAAGCTGTCAGGGAAGAGGGAGAGAGCCGACGATGAGAAGAGAGAGCAGAGGGTGCACGAGCCAGTTTGTTGCCTGTGCGTGCTGTTGCCAGCCGGTGACGGGCAGCTATTGTCAGATTAGACGGTGCAGAATTAATTAATTGAAGAGTGTGTATCGCTTTCTCGAGCGAGCGCTCCAGAAGGTATGGGGGGTACTGGGGTAACCTAGATATGCCCAAAAATTAGGCTTAATTAGGTGGCTAGGAGTCTAACCCTTAACGAGTTAGCTAGAATCCCTACCCTTAAATTTAATATACCCCTTCACTTGTAAACTTTTTAAAATGGGCAAAAGTAAAGCTATTTATAGAGTTTCTCTTTTGGTACTTCGATTTTTCTAACTAAATTATAAATATCCCCTAATATATTATTACCAATCTCCTTCTCCTTCTTCTTTTCCTTATAAGCTAGCGTATTCACTATTCTAATTAACTCCTAGAATCTCTTATACTCCTACTATCCTAAAACCTTAATTAATCCGTTAATTAGCATTTTCTTCGTCTCCAAATACTCAATATCGATCCTCCCTACTTAAATCTCCTACTTTAACTAATAATTATAAATATTAATATATTTTAATTTAATTATTAATTTAATTACTTCAATAATTAATACCTAGATCGTTTAAGTATTATTACAATTAATTACAGGCACTTTTATATTAAAAGGAATTTCGATCTCCTTATAAAGGCATATAATAATAATAATTTCCTTTACTACGTTAGAGAGAGAGAGTAATTCTACTTTAATAATTATCATTGAAACTATCTTTTACTTAATAATATCCTAGTAAATTATACCCTTAAATAGTTTAATAGTAAAATTTTAAGAGTTCTTTCGATTAGGGGAATTATTAGCGTATAATATATTAAAAGCTAATTTTAACTTTTTTAAATTATTATAATATAGGGAAAAGTTAGGGTAGAATTCTAAGTAGTACAAAACTTCATTAGTAGCTTTACAATATTAAGGACCGGGATTGTAATTATAATGAATTAATTTACTGGCAGCGAAAATAATATTTGGTCGGGTAATAACGGTAGTGTATATAATAAAACTGATAACGACCTAATATTCCTAGATTTTATTAAAGGTAGTTACGCTATTAAAAGGTAGGAATTCTTTATTATTTATTAATATAAAGGCGAAGGTATAGAAATTCTTAATTAATTTAGTAATTTTATAAATATATTCCTATTAAATTAATTAAATTAAACGTTTCTCCCGGTTTCGAATAATTTTAATACTCAAAAATTATTAAGAATTATTACTTCTAATCAGCTTATACTTCTCCTCCAACTTTTTAGTAATTAAAATAAGTTTTTTATATTATAATTTATTAAAAGTAAATATAATATCGTTAACGTAATAGAAGATTAAAATTCTATCGCGTTTAAAAATATAAAAATCTTTAAATAATAGTTTGAATTTAAAAGTTTCGAAAGTACTATTAAATTTTCTCTACTATAATAAGGGAATACGTCGGAATTTATAAAAGGCCTTAAAGAATTTAAAAATAGTACTGTATTTATAATACTTAAATAATATATATATATAGATCTCTTTATCAAAATAGGTATTAATAAAGGTATTAACCGTATTATATTAAATAAATTCGAGGTTAAATAAAGTAATTTAAATAATAATAAATCGAAAGACCCGATTAGCAAAAATATAAATATATGTTTCTTTACCGTAATTATGCTATTAATTATTTCTAATGACGAAATAAATTTTAATATTTTAGAATCGACTGTATTTATTAAATTTATATATATATATTTATATATAATCGAAAATTTAAAAACCTTTAGTACGGGAAACGTTTTTATCAATTTCGACCTATAACCTTATTTCCTTATAATTATTAAAATATATTTCCTCTATTTATTTAAAAAAGATTACTAAAATTATAATATTCGAAATCGCAACAAATCTTTGATATTAGAAGGAGGTCTTATCGTTTAATAAAATCTAACCTACTACCCTTCATAATTAAATAATTAATTTCTATTTTAATAATATTTTTACTTTACCGTTATCCTATTAATTAAAGGAATCTCTTAATATTAAAAACGGCTTCCTATAATTTAAATATTAGGAAGGATATAAACTTTAGTAAATTCATAATTAGACTAGTAGTAAGGGTAATAAGTAGCGAAGTAAGTAGAAATAAATATTTAAATACGAAATCGATAAATATTTTATTTTGAAAGGCGGGCTCTAATACTTTTATAATTATTAATTCGGTCTTATTATTATCTTTTTAAAGCTTATTATCGAAGAATAATAAAAAGAGAAAAATAATACTATTATCTTCTATATTTTAATTAATAGTAAGAGGCTTAAAGTATTATATAGAGAGATAAAGTAATTAATCGATTCGGTTAAAGAAATTAACAATTTCGTCGGTAATTAATCTTTTTACAATTATATAATCTTTTAACTTCCTTAAATAGAACGAATCTTTATTAAATAATATATTATAAATATAAATGATACAACCTATTTAAAAATTCTAAACTTAATAAATAAAGGAGGTAGAATAGCCGATAAGGAATCCGATCTATACTTTTAATTAAAATTTTTTAAATCTCTATTCTTTCTTTTAAATAACAATTATTATTACATAAATTTTATATTTATAAATAGGTAAATAATTAAAATTAAATTTATAGGGCTCGGTTTATACCCTCTTATAATAAGTACTAAAAATATAGAATTGTTTATATAGTCATTTCTAATTATAAAAGTATTTAAGTAATCGATTATTAAAGTAAATTATAACTAAAATAATTTAAAATTAAAAATTATAAGGGAAATTCAAACTTTTAATTATTATATACGACCTCTCTTTAATTATACCCTTTAAACATTTAGTACCGCCGTTTTAAATTCAAATATTAAATATTAAAAGTTTGAAAATAATAAAGCAGATAGTAAATTAATTTTTAACGTATTAACTATTAAATTTATTATCGAATTTAATATCTTTAATTTTAATATTATATTAATAGTAAATTATATCGATAATACCGAATAGATTTCGAACGATTATAATTACTTACTAGTTGGCTATATAAATGTCTTAAATAAAATTAATTTAACAATATATAATAAATATTACTGATTTATACTTATTTCTTCCTTCTTTAAAATTAAGGAAGTTAATAGAGAAGTACTCGCCAAGCTTATATCTTCGGTCGCGTAGCCTTCGTATAATATTTTACTTAATTTTCGAAATATTTTATATATTATATTAATAAGTAGCAGGGCCTTTAAATTTAGCGCCCTCGACGTTATGAAATTATTCGAGGATTTAGGGACCTGGGTAGCTGAATTTCCCGTACTATAAACTCGCTAGTATTTTATAAACGCGTCGGCCGGTATAGGAATTAAAACAATTTCGTCGGGTAAAGAAAGCGGCGCGATTAAAGGATAGAAGAAAGTATTCGAAAACTATTTAATAATAAATATTTTAAAGGTAATAAAAAACAAAGCCGTTTAATCGATGAAGGTAATTATTAAATAATTTATAATCTTAATAAAAACCCTACTTATGAAGTAGTTAAAAAAATATAAAATTTATAGTAAGATTAAAGTAGAAGGCTACCTCCTTCAACCTTAATTGAAAAGGTCCTCTCTATCCTTAAACTTCTATATTAACGATCCTAAAACCATTAATAAGTATTTAAAAGTTACTAGCTTAAGCGTAGTCCTTTAAGGACGTTGCTTGAGATGAAGAAAAGCGAATAATTTCGTTAAAAATATAAAAGGAAATACTAGAATCGAGGATAATAAAATTGTTGAGAGGGTAAAATTCCCTTTTA